GTTCCGCGATACGCCCTAAAATGCAACTTTTCGTGCTCCAAAGGTGTCTGTGGTGCATATACGCAAAGTTGAAGGCGCTGCGATATCTGTTTTGAATTTAGTAGTGTGAGCGGCGCGCTTCTACAAGTTGCCCGCGGAATTTGCTCCAATGGATCAGATGGCCAACGATCTTTTCCCGTCATTAGTGCGTACTCTTTTATACTATGGTAGTACGCCTTGTGAAATATCTCGGAAAAAAACGAAAAACTGGAATTTTTGACGAGTTCAAAAGCTTTACGCAAGAAATTGAGAGGGTGAACTGGACTTTTTATTTGCTTATTTTTACTGTAAACAATATTACGAGGTATATTTCCCTTTTGGTGTATTTTAATTCATTGCTTTGTTACGATTCTTTTACAATATTCTTTTTTGCGAACTGCTCGCTATTATGCTATTAGGACGTTTAATTTTTGTGCAAGGAAATTAATCACAGTCACCTCTCCAGAATTTGTTAGACCTCTATACCCGCCCATGAGGAGTAATTCCTAAAAATTTCGTGACAAAATTTTGATCGCTTTCCCCATGAAGTTTTCTAGTCGGAGAAAAATTGAATTCACTAAAACAAAAAGAACCGTTTCCTCAACAGTTTTTTGTTGTGCTGCAGCAAAATTTAAGTAGCGGCAAAAAAGTTTCTTCAACGCATTTTTTTTTTCTTTTTTTCCGACGATTAGGAAAACTTTGTAGTGACGCAGAAATATTTATGGTAACAAGGAAACTTACTCGATTCCATGACAAGCGACATTCCGTGTTGATCAGCGTCATTTCCTTGAAATCAAAGGTCGACCGTGGAGGATTCCAAGAATGTAACCGTCTCGGGGTTTTTTCATTATCGGCTTGTTTCCTGGTTGAAAAGGCGTTTTGTAATATTTTCTTCACAAATTGTCTCTAATGAGTGGAAATTTAAAGATATTGCAATAGGAATATGATAATTATTTTAGGATGAAACATTGCAGATATGACAAAATTAGATAGAAAGGGGGCACAATAAAGGCGAAGGAGACAGCTTTTCAATCGAGCACTGTACGTAGCACTGCTGCTTTATGCACGGTCTTGTAGTTATAAACCACCATCTCACTCGCATAAAACTGACATCGCCTGGCAAACAACGTATCCACCCATCCCATCTAAAAGATAAGAACATATTACAATTTTCCCTTTTCCTGCTTACCTCCATTTTTTTAAATTTAGATAGATCGTGTTTCTTCACTCCGACCTGTTAGTAGTCTGGTTAGGTTAGGTTTTAAGTACCTAAACTGAGCAAATCCCTAGTTTTTGTAGAACTTTGGAATTTTTATATTATGACACCTCAGCTTACTCCGGCAGCTGCAAAAAAAAATTGTGTATAGAATATATGATTATTCGTAGATTTATGCCTTAAAGTACCTATGACAATTTTTTTAACGTTGAGCAATTTGCTTTCAAACCAATCTCTTGGTCAATTTGTAGATTTTACTGTCGAACATTCATTCATTGAGCATCCGTTCAGTGAGGCATCCTTTTGTACAGATGCCATTGAAGGATCTTATTTTAAACAGCTATTTTCGAAAAGGAACAGCTATTCTTACAGCAAAATATCTGGCCTCAAAACTGTTAGGCTTCTTTTACATACCCACCACGTACATTTTTATCTTACACATTTTTTTAAAAGTTTTAATATAAGTAGAGTCCATCCCGAATAAGTTTAAGCGCGTTTAAAGTAAGAAGGGAGATCCGCCATCTTAATTCTTGTATTTACTTCCAATTCCAAACTGAAGATAGCTGATCTCCTGCCGTACTACGAAAGTGCTTGAACTTATGGCGTTGACTCTGAGCAAATGTCAAAATAAATCAAGAATAATTATAAATTATTGATGTATGTGCGGTTTTTTAAATTGTAAGAAAGAAAGGTATCAAAAAAGATGAGCATCATTGGAAATGAATTTTTAAGTTTTTTTAAGCAACCACTCCAGTCGATAATTTTTTCCCTTCGGTTCATCGCAGGCTTAGGGGCTGCATACGTACATTTATTTCAGTATATTATATGACGCTGATTTCGAAGAATATCTCCATTTCTCTCGATTTAATTTAGATAATGTGGCAATTTTTAACAAAATCGCCCGAAAAAGTGAGGTCATTTTTAGAACCAATGCCAAATATCTAACAATGCTAGCTTCAAAGTCAGAGGCAAATTTACCTTAAACGTTATCAAAGTTTTAAGAAAGAGGCAACTTTTCATTTAGGAGAGATATTCTTCTCAGCATTTTTTTTATTATACTACTCTTCTTTAAAGTCTGAGCTACAGGTTGACAGCAACGGTGATATTGTTCATTTAATATTCTCATTGATACCCATATGCTTCGTAAGCAGCCTGTGGCCTCAAAATAAACAAGGAAAAAAAATGGAAAAATCCCCGTTGGAAAGATAAGGTATCAATAATTATTGCAAACAATGGAGGTAATTAATTTAGGATACTTACCTTTACACTCGTACAATGCTACCAGTTATGAAAGACACCACGTTTGAACACTCTAGCGTTGCCAAATTCTTCTCTATAAAATACAAGTTTCCTGGAAAACTTGAATGTTTTGTTTGAGGTTTCCAGAGAGTCTCGCTTGCAATTAAACGCATGAGACCTACTTTAAAATGGTCTTCACTAAAAATGCCAAAATTATTGTGTATATGTATATCGACGCTGTTAATTGTTACTCCTTGTAAATAAAAAGCGCACTTGAAATTTAAAACTATGTTAATTGTACATTTTCTAGTTTGAGATGATTTTATTAATTGATTGCGTTCGTTGTTATGTTATTACAAACAGGGTTCTCACTTACTTTTATTAATTTACATCATAGGACTTATGCCGTACTCGCAGTCGCAGTAAATAACTTTGTTGAGATTGTAATATTATTTGCAAATACATCATATTTTTTATTGAACTTCCAATTGTCTACATTCATAATTTGATCACCCTGAAATGACTTATGTTAGAGTTTAAAATCACTATCAACATAAAGTCATATCTTCTTACAAGTATGAAGAGTAATGGGGAGGGTGCATATGGAGAGACAGATATACAGGCTGTAAAATCATATCAGCCATCGTCTTTAATTTTTCTTTTTTTTTAGTAGCAACTATTCTCAGCTTCTATTCTCCAACAACAGAGCACAGCTTTTTTTCTTCAGCAACAGAAGGAACACCATTTCGTCGTTTGAAAAAAAATGAAGAAGAAGAAGAAGGAGAAAGGAAAAAGGATTCGTTTGGTTCCAATAATAATTTTTTTTCATGGATTATCTTATGGGAAGAACAGAACGAAAAAATGTAATTATTTTATACAGGAAGAGACCAGGATAATGTGTACACCCATGTAAGAGAAGTCTATCTACATTGCACACGTGCTGTTTCCTTCACACGTCCTACAGCATCCCTACAGTCACGTAAGCGCTAACACGCGTTTCACGCCAACAACTGAACGACTGCACTGCGTTTGGCGCAATGCGAGAAGTATTCACGCGGTCTTGAAGGCGCTAATACGGCCCGCACTGTTTGGCGCAATGCGTGAAGTATTCCGAAAGTCTTGCAGGCGCTAATGTACGTTTAACGCCGGCCGCACTGTGTTTGGCGTGATTATTCGAACTCGCGTTTGAATAATCGCGGCATCGAATAATAGAGCTTAAAAAGCCTATGCTGTGTTCTGACGCCGTATGAGCATTCCAACGTTGCCTCGTTTCTCCCGATTACATATTTTTTCCTAGAAAAGTTAGGAAAGTTTTTTATACCCGCGATCATTATTCAATCTTTTCACTTCATTTTATCATCAGAAGGAAAGACATCGATGACTTGTCAACAAACTAACGTAAACTTGCTTTAACATAAAAATGCGTTTATTTTCCAACGGTTCCCTGTTTTGCCAAACTTCTACCTCAAAATAACTTCATTTTAAATTCGCGCATTCCTGCAACAGATGCTGATGTTTCTGTTTGCGCAATCCTTTTGCTAATTCGCGGAATCCACATACATTTTCTCAGACGTTTCGCGCAATCCTGGATTACCGTATTGATTATAATCTTCGGCACGAAAATTCCTTAATGGTTGACATGGAAACTGAAATGATTATCAAAAAAAAAAAAAAAAAAAAAAAAAAAAAAAAAAAAAAAAAAAAATCTCAAAATAATCCACCCAAAGGTGACAATTTGAATCATGTCCAGAGTGAATTTAACCCAATCTGAGGATCCACGATATACGATGTCACGGTGGATCGAGCCTTTGTGGGGGGAGAGGGGGGGGGTCGGGTTTGATGTAAAAATTTGGAAACCAGTGGCAATATTGCAAGTTGGCAACACTGTTTTTCCTTTATTTAAATCCATTCAAAATATTGATTTATATGAGGCAAGCTGCCTCGCCAAGAATCGATTGTTTTACACACTTTTAAATTGAGGAGAAAAAGTGTTGCCAACTTTCGAGAATCTCCTTTTTTGGAAGCTTATATCTACGTTAAAAGGGAATACAGAATCGTGAAAAAGTTTCCGTTGGTCTTCTCGAAAAATTCTCTTACAGAAGCGCCCCATCAAGTTTATGATTTCACGGTATAAAAATCAAAATTTTCATTTTTAGTCAAAGATTCCATGTCCGATCTCCTCCAATGGCTCGTCCCGTCGTGCTACACTTAAAACTTAAAAACACTTTAAAATTTAATTTTAATTAATTTTGAACTTTTGGTTGATTGATAACTATCTTTCTATAAATTTTTTATATCAAAGACAAAGATAATTAATTTAATCATTTATCAGTGTAATTGACATACTTTTGTTTAGTTATTTGTCATCTTTTATCTTCAAAGATTAGATTTTTATGTGATTTTTGTGTGTTTTTGCTAAGTGATTGTCCTTTCTCTTTCATTTTCAATGTGAATCACTTACCGCGGTCTCTTTCTCTCTCGCATAATGTCTACCTAAAGGTTCAGAGGAGAAAAAAACGAAGTGAGGTTGGGTTAAATAAAACTGTAATTGCAGGCAATTTTTCCTAACTCTGTCGGCACAATCGAGTAGTAGTTGAGTTTGTCGCCTCGCGCGTGATCGGTTCTCTTCCGCCAGCTGGAGAGACTCGTAATGCTCTTGACTAAAGGCAAGAGTAACGATGAAGCTGAAGACGGGCTGGCTGTAATATCGCCGGCATTCAGAAATTTCAGCCTTTCGCACCACAGATTCCACATTACCTGCAACCCAGGTTTCGGCAAATTCCATTAATGCAAAAAAAAATTAAAAAAGAACAGGGTGTCTAGCATCAGGAAAAACAGGAAAAACCGGAAAATATCAGGAATTTTGGCCGATCAGGAAAAAATCAGGAAAATCTGAAAAATCGGACGTTTTATCAGGAATTTTTTTTACGCGAATCTCCTCAGCGGATAAAGTCTTACTGCTTTTTGCCTACAGTGCCAGGAGTCGAGGAAAATCAGGAAAATATCAGGAATTTTCAAAATGAAAAAATCAGGCATTTTGTATAAAATATCAGGAAAAATCATGAGTTTTCAAAATTAAAAAATACTAGACACCCTGAAAAAGGACTAGGATTGTTCAAATGGAGGAGTAAAACGGAAGTGGTGGGGTTAATGGGGCTAGGGAGTGACCACTTCCTAAATTAAGGCGTTGGGTTCAGAAAGGGCCTCTCCCGGTTGCGGTGTCTCAGAATTTCCAGTGCTAATTGGATTGCATACTGCAAAAAGGAACCAAGAGCATTCCAATGTTCCTAGGATTGTGCAACGTACTGCTTTGAAAAACAACTACTGAAATAATGAAAAAAAATTAAATTTACAAAGGTAATTTTCGTCTTGAACTCATAGCTTATATTGAGAGTGAATATGAAGCTTGTATAGATGATCAGTTTTTATTTTCAGGGTAACGAAAGTTGCGATAATCGTAACAACGATAATCGATCATTCACGCCACGCCACTGATGAACAGGATGTTCGAAACGAACGCTTCAATAATAGATTCTTTACTATTGCGTCAAATGGGGAAATATCGATAATCGATCATTCACGCCTCGCCACTGCGAGCATTCTGTTAAACTTACCGCTCTATTCTCGAATCCTCCTAATTCAAAATACCGCGTCTGCTCGTTACAAAGTTGTGCCTTTATCGTTTTCCTCCGTTTTCTCTTGAAAATAGTTAAATTTGCAGACTCTATAGCACACACAGATAATAACTCGAAATTTTCTATTTCTGGATCAGGGCTCATGTTTCTTGGAAACGCAACTGCGGCCTCCGTCGATGGTTTTAATTGGTCCCCCGCAATGACCAGCTGTGTAGGGGTCACACCTGGTGATAATCAATGAGAATGAATCAGCATATAAATGTAAAATAGTAAATTTATGAAAAAATGTGGCTGAGTATATGTGAAGAAGAATCTTGATCGACAAAAACTCAAAATTGAACTATGTTACGAAAGCTCAATGGGTGCTCTGCGAACATTTTGAGACAAAAAATGCCCAACGATGTTAAGCAAATCAAGAATTGCAGCTGTTTGAAGTTTCCAGGGTAAAAAACGTAGTTTCAAGGAGAATTTATTTAAAATTTTCATACCTTTCATTCAGGGTACAAAATTGACGCGTTATCATACAAATTCCTGCCCTCCTCTACCTCGAGTTTTACAATAAAGCACTGAACCGCTAGAGATTTGTTCTAAGGCATTCTCATGGTCACTAGAGAGAGTTTTTAGAGCCTTCGTTAGAGAGAGCCTTTCGTATTTTTTGAAGCAGGGTTAAGTTTTCTTACGGATGCTTTACGAGAGAGGGAGATGGTTCTGAAAATCAAAAAAAATTTCCTTTGGACAACTTTACTCTATGGATTTCATTATAGGGCACGTACCCAGATAGACTTGTCTTATTCCATTGCCATTTTCATCGGTCTCTGCGAAGGGACTCTCCACTAGGACCATCTCGGCGAGCTCGGAGTACTCCTTGAACAGCAGCTTCTGAATCCGATTTTGATGCATGATGCGAAACCCCAGTCAGCATTTCTTCCCCTGAACTCACGCAATCGTCTCGTTTTCAAAGCGACATCTCTTGTTTTGCGCCAACAACTTTCAAGTAAGAGAGTTTCTAGAGTCCTCCAGAGGTTATAGATACGATGATTGTTGGCACTCCTGTCGCTTTTTCTGTGTTACAGGCCCCTATGGATTGGAAACCTGAAACTAGCCAATACGTGATCAATATCAGAAAAGGGTCATATTTTCAATTGAGTTATTCACTCCAGACCGCAAAAGCGTGTCCTATACAAACATTTTCGCACAAGGAATGCCAAAATAGGGTTGAACTAATCCTGCTCGATGAAGGTTCAAAGTTTACAATTCGAGAAAACTTAGCAAAGAGAAAAACTTTAAACATTCTGAAATTTTCATTTTTAGTGCTCCAAATTCCAAATTTACACCCTCTATTGTCATGAAATTGCGAACTAGACAGCTCGCAACGCACTATTTTGTACATAGAGATATATTCCAAGTTTCTTTTCCGTAGCTCAAATTTCAGCTTGCCCACTGAGCTTGAAAAGAAGCATTCCAAAAATAAATTTTTCACATGGACTATGGCCCCTTTTTCCACTCGGTAGCGTAGCTAGAAATTCTTTTTTAAAGGGGAGAGGGGGGGTGTCCCATTCAAAAACGTGACGATAAATTTACATTATTTTGTGCACGTCTCCGATAATATTTTATGTCTGCCCTCCAAAAGTAAAAGAAAAGGCACAATTAACGAGGCTAAAGGGGGGGGGGGGTCCACACCTCCTTGACTCCCTTTTGTCTACGCCACTGTGCCCACTACAAAGGTGTAACCACAGCCTATGCCACCCGCTCCAGCGTGTGTACACTGTACACCTTTTTGGAGACTTTAACGCCAGGCTATAAAAGTAAGTCATTTCTCCTACTTAACAATTCGGCCATGAAAAATGTGTGACGAGAGAGAATTATAAGAGGTCTCCCTTATTTTCAAGTTACTCATCTCCTTCCCTAAAGGAGTGGTTTAGGGGGCATAGAATACCACCCACGTGGCGGGGGGGGGGCTTCTCATAAAAATTGGACTTTTTTTATCATTTTTTGGGCAATTTGATGGTTGCGTCATATTTTTAATTATAAAGATGTCTCGTTTCTTTATAAGAGATGGCGCCTCTTGTTAGCATATTCGGAAACGGCGCTTGGCCTCAGACGCAGAGTATTTACTTCATTTTAATACCCAATCAATAGTGCAGCAGCATAGATTAGCGTGTAATGCGGGTGGCTGAGGTGATTCCTTCACGAAGCGTCTAAACGCATAAAATACGACTTCAATGTGAAGAGATACTTCCTACATCATTTAAAAAATCAATAAACAGTGTAACATCACGTATAGCGAGTGGTGTAGTAACTTCAGTTAACTCTTTGATGAAGCGCGTGTACGCATAAAAAACGCCTTCAATGTGAAAAGATACTTCCTAGCTTGGCCGCTGAGACCGAATAGTTGTATCATAAAAAAAAGAAGAAAAAAAAAAGAAAAAAACAATAAACAGTGGGGCATGCTCTTTGTGAGTAAATGACGTAAATGACGTTACATCTGAAAATGTTTTGCTGATTCAAATAATTTTAACAGCCCAAAAACCAGGGTGCAAATACGAACGAAGCTATGACCGGCTTCCATCCGCAATCGCAGGGGCGGACTGGCCATGGGGGCGGGAAGGCGATTGCCTTCTAATAATTCGAGTCATCGTCTTTTTCTCGAATTTTTTTTGAGTCATCGTCTTTTTCCCCGTAATGTTGTAATTTTCTTATCCTTTTCAGTCACTAAAAGGCATCAAAATCCTTGAAAATTTGTCTCTAAGAGACATGAAAGGTCGCCTAAAGCTTGTGTGATGAAGGGGCCCCCGAAGAATCCTGAAAATGGGTAATTTTGAAGTTCAAGTACTGTAGAATTCAACTCCAATAATGCTTAAAATTGCATTTAAAAAGTGTGAAATATCAAAATTTTCCGGGGGAGGGCCCCCGGACCTTCTTAAAGGGGCCCCCGAACGATTACCAGTCCGTCCCTGGCTAAAATGTCGAAGGAAATCGACAAAGCCAGCGTGTATGAAGGCTATTTCAATTGTAATCTTCCGTCGCATTTATAAGGCGCAATGATACAACTATTTGAACTCTCCGGAATGCGCGAGGTATCACGCCGCATTTGAAGGCGTTTTCAAAACAGCCAAGTTCCAATACCCGGATTATCGTTTTGCATAGTTCATATTCTCTTGTTATATTCCGTGCCACTTGTTTATTTTTAATCCTCATAGAAAAACCACCCATTTGTAAATACAATTCTAGCTGGAGCGCACTTCAGCTATGCATTCACCACTGCAAAAATGTCAAAAGAAATCGGCACGCCCAGCATGCATGGAGGCTATCTCCATTTAAATCTTCCGTCACATTCTTACGGCGCAATGATACAACTATTTGAACTCTCCGGAATGCGTGATGTATCACGCCGCATTTGAAGGCGTTTTAAAAACAGCCGAGTTCCGATATCCAGATAATCGTTTTGCATAGTTCATATTATTTTGTTTTCATTTCTAACCACTTGTTTATTTATAATCCTCCTATAAAAATTACCCATTTGCTATATACAATTCTAGCTGGAGCGCACTTAAGCTATGCATTCATGACTGCAAATATGTTAACGGAAATCGAAAAGGCCAGCGTGCATGAAGGCTATTTCAATTGTGATCTTCCGTCACATTCTTACGGCGCAATGATACAACTATTTGAACTCTTCGGAATGCGTGAGGTATCACGCCGCATTTGAAGGCCCCCGCGGCGAATTTTTTTGGAGTCATCGTTTTTCCCCCGTAATGTTGTATTTTTCTTATCCTTTTCAGTCACTAAAAGGCATCAAAATCCTTGAAAATTTGTCTCTAAGAAACATGAAAGGTCGCCTAAAGCTTGTGTGATGAAGGGGCCCCTGAAGAATCCTGAAAATGGGTAATTTTGAAGTTCAAGTACTGTAGAATTTAACTCCAATAATGCTTAAAATTGCGTTTAAAAAGTGTGAAATTTCAAAATTTTCCGGGGGAGGGCCCCCGGTCCTTCTTAGAGGGGCCCCCGAACGACAGAAGGGGCCCCCACATTTAGGTCGCCTCCTAACTTTTCGATTACCAGTCCGTCCCTGGCAATCAGAGAAAAAGTTTAAAAAATACGGGGAAAAAAATAAAAAAAATATTTGCAGTGACGCCTGCTATACGGCGTGGCACAGTTGCAGGTTATTCACCATGCATTTAATTGATTCTTATACCCTGATACTGTAAATTTTTTAGGGAACTCGGCAATTCGGACTAACAATAATATAATTTTGGGTACCTACCTATTAGGCAATTCCTCATGCAGAAAGCTACTTAATTAAATTCCATCCATATGCATAAAATGCGTTGACTTGTTAATGGTTTGTTCAAGTAGTTGCTTGGATATTTGGTGGGAGAAACGATTACAGAAAATTATAAAAGGCGCTGAAAAATCAAAAACAAAACTGACAAATGACTCTTAATATGCGCACATTAAAACATTATCTCAATGGTCAATGGAAACTTTTACTTTTATCATATTTTATAAATTTTGATGGATGAGCTACGTGCACTATCAAGAGACGGAGAAAACATACTAAAAGGTTATAATCTACCACGTGTGTCCGTATCTCAGCTCTCAAATTCTCTAAGAAAGTGAAGATCAGTTCAAAACCATGGCGGCTGTACTTTTTAAATTTTCCTTAAATTTTTTTTAAAAATTTCCAACATGACAACCTCCATGTCGCTAACTTGCTCGCAACCGCGTTACTATGTGAAAGGCCTGGTTACACGATCAAATTGAACCATCAAATTGGGCCTCTCATTGGTCGCATCTTCACCTCAGGTCTTTTTCCATTTTTCAGAGCTTCAGTTTGATGGCTCAATTTGATTGCGTAACTGGACCTTAAGCTTCCATTCATCCGTTCTGTTAAGCCTATCGATGGCTAACGAACATTATCGCCTATCTGCAAAAGTGCAAACTGACGATTTGGCCGAACGAAGAGAAAATTTCGCCATTGGTGAAATTTTAAGATGATTTGCAATTTTTTCATACATTATAGCGTCATTGAAGCGCTCTCCTACAAAATTGGAAAAAAACTGAAACAATCAGCTTGCACATTTTATACTGTAAAATGCGACGAAGTCAATAACTCATTTTTGCCAAAATTGTCAGTTACGCGGTATTTTTCGTTAGCCCTCGCTAACTAAATTTCCATTTTTTTTTTTTTTTTTTTTTTTTTTTTTTTTTTTTTTTTGTCGTGTTTCTATTTGGAATAAATAATTCAAGGTTAAAATGTCTAAAAACTATAGGTATTGGTTCCTGATGAAGTTCTCGTGCTTTTTTCAAAATTTCCGACATCATTTGGACCGGCCAGAATAATCATGGCGCTATGAATGCCACAGAATCCGATTCATTCAAAAATAATTCAGTTGTCAGTTAACATTTTATCTATGGTTATTATTAAAAAACGTGTTAAGCGCATATTGCTCGCAAATATAATACCGAGTGAGCTTCAACATCGTGAAAGTTCCCTCGATGTTGGAGGCAAAATAGCACACGTGAACAAATCCGTCAATATGCACAAAGCGCCTGCTGTGATACAACTATTCGTGTTCAGTGGTTGACCTTGTTGTATGATCAACAAATTGAAGGCGCTTTGATTCTCCTTGTCCGGACACACGGCTCCGTTGAAGGAAAGTAACATGAGGAGTGAATGTACATCTCCGATCTCTTCGGCATCTTCAAGTACCTAGGGTAAAAATACTATGTTTTTAGCCAAAAATCGAAATGTGTTGTTCGAGCTCCTCGAAAAATAAATCGACTTTTAGATTTTTTTCTCAAAAAAATCACGAAATCGAAGAGATTTCCATTTTTTTCAGGAACAGATCTTATCGCAAACTAAAATCCAATTATACCGTTAAAAAGCTCTTGCTTTCAGCTTTCTAACAGTCTATCGTTTTTGTAATTTGGAGCAACTGGCCGCCTATAAACTGAATTTTACTGCAATCATTTCAAGGAATTTTCCGCCAACTCGGACGGCCGGTTCCCTTGCATTTACCTCGGCTGATTTTGAAGTTAAGAAAAAAACATGTACACCGTCAGAAAGACCACACTCTCAGCTTTCCATTGGTATAATAATTTTTGATTTTTAAGCAACTCAACGCCGGCACATAGGAATTTTTCGAAACTATGTCCAAAAACGAAGAAATACGGGTGGCTCCAGTCAAAGTCAATTTCTCGCCGCCCAAATGCACCAAAATGAAAAACCGACATGTCGTTAGAAAGCTGAAATCGTCAGCTTTCAAATGGTACCTTGGTTTTTTGTAGCGTTAAAAAATCTTGATTAAAAAATACGAATCGAAGTCGGAGATGAAACCTTGTATTTTGGCTACTCTTTTTTCTAGGGAGGCATCTCTTATTTTTTGCCAAATTTGGCAACCATGAATTTTCACTGAGACAGGTGTGATTCATAATGTGTCATATGAGACATAGGACTCTCGGGTAATGTTCAGAGTGACCAAACTCTCCCCAAAAATGACGGGGGAAAATTAAGAGATGCCTCCCTAGAAAAAAGAGTAGCCAAAATACAAGGTTTCATCTCCGACTTCGATTCGTATTTTTTAATCAAGATTTTTTAACGCTACAAAAAACCAAGGTACCATTTGAAAGCTGACGATTTCAGCTTTCTAACGACATGTCGGTTTTTCATTTTGGTGCATTTGGGCGGCGAGAAATTGACTTTGACTGGAGCCACCCGTATTTCTTCGTTTTTGGACATAGTTTCGAAAAATTCCTATGTGCCGGCGTTGAGTTGCTTAAAAATCAAAAATTATTATACCAATGGAAAGCTGAGAGTGTGGTCTTTCTGACGGTGTACATGTTTTTTTCTTAACTTCAAAATCAGCCGAGGTAAATGCAAGGGAACCGGCCGTCCGAGTTGGCGGAAAATTCCTTGAAATGATTGCAGTAAAATTCAGTTTATAGGCGGCCAGTTGCTCCAAATTACAAAAACGATAGACTGTTAGAAAGCTGAAAGCAAGAGCTTTTTAACGGTATAATTGGATTTTAGTTTGCGATAAGATCTGTTCCTGAAAAAAATGGAAATCTCTTCGATTTCGTGATTTTTTTGAGAAAAAAATCTAAAAGTCGATTTATTTTTCGAGGAGCTCGAACAACACATTTCGATTTTTGGCTAAAAACATAGTATTTTTACCCTAGGTACTTGAAGATGCCGAAGAGATCGGAGATGTACATTCACTTCTCATATAACTTTCCTTCAACGGAGCCGTGGACATCCAACAACATCAGCGCATTAGCCGTCCAAGGCGCCAGGTACGATTGGATCGAATCGCTGATCGAAAGCCTCTTGAGAAAACTAGGGAGCGACGCCCCCTGATCGCCTAAACATCCGTAATTTATGAATCTCAATTTTAGGGCGACAAATAATTTCTAACTTGAAACTTGAATAGAACTTTTTCTCTAGAAAATGCAACTTAATACCCTAGGACAGCAAAGCAGTATATCAATTGTGCTCGTTAAATGTTACTGAAGATTCTGAATCGTCATGCAGATTCTCTCAATTTATTTTTGTTTCTCCATGCTATCAGTTGAGAATAAGTGGCAGTTCGAGAAATACTGAACACCTGGGCTATCAGTCCCACCCACTTTAAAACAAATTAAAGTAAAACATTTCCCTTGGAGAACTGCAAGATATGGCCCAACAAAATGATTTCAATTTCCTTTTATCACTTCCTCCAAACGATTTTCACCATCTTCAAGTAAGCTAAAGCTCATCCTCAAGTAAGCTGTGGAAGCAGGTTTTTGCAGGTTTCGAAATTGAAGTCATGACTATTGAAACAAAATTTTTTTATTTTATAAAATTTTGCGATTGAACTTTACATACATACACAATAGATACAGATTGATGGTACTCTTTTTCGTCATAAAGAGTGGATACACTTCTGTGCCAAAAAAAAATCGATTCATCATTGAGGTAGGGTTTAAATTTTATATCACACAATCAGAAAATTCTTAGAGAGATCTGTATTCACAAGAAAGGATTTTGGTTTATTCCTTCGAGTTCTCATTATGTATCCTCATAGAAGTTTGGATCGAAACCATTGTAGAAGATTTTGATCTTCTTTAGGTAAGTCTAAAACCTATTCTTGGCTAGCTATGGCCTACAAAATGCACAACTCTGACCAAATTTCTTAAAATAAAATGCATTCTGAAAAAAAAAAATAAATAAAAAAGGGAAAAGTAATCGGTTTTATGACAGAAACTGAAAATGAATTAATTCCTCCAATTCTTCACAAATACCTCATTTTAAAATCGACTTGCTGCATTTGGAACCACCTACGCCAAAGAGATCAGTTTTCGAAAAGTTTTTGTTGCAAATTGAATTCTTACATAAAAAGGGTCTGATTCTAACAAATGGATCAATGAAGTGCCGAACTCTTAATTGAGAAATTGCAATATAAGCATGGTCATTGACAGATTTTGAGTGAATAAACAGGTATCTGGCCATAATTAGGTACTATCTTATGTTGTGACTTGAAGTTACAAATCATTGCGTACAAACAAACAGAAACAAAAAAATTGATCAATCCGCCACAAAATTATTGACTGAAATCTAAAATCCGACACTTCATAAATGCCTGCTATTTTTTGGATTCAAACAGAGCATAGAGTTGATTTCACTAAGCAATCACACAATTTGAGGATAATATAAGTACCTATTGGACAGTTGGGTTCATCTTTGCAAATGGAGGCTATTTACAAAGGATTTATTCTATGGATAGAACTCTTTTGCCAAAATGGACACAACCAATGTTACAAATCAAAAGGTAATGTTGTGTGGAATTTACTCTCATGATGTCTTCCCTGGGCTGTCTCCTGTCTCTATGATTTGATTATAATGTCGCCTCACACTTGCACATCTTAGAGATCCTTTCAGAGAATCATTCTTAAGAAATTCAATAAGCCCTTCATTGCAACATTTCGAGAGCTGAACGTCAGAGACGATTAGGTGTATGCCTCAATTGCAGCATTTTAAAAGTAGGTAGAAAGTGCTTGTTACACCTTTGTGGTTAAAAATTAGGTTCATATGGTAGAACTTAAATCAGTCTCAAACAAAGAAAAACATTTGTTTCGTCCTTTTTGCCCTCTTCCCTAGAAGAATTAGAAGTTTATACTTCGAGTAGAATCTCCATACCTGAAAACTCAAAAAATAACGTTCAGCGATTCCTATCCTTAAAATTACTTCCTATTTTTTTTTATCATCAGCAGAGAAAAAAGAGATGCTGTAAGGGCTCAAAAACCACAAAATTCAACGGAATGCCCAAAAAACTTAGAAACTGTCTCTGAATCATTTAAAAAGTGACAGGTATTGGAGAAAAAAATTAAGTAAGTGGAGGCCAAAAGAATTAAATGAAGTTTCTTCAAAAAACTAAAATCGCTGTAAATTACTTCATGAACTATGAAGTAGAAGTGCAAATTACAAGAGACAATCATGATTTCAAAAATAGTTTTGATAAGCAATCAATGGTCTGGACTCAACAACATACTTGCTTTCATGCAATACAAATTAGCAGACTAGAGGGAAAAAAGACCTGCATACTTAATACAGAAAAAAACTAGGTTTCGAAGATAAAGATGGTGGAATTACAGATGAGGTGGAACATATCATTATTCTTTGATTAAAAGTTTGAGATGTTCCAGATTTACTTCTAACTCCAAACTTGAATTAGGAACAGTTACTAAGAGGCAAAAAAACAGGGATCCTTGAAAAACATTTGAATTTTTTCAGGTTGACAAAAACACCGATTATTATGGACACCACAGCGTCTTTGTTGACTGTATAAGGCATGATGACCGGTTTAGTTAGCTGATTAACTGATTTAACCTGACATCACAGTCATAAAGTTGTTCCATAATGCAGGGTCGATGACCGGCGGGATAAGACCAGTATGAACCAATTTCAACCTTCACAGCCACCTCTTTTTTTTACTCAGATAAATACTTTGGATAATACAAAAATAAAATTAGAAATATATAACGACAGAGGTATTTTTATTTTAAAAATTCCTCTGAGCTTTTATTTTGGCTCAATTTACTGAGCCTTGACAGAAAATTTTGAATATTGGGAAATTATTCGGAAGGAGATACATTACTCAATGTCATCATTATTTTCTTCAACTCCATCTTATGATGAGAGACTAATATAAATAACCAAAGACTTTCGAGCAAAATTTACAGAAAAGATACAATAAAAGAAATGCTGAGAGCACTACACGGCTAAATGTATGTAAAGGTAAAAAACATTTGGCTTTCATGAAGCTTGAGCATATAGAAATTAGGTGGTCACAAATGTGGGGTGGTGGACTAGGAAATTATCCTTTGCACACAAGAATCCACGAAAAGAGTAAAAAAGGGGAGTAGAGCTTAGAAAAATCTACTTCATTATAAAAATTAATACATTTTTATGGTGGCAGCGAAGTTTTGCTCTACTGGATCGAAAAAAGTTGCATAAGGGAAGTGTAGCCTTGATGCTGCTCTTGAAGGTCAAGCTCAGTAACATCCAGTTTTAAGAAACCTCAAAATTGTTGAATGTGTAAAGCAGCAATGAACCCAAACAAATGGCACAGCTAACAGCCATAAAACAAATTGTTCAGAGGCACAAAAAGTGGAGAAATACTATTGTAATACAATCATCAATGAATGATGGAGTTATTGAGGTGACCATTAAAATTTCTGACATCCATGTTCACCAACCCCTACCTCGAGTCCTGGCTCTTTTGGGTCCACCCCTACCTCGCCCGCGACCTCGGGGCCTCTCTTCGGACTCTTCAAACCTCTTGTGGCCTTTGAATCTTGATTCATCATCATCTCGTGAATGACCACCACCCCTACTAAAGTTACTACTGTTATTTACATTATTATCGTAATTGCTATTACTGTCATCAAACCAATCAGGCTTGCCACCCCTACCTCTACCCCTGCCTCGACCCCGACCACGCCCACGACCCCTGAACGGAGGCCGCCCTCTGCTTCGGCCTCGAGGCATCCCTCGATTCATGCCTTCATCATAGTTGTTATAGCTGTCGTCTTCCATTTCTTCTTGGTTTTCATCCCAATAGTTTTCATCCCAACCTTCACCATTGGGTCTAAAGTTGGACCGGTCATCATTGCCATGGTAACCATCATTAAATTGGTTTGGATCATAATTATTGTCGTAATTTTCATCGTATTCCTCTTCATTGTTTTCCGTGTATTCTTCTTCCCCATCTCCTTGATTAAAGTGAGGTGGAGGAAATCTTGGCTGACCATGTGATCTATCCTGGAACGGAGGACCAGAGGGTCCCATTGGTCGTGAGCCCATCATCCGAGGCGGCCCAAAACCTGGACCACGAGGACCAGGACCACCTTGACCACGAGGACCAGGACCACCTGGACCATGAGGACCAGGGCCACCTTGACCATGAGGACCAGGACCACCTGGACCACGAGGCCCTGGACCACCTGGACCACCTTGACCTTGAGGACCGGGACCACCTGGACCACGAGGCCCTGGACCACCTGGACCATGAGGACCAGGCCCACCTGGCCCATGGCCATCCATATATTCTCCTTCCCCATCTCCTTGATTGAAGTGAGGAGGGGGGAATCTTGGTTGACCATGTGACATATCCTGGAACTGCTGGCCAGGAGGCCCCATTGGCCGTGGGCCCATCATTCGAGGCGGCCCAAAACCAGGACGGGGGCCAGGACCACCTGGACCATGTAGACCGGGACCACCAGGACCATGAGGGCCAGGACCACCTGGACCATGAGGTCCAGGCCCTCCTGGACCATGAGGACCGGGACCTCCTGGACCATGAGGACCGGGACCACCTTGACCGTGGGGACCGGGACCACCTGGGCCGTGGGGACCAGGACCACCTGGGCCGTGGGGACCGGGACCACCTTGACCGTGGGGACCAGGACCACCTTGACCGTGGGGACCGGGACCACCTGGACCGTGAGGACCAGGACCACCAGGACCGTGATGGCCGGGACCACCTGGACCATGGGGACCAGGACCACCTGGGCCGTGAGGGCCAGGCCCATTTCCATCAAACATAGGAGGTCTTGGAGGGAAAGGTCCTTGCATTGGAGGGCCTTGCATGGGAGGATAAGGACCTTGCATATGCATTTCTTCATCTGGGTAATCTGCAAGCAAAATGGAGCCTTGTAAGTTTCTTCTACTTAAACTACTTAAATCATTGAGTAAGTACAGAACAGCAAAAGAAACATGTGCTAATAACGCTAATGATGTGCATGTATAAAAAACACTTTTGTCCATAAGACCCCCCCACATCCCCTCACATATTGTCATCTGGAAGCATAGATCTGTTATTCCCAGAATTTTAGATTTTGCAAATAGCTGTACGGAATGGATCCAATTTTATGGCCTAAGTATTTCAAATTTTAAGTCTTTGGTGAAAGAACGAGTTTTAGTTATTTATTAGTCACACTCTCTTTGCCCGTTTTGTTGTATGTTTTGTTGCCTTTGTATTTATTTAAGTGTTATCTAATTGGGACTTGTCCCGTTGAAATTGAAATGAATAAATAAATAAATAATGATAAACTTATGCACCAAAAGCTATGATTTACCATCAACTTTTCTATCTGTAATGTGAGAGGTGCTTTACGTCCACTGTCATTTATTCCAATATTTTGAAAGAAGCAGAGAATAAGAAAAACTCAGGTAGCAACTTTGATGCTGGGGCAGACTTACCTTCATTGTGCATTCTATAGTCTTCATCCATTGGTTCTTCTTCATTCCAATCATCCTTCCAATTCCTCCAGTCTTCATTGTCATCATAATAATCCTGAAAAATATTTGAGCACATATGTCAAATAACAATTTTTCACACTTGGATTTTACTTGAGGCGATAGGCACAGACGATAGGCTCTCATCCCCAGAGGATGAAGTGAAGGGGTTTTATTTTGTCAATTTTTGAAATCTGTCCATTATGACGAACATACACTTTTTATCAACTTTTAAATTAATTAACCTTCATCGGATTTATCAATTTAAAATCTTTTATCCGTGCCTGATAAAGCAATGACTGGATAATTATGGCTCATGCTTTCAGTCAAAAGAGGAAGAGGAAGAAAATACTTGAATTTTAAATTATGGAATAATCAAGACATGAGCTGTACACCCTACTTTTAGAGGAAAGCTGGATAAACCTTATTTTCACTTAAAATAAAGTACAAGGAATAGGTAGTGAACAATTGTGAAAAGTACCTATTTGCATATTGTGGGGCCTATGGCTATGTTATTCTTAGCTAATACTTGGTAAACACTTGTAAATATGAACGGTAAATTTGAAGTTAGTAAATACAGCTAAAAGCTGGGATGACACCCTTTTATGAAGACCTCCGTCCTCATCACTTGCATTTCTTATATGGTCTAAAAGAGTGAGAGATAAAGGCATGCTTAATGTAAAACTTGATTTTTGATGTCTTCAAAAAAGTAGATCTGAGTAATTGGAACATGTATCTTCTCGTTCGTTCAGTTGTGAAGAGTTGCTACCTTAACAATGGTTTGCTTTCAGAGCAAAACCTTTGGTCCTTTTTTTTCCGGCATGCAGACTAATTAATAAAAATCTGAAAATCAATAATTTTTTCTTTGGTCACTTGCGTAAATAGTATCAAAAATTATACGAGTGAGGCTAAATGTGTTTTTTTGTAGGAAACACTGCAGGTTACAAAGGTTTTTGGCGAATTTAGATCATTCAATTACCTCATCTTCATCATCAACAGCAAAAAGATCAAAGTTTGTTTCCTCATCTATTGGGAGAACATCTATTAATTGAGGGATAGCACCAGAATGAGCAAGTTGCATAATTGCATCCTTTCCTTCTCGAATGGCTTGTTGTAACGCCGATCCAGCTATTGAAACATAGCACAAAATTAAAATTTAAAACAAAAAGAACACACTTTGCACTTTCAGCTACATAAATAAAACACTTTTACCCCCAAGCTGATTGCTGTTCAGTGCACGTCTCGTTTAGACAGAGAGCTGAAACAACAACATTTTGTTGAAAGGCTTTTACCTGACAACGCTTATCTCTTGATTGTAACTGAACGGTTTCAATGACTTCTGAAATTTGTTGAGCATAGGGTAAAAAGTTTGGGCATTCATATATGATTGTACTAGTAATTTGGTAAATGGATAATATAGACAATGCAGCAGTTTTGGATAAATTGGTAAAAATAAAAAAAGAGTGAAACTGAAAGAGAAATGATCAAAGAGCATCTGTAACCAAATGGACCGGACAAGGTACAAATTTAAGCATTATGATCTACATTTCCTCTTCAAAATTTCATAGAGAACAAAAATTACTGCAATTAACTCCTAACCCAGATGTTGACATTCTTAATTTAGCATTGCATACAAAAAATTTGAATTTCCCGCTCACAAGAAAAACCATAGTCTACGTGAATCACATTGCGCACAACAACGGTTTTGGCAGACTTCTCAATCAAGCAGTGTTCCATTTCCAGTCTTGTAATTGATGAACAGAAAAAGAGCTCAAAATAAAGGACTTACGTTTAACAGGGAGCAGTCTTCCATAAATCACAATAGCATCTGGCTTGATTTCAGAAATGGGTAGACATCCAGGTGTTTCCTCCGGGTTAATTTCAGCATTTTCATCTTGCCCTTCCTCTGCATTATCTTCAATACCGCGCACAACGTTCCACTGTGCTTGGAATTGTTTTGGAATTGGCTTAGAATAAGGAACCTGATAGAAAAAACCAAACGGCATTTATAAAAATTATGTGAGATAGAAGTCAAAATTTTGACCATTGTGGTATTTTGTATATTTTTTTGCTAACTTTACAGCTTTACCATTCAATATTACTGACACTCGGTATGCCAGTGCATACATTACCATCATGCATAATTCTCAAAATTTGATTTTAGTTTGAAGTACTCGACGGACGGAACAAAGCTAGGTCTGTCAGATACCATAGCACTGTGAAAGGAGGGGAGATGGAGGGGGTAAACAAAATAATTGATTGTGGGGTCAAAATACTTTCATGATGTATTTTTTTTAAGGGGTTAAAATACATGCAAACATTTTTACACGATTCATTAATAGACAATTTAATGATTGACAGTTTATGATTTTAATCAAGTTAAAATCATTTCAGTTACATGAAATTTAAAATTTGAGTAATGTAAAATTCTCTCAAGGGTTACTGAAAGAAAACTAACAAAAGATGTACTAATTAAATTCTGCAACAGATGTTTAAAAATGAGATGCTAAAATGTCACATTTAGTGCTTAAAGGTGTACTTTTTTTAAGGGGTTAAAATACATGCAAACATGTTTACAAGATCCATTAAACGCATTATTTGGTTATTCATCATCGACAGAACAGAATTTTTTCCAGAAAAAAGTTATTTTCAAGACTGCAAGAGCTTTGAAATTTTGAGCCAGATAAGACAGCAGTCAATAGTGAAAATATAATGGTAAAGTTAAGAGACCAGACCAAGACCAGATAGCTGGCAAGAGGTAAACTTGAGTCTGGTGCTGTTGCAAACACTTTTTGAAAAAAGCGCAAACTCACAGTCAAGCGTCTAATACTTCCATACCTACGGGGGTTCAATTTCATCTCTCATCACTCGCTGTTGAGGACAATTTGAATATAAAAACGCAAAAAATGAAATGCTGTTGGAAACAAGCCAGACATACTTTTTTAATTGGAGCCTTGAGCTTCAATTCCTCTGCTGGATCCACATCCAATCCAGGAATTGTATCAGGGTTAAGCGGAGCTGGCGGTGGAGATGCAGCCACTTTATCTTCAGGTCCCATACCCGGAATAGCTGACACATCATCTGGAAAAGATTAGAAAGTCGTTTTTTCTTGATGAGTTGCCAAAGTATAAATTGGTACATCCTAATTTCAATTCTTTTTTTTTTAATTTTAATATTGGCTTAGACGTCCCCACACAGTAATCATGTAAAGCCATATTCTACCATCCTGTCGCTTGCTGTATTTAGGCCACATTTTTAATGTTTTTTTCTATGCTGATAAACCTATTGAAGGGGGCGCCCACTGAAAAGCTGGCGATAGAGGGTTTTAAAAGAAATAACGGAGTGCCAACTCCCTGAAGGATTAGCTACCATACGGCCCCAGTGAACACTGTGAAAGCAGCTTTCATGAACACTGTGAAAGCAGCTTTCATGAACACTGTGAAAGCAGCTTTCATGTATGTATAAACCTATCTCTTGAACTTGTTGCATGCTTGAATTGTCTCATTACCATGAATCAAAGATAGAACCATCTGGATAGGAGTGTCAATCAAATTTTTTGCTTGATATTAAAAGTAAATTGGAAATACATTTTACATGAACTGAAAAATAGTTAAATGCATCTAAAACACGCCCCCTGACAGTAATAAGTAATTTATGCCCTTCTTATCGATGCATTAACATTCAACACCAATAGTTTTTTATTCTCTATCTCTCTCCTTACCCCTCTCTCTATCTTTCTCTCTCTCCTCCTTCAAATACTCCAGAAATCATGCACTGAGAATACAATACCCTCTTTAGCCCCTCCACAACCAGCCCAAGTAACGGTTGTTCGGAACCGTCAAACTAAAGTTGCCCTAATTTCAAGTTTTTGCAAAAGGCCTCTATAGGGACTAGTATTCCTCAATAAATTCAGGTATTTATATTTTCTACAGTGACATATATAAACCCAACAGTTTGATAAAGGCTCCTAAGATCTAAAAAATAAAATTATTAACAAAACCTATCCAACTTGGACATTTTTTTGCAAATTTTCCTTTTATTTACCTATTTCATTATCTTCTAATCCAGCTAGAGCTTGAGGTAGAGTGTTGAGGTTATATTTATCCTTCATTTGGTCCCCTGGTCGATTCCTTGTCCAAAATTTACTTGTGTGATCGTTGGAACCGGAGCAGAGAATGTGACCTAGAGGATGCCAGGCTAAGGTCCAAACTATACTGTCATGTGCTTGTTCTATAGCACCTACTTCTTTGTCAGCTCTGCAAACACATGCAGAGACAAATTTATCATGAATAAATAAAGATAGGTTCAGATACCATGAAGAGTTGCAAGAGTTGGAAGAGCAACGTACATTCCAATAAACATTCTTCCATCCTAGAATTAAAGGAAGCTTTCTTCATTGACTCAAAATTGTAATTATAAAACATTCTAAGAATGCTAGAGGTAGTAGAACCTGATTGATAAGGACTGATGGAATGGTAACTAAGTGCTAGAAAAAAAAATTAGGTGTTTTTGGGTGGAAGAACTTATATTTTTCTGCGAAAATACCAAAGTTATTTGGCAACTTCGCACCATCATTAGGGTTGACTGCTAATACTTTCAGAGTGCATAAAATCATGAAAATTCAATCATTGTTCAAGACACAATGTACCTCGCAAAAATTGGTGAGCACAGCTCAAGGTCTTTGCAACCTCTTATTTAGTAGCGAAACTCAGTTATTTAACAGTTGCATGGTCAGAGTTTCCAAATTGTCTTCATTTTCTAAATTCCTGACAGTCCCCGGCTCTCCCTTTTCTCCGACTAGAAAATTTCTGGATTCTCTGACTTCCTCCGACTTTACGAAACCTTCAAACAAAACTTCCGCATAGATTTTTACCTTTTCATTCTCTGATTTTTACTAAACTTTTGTCAAACTTTTCTTTTCAGAGATTTAAATTATGGAAAAAGGCAATCGGATATTGCTAGCCTTTTCTCAAAACGCTCGGCTAATGCGCTACTCGCAAAATTCCCTGACTTTGCCTATGAAATCCTTGAATTTTCCCTTAAAAACAATAAAAAGGGCATTAAAATTTTGAAAAACTGTGATCAAAATACATGGCTCTCTAGGGTAGCCATTAATGTGTTGTCTATTTGAGGAGTAAAAATACAAATCACAAGGGAAATATTAGAACTTACCCAACATGCCAAAATAAAATGGCCCCATCAGAACCACCACTACAAAATAACCCTTCATGGTAGGGATGCCATGAAACGCAGCTAGATTCCTTCTTGTGACCACGGAATGTTTGTACCTCCGTAGATAGGTTTCTGAGATCAAATAGTTTCAGCAGATGATCGCGAGAGGCAGTGATTAGCCAATTGCCATTTTTATTCCATTTGATGTCCATGACAGTATTTTTATGTGCATGTCTGAAATCAACAAAAATAAAGACAGCCGTCTAAAATTTCAATTTACATAGGGCGTCCCAAAAAAACTGAGACTCATGTTTGCTTCACAAAAATTTTTGTTGATTGGAATGTGCTTTGCAAAAGGCTTTAGAATACACCATCAACCTTCAAAGAAGACCTTAGAGAGCTCATTTGAAAAAAATCTGCCATAATATGTCGTTTTTCAAAAACATGATGAAGTGAACCCTGAAAATTTCCTTAAGTGTTTCTCTTTTGATCTACAGTTATTGACCCACGTAATCAGCTTTCACTGCAAAAAAACGTTGTGACAACATCAAATTTGCGGCAAGAAAACCTTTGTTTCCATTACAACCAGCCATTCACATTTGTTCAGGTTACAGAAAACATTCACTTTTGTGCATTACGCCTGAATAATTGCCATGATGGGTTTTCTTGGATAGTGAAAACAAGAGAAAAGAAGCTACTGATGATATAGGGACTTCATTTTCTTTTCCCAATTTGCACCTCTACACTGGACCGCAGAAGCACTGAAGATGTGGCAAGTCGCTTTTAGGATTGTGGAATAGTTTTGCACGTATAAAACTTTGTAAAAAACTAAAAAGGTTCATTGAAAAGTTGAAAAAATCATTTCTAAGGGGCGAAAAAACTAACAGCCAAAAGTCGAGTTGACGGAGGAAGACTACAGACTGATTGTGAGTTCAGCCGATCAATTAACACCGTTTTCTCTAGAGCATGACAAAAATTTCCATTTTCGGCAATTTCCAAAATGGGATATCTTTGCCATTTAGGGTTTGAAAAAATCTGTAAAAATTCTTAGAGGCTTAATTGACTGTATACTTTGAGAAAATGAATTAAATACCGATCCATTCTCTAATGAAACCTTTTAAGATGATGAATTAAAAATAAATAAAATAACTTACAAAGTCGCTAATGCTTGCCCAGTTTTGGGGTCCCACAGTTTGATTGGCTGTTGATTATCTTTACTACCTGAGATGATTAAACCTTTTTGAGGATGCCAATCTATACATTTCACATCTGCACCATGACCTGTGAAGCAACATTTCTTGGATAATTTAAGGATGTACGTACTTCACAATAGCAATGGACCACTAGACAAGTTACGAATTTCAGCATTCTGATACATGATTCTTAACCAAAATTTCACTTAGAATACGACGCGCACAACGAAAATTACCGAAATCAACTCCTTATGAAGATATTTAATGATTCTTAATGCGTGAATTCAAACCACCCGCTCATGAAAACACAATGCTCTACGTGATTCACATCACGCGCTAAACGTTATCATGACAGTCTCTGCTATATTAAAATCTGGCAACCTCAATGTTGACGCTTTGGCTCAGCTATAGCAAATTGCTTATAGTTTGAACATCAAATGGTGGGAAATGAACATTGCTCGATTGAGAAGATCGCTGAAACCGTCGTAGTGCACGATCTGACTCACGTAGAGCTTTGAGTTTCTTGTGAGCAGGCAGTTCAAATTCCTCGTAACCAATGTGAAGTAAAAACGTTAATATCTTCGTCAGAAGTTCGTTTCAGTAATATTCGTTGCGTTAATCGTGTTCTACGTGAAATTCTGGTTAAGAAACATGTATCAGATTGCTTAAATTCGCACCTTGTCTAGTGGTCCATTAAGTATTGATTCACATAAAATCTTTCAGTTTAAACTTACACAAATTTCCTTCATTTCTTTTATATTCTCTCTTGGGGGAAGAGGGGGGAGTCGAGATTGGTAAAATTACTTTAATTCCTGATAAAACACAATTTTTGGCAGACTCAAGTATTCCATTGCAATTTTTACATAGATTTACATGTAAATGTAAGATTCCGTCATAAAATAAACATGAAAATATTCCAAAAGACGCTTAATGTTGACTAGTATTCGAAGCACTTGGCTCAATTTAATTTTCTTTCAAATTACAACACAATTCTGATTGGGTGCAAGAACCTGTCAAGGCTAAATAAAAACTGGGATACACACCTCTGAGTATTCTTTCCTCATGACACTGATAGAAATCCCATATTCGTATTGTACCATCATCAGAACAAGATGCAAATTTGTCATCCGTTGGACTAAAACTGTTCAAACAAAAGAGAAGTTAAAAATTATACAACCATGAAGAAAAATTTCGGTCAAAATTGTAATGGCGCACAAAAATTGTAAGAGTACGGGTGATGGTAACTAATGGGTAATATTTTTCAAGTTGCCGACTTAGGCATCAAGAAAGATCAACAAAATGGTGCTTTTTTTATGCGCTTCAACCAAAGCACTTACTATTTAAATACTGTTATCTATAATTCGAATGAGCTTTTACATAATCATAGTATTTTTACATTTCCATCGTCAATGAATTCTGAAGTTCAAATTGTGACTTTGGATCATTAGAATTTCCGAATATTGATGTAGAAATTCAGCACAGACGGTACGAAATTTTAGAAAAGAGGCTTCATGTTAGTTTATTTTTTAGGGGGGGGGGGGTGTCACATAATGACGCCTTGTAACGCCTGGTTCCCCTGATGCCACGTTTGAGGAAAGGTCTAAAGGACAGTTAATCCATTATGGTATACAAAACGACACTACTGCAGAGTTGTCGAAGATAGAGCCAACTCAAATTTTATTTTTCCAATATTAGCAGAACACAATGCGTATTGACAAAAAAAACCGGAAAGTGCAATGATACAGTGTTCCATTTTGAGAATGATGTTCAATGAATAAGTATAAATAAAAAAAATGTCTATTACCTGATACCACGAATGGCCTCTTTGTGTGCAGGAAACATTTTGATGTTATTCATATTTGACTGCCAATATTTGATATATCCAGCATGATCGGCAGTGACCATCCAAGAGTCATTATTTGACCAAACCATTGTTCGAACTGGACTATCATGTGCCTGGAGTTGGAAACACATCAATTAGTTTATGATCAGATATAAAAGTATGTAGTGATATGATTGATGATGGTGAATTTTTGATGGTTTTAACAGCTGAAAGTCGTCTGAATACGGCTCACCTTTTGTCTACAGTAATCACCTTTCTAACTGTACGTACCTTCACTTCTCTCCTAATGCCTTTTGGAAATATCACAATAAAGGCTTATGTTTTCCAAGTTCACTGTCAATATGCTATACCAAACATAAATGTATCGGTATGTTTTGCTAAAAATAATTTCAATTTGAGCAAAATCGACTGGTTCATCTATCTTCCCCGATCATACTTTGCAGATGCCACTCCAAAATCCTGTCAGGCCCTTTGAGGCAACACAGTTCAGGAGGAGCATGCCCATCTGGTAGTAGGCTCTTAGCCAATTCCTATTATCAGCTGAATCGTGATTAAAATGTAGTTTACTCATGGTGCTTGCTACTGCCAGCGCTACTCATCAAATTGAGATTGAAACAACAAAGCCCAACTCCATGGGAGCAAGGTCGTGCTCTGAAAAATGCCCTGCTCTGTAACATCTGCCAATACAACCTGTCAATACAACCTGACGTTGGCTTAATATACAGCCTATGCGCATGAACCAAATAGAGTTTTGGTCACAGTTACCAGTTAGGGGACACGGTCTAACTTTGAGGTGCACAACAGGAGGGTTCTCTTCAGTTACCCAGGCCCCATGCTCTCATGGGCCTTACCAGTCAGCCCAGGGCACTCAATTAATTTTGAAATACTTTTGAAGACATTAGTCATTTTTGCTTACTGCAGATGAAGGCTAAAATTGATTATGCTAAAAGATAAGACAAGAAGAACTGTTGAATTGTCTGTGCAAGACGATGCAATACATTCCTGTGCAGTCTAGCAAGTAACTGCCTGGATGGGCTTTTAACTTCCCGGTAGAGCCTACTGTATTTTACTGTCATACCTACCGCTCTCATCAAATACATATCGAGTCAAGTTCTGAAAAAAATTCTAGCGTTAACTTACCTGCAATATAGTTTCAAAATTAAACGTTAAGCCATTCCAAAGGGTAAATTCACCACTGGAAGTTCCAGTCACCAATCTCCGACCCTCTGGGGTCCATGCCATACAGAACACTGGACAGCGCATTTTGTTGGTGGCTGTTTTAACAAACCGGGTTGTTACTGCATTCACAGCGTTATCAGGGTAACTTGGTGGGGGTAAAAGCTCAGGATTATAGATTGCATCCGGTTGGAGGAATGTTCTATCCCGATAATCACGTTGCCATATTCGTCCCTGATTTAAAAACAGAAGCACAGATACAGGTTGGTCAGGATTGTCTAGTTTAGCAAAAGTGCAGAGCTTTACAAGCTGAAAGAATCATGTAGTTATGTGAGATAGAAATCAGGTGAACACAATAACGCAGCAAAGTTCCGAAACTCAAAATTAAGATATGCTAAAGGAAATTTTTTGCAGATATATTGGTACACACAATCAAATAATAGTACCTAGAAGTAAGACAAAATAGCCAAATTTTAATTATGATGTTTTGAAGTTTGAAATTCAAAAAACATCATTTTAAGAAAAAGCTATTTAAAATTGAATATGCCAAGCTCACTTCTTGAAATTGTCACATTAGAACGCTATGAGGCACCAGACAAGGTATGAGCTGAAGGAATAAATTGCATGTTTTCACTTTTAAAATTTTACGCAGGACATTAATGATTCATGCAACAGGAAGTTTAGAAATCATCTATCGAAGAGGATATGACTTAGTAGCTAACGTTTCGTCGCCTCCTGCACGGAGGTACAAGTCTTAATTGTTTTAGTATTCCTGACTTTTTCTTTAAAGAAGAATTGTCGCATGAATTTACCTGAAATTTTTAGTGATTTTTCTTTACACTTCCGAAAAAAGACATTATTTTCAAATAAATTTGCGTGATTATGCTTCAATGAAAAAGTAAAATGTTCTATAAATGCTGAAACAGTGCAGACAAGATGCATTCCTTTGTGCAGGAGACGAAGGTTCGTCAAATGGCATGAATACAAATGACAGCATGAGTATGTTTCAGGTTCTTTGTGATCAATCTTAATTTTACAAATTAAATTTCGAAACTTCCTGTTGCATGAATCGTTTTCTACAGAAAATTTTAAAAGAAATTGATCATGTGCTGTATTTCAAACCTTGTCTAGTGGCCAATTCCTTATCTTCTCTCTATCAACATAAAAAAAGAAGAAAAACCACGTCCATATTATTCTTCAGAGTGCTACAGCGTGTTTTTCATCGAAAGCTCTATCCAACTTTAAAAAAGTCACTTTCTTAAACAATTCACCTCTGCTCACTGAGTCACCTTTTCTCATGAACAGTTACCTACACATGCAGAAAAAAATTTCGAAATTTTCTTCTTGAAACAATGATAAATTACTGTAGGGAAAACAAAATGAGGACTTATCATCATTAACAGGCTAAGTGTTAAAGAATCGAAAAATTCGATAGATGTGGCATTTCGCTCTATACATCAAGGACAATTTGCTGCATTGCAGATTAAGTTCTACCAACGATTGAGTTGAGCATGTAATGTCCTAAAGACAGCATCAGTGGTATGTTCCGCAGCAGTTTTCAGAAATAAAGGTGCGAATAACTTGAAAACAACTATTCCGTACTTAGCCCATTATTGATGATAAATCTTCAAGGGAGGAGTTCATCAGTAGACCAAAATTGACATTATTAGCTATAATGTAAAAAGTCTTATCTGAAACAGCAAAAATAAAGATTAAGGACAGGATACTTGATTTGTCATGTTTTATTCTTTCGTTTTATAATTGGGCCTATTCCAGTGTCAAACTTAACAGTTCATACAAGATGTTTTAAGTTAATATTAATTCTATTAAATTTCGTGCATACTGAAAAATTATTAGAAAACAACTTGCGGAAGTTCTTGTGGGTCAGTGCGACTTCATAATGTCTTTCATCATACCTGTCAATTCATGTCAATGTCATATACCTACTGTTTACTTTTATGTAGAATCTCACAGTTGGATTTAGATTTCGTTTGATACTGCAGACGTATAATTGTATTCTCTTTGTGAAAAGGGACAATTTCATTCATCTAAATATCTGCATTAAAACATCGTATTTTAACTGAGATTTCAGACCTCGTAAATTTACATCTCTATCGATATTATTATAAAAGAAACATGGCAAAGTCAGATTTTGGGATTCGCCTTTTGCTGTTCATACCCTTGATCACTTTACAACGGATTCCTGCCTTAAATTTCTCGTATTTTCACAGAAAGAGCCCCCTTTATTTTCAAAATTGGCTTCGACATCAACTGTTTGCAGTTTTGTCTTGATTAGATTTTGCTTTCTCGTAGAATAATAATACTACACCAATTTGATCAATTTTTTCATATTCTCCATTTCACTCTCCATCATTACGATTCAAAAACTTTTTTTAAGGTCAATTTGCATTGAGAGGACACTAGCTAGTTTGGCATGGCCAAAAAATGGTCTGGGTAATAGTAGCGCTCTCGAAAAATCTCAAGGAAATATTCCGTTATGATGCACCGATCTGACAAACTGCACTAATACAGAGAGCCAACGTATGTGCGCTTTTCAGGAGAAAGCTAAGGGAAAAAGACAACAGAGAACATTTCGTCAAAAACTCAAGGGATTTTCAAGAATCATCAGAAAAATCAATATTAAACTTCATAATGAGCATTGAAACTATGATTTCTCCATAGGTCGGCTCTTAGAGTAGCTTTTATTCAATCCGAAATAGTCATTTTCCGGTAATAAAGGCTATGCTGTCCTTGAAAATCTTTCCACATAATACATAAGTCAGAGAACAGCTCCCTGGTTTGAGAATAAGCACCTGTTTGTTCCTTGTACATTCCTTTGGTAAAGCAAATTTTGTTACACGCGTCAGTTATCTGGAGACCAAGTTTATTAAATCAAGTTCAATATTTTTGTAATCGATCGTATCCTTTAAATTAAACTAACACATTCTGCCAAATAACTTCACCTAAATACAAGAGGTGTCAAAGCTTTCCAGTTCGAGTTTTCTGGGTTAATATCACAGTATGGTTCTTCGGAGAGGTAGCCAATCACCTTGTAAATTCAAATCTCCTTCATGATTTATATTTTTGGATTAGTTGAGAACAGCCAACTAGAGTTTTACCATCCCTTTGTTTCCCTTTAAGTTGATGAACTGGTTTCTTGCTGAGATTTTCATTCGTACACCCAAGATCTTCATTTAATCGATTCCCCATTTCCTAGTTCTAAATGACAGTGTACAGAAATTTGATATGTGTGATAAAACATGCTGGGAAATTTGTGTTGCTGAAATTAAATTTTGGTTTTATGTCAGAACTTTAGGCCTGGTTCAGACGATCAAAAATTGGTTGATTACGAAAATTTTATGCTAAACAAGATTTAAATTATTGTTAATTCAAATGAGTTCAGTCACAATGCGTGGTTCCATGAGCTTTTGACAAGCCATGACAAACCATTTGACCGTGTGCACTGAGTTTTAATTTATCCGTCTACTGTAGATTGCCAAATTGCATTATGTTTGAACTTCCTAATTGGTGAATTCTGGGCAAGAAAAGGAGAAAGGAGTGAAAGATATTTCAGAGCTAAAATGTTGCAATTTCCGAAATTGAGGATCCAATTCAGTCATGTCACCTTTAGGACAGCTTTTGAACTATCTTTTCAGCATGGATGTAGAATTTATTTATGAATAAAAAATTGCGAGCAAATTTTCATTGATACTTCCAGAAGTTCAGTCAATTGGTATGAGGCTTGACATGATAGAATGGAAAGTGTTAATTTTAAATAAGTAGTTGTTTTGAGGTTCCGCTTTATTTTCACCACTAAGTTGTCAATTTCGCACCCTCGCAACAATGCTGAGCATTTTGCCGTGCATCTGAAGCCACGTAAAAAAATATCCGGCAAAATTCAGCTGGTATTGTTATCAAAACCAAATTAAAAAATATAATTTAATTACAACAGGGGACAGAAAATAGAAAAAAAGAGAGAAAAAGAAAAAAAGGGCTTACTTTGAATCAATTCTGGATATCCTTCAGAGAAAAAAGGGAGAAGAAAAAAAGTGGATGAATGAAAATTAAATTTCAGGTATTAAAACTTCCCAAGTTCCTTCTTCTTCAACATGGTGACATCAATAGACTTTTGATTATTCCTTTCTGAGGTTGCTTCTCTTTCCAGGAGGATATTACTTCATATTTAAAAGCTCAATTAGTTCATTGGTGAATTAATGCTGATATATTGACAGTATTTTAAGGATTTGTTAAAATAATGTAGCACCTTAACTGCACAAAACCACTAAATTGGGATGAATCAAAGCATATTTCAGTTACCACAACTGATTAATTTCTTTCTATTTAATTTAAACAACAGGTAAAATTTTGGTGGGGCCTCTGTAAAACTTAATGGTGCTAATTTTGAAATGTTAATGACGTCTTGGTACACGGAGTAAGAGATGATGACCAATCTTTTTCACCTACAGCCTATCATCTTGAAATATTTAAGATGGTAAAAGAAATGGGTATTGTAATATGAAGCATAATGTTAAAAGAAAAGAAAAGCCTATGGAATTTTTGTGAATCAAAAAAGATTAGAACAGCAGAAACTGATATTGATACTGAAAGTTGGCCTGACTGATAAAAAAAAAGGAGAGCTGTTTGTGACAAATGAGGACGAGAAGTGATCAAAGATTCTCACTGTGGAGCGATGAGAAAAAATAGTGGCAGAGATAAGAGACTTCAAGTCTGATGAAAATTCATCGGGTAGATACATGCACTTCATTACTGAGAATTTTGAAGGTAATTTCATTACAACAAAAAGAGGTGATCTTTCGATCAGTTAAAGAAAAAAAAATCTGTCCCATTTCATATGCAAGCAAAAAAAGGAGACAACCTTCATTTATCCTTGATAAATATCAAACTTTCACTTTAGTTACTAAGGTGAAATAAAAATTGCAAAGTTAAAAATAAAAAACTTTTATTTGCAATTCTACCGTTAAAAATGGAGAGGTTCTTGGTTTGGTGATTCTTCTTTTATTTCAACACCATTCAAATACAGAATGCAGCGTGTGCACTAATTTGGGCACTGAATAAGTACAAATGAGCTGTTTTCAGAATGATGTTCTGTTTCATTGAGCAACACCATCAATGACACAAAATCACTTACTGTATGGATACAAGCAAACAGCTGTAGGATTTCGTGAAAGGGCACTCAACTTTGTTTATTCATTTATTTCAAAACTTTTAATTACACAAAATTGCTTACTGCATAGTACAAGCAAAAATTTGCCAGGTTGTTGTATCAGGGAATACTTTATTGAATTTATTTAAAACCCTAAGTTACACAGAATCACCTACTAAGAGAGGGTACAAGGATGTATACTCCATGATTTTGTGACAGGGAGAACTTCATGTTCTTTCATTCATTTATTTCAAGTCATGTACACAAAATCGCCCACTTAATGAATACAAGTGAGCGGTTTCCAGGATTTCGTGACAAGGAAAGCTTTATTTATATCATATTACTGTATAAGGCACATTATACAACCATCAATTTAACAAAATTTACAGAAAAGAAAAACTATACAAACATGCACAATACCTCAAGCATTTTTATTATGGCCGCATTGTAATCGACTGTTTTTCGCATGGTCGACTTTCGGAGACGCTTGCCATCAAAGTCAGGATCGAACAGGGCATTGTTTGGCCGGAACTGAGGACGGAACTGTGGGAAGTAATTGTTGTGCCGGATCTGACCTGCATGTCCTGAATGAAACCGCTGTGGTGGTGGCTGGTTGGCATGGAAGTTTGGAGGCGGAACGCTTACATTAGGAACGAACGGTGGTGGCTGCGAAAACTGCTGCGGTGTTATCGTAATCATGACTAGGCTTCACTAACAACGGGTGGATCTGAAACAGACGAATCATCTATGAATAAAATTGATCTTAGGAAAAATATCGGTAATATTAAATTTTAAAAGAGAAAAAACTGCAAATAATATCTTCCACTAAAATTGTAGGATTGGCACACTACTAAGAAGTCTAAGCTCATAGGGGTACTAGCATAACCCCTCACTGCTGCTCAAATCTGATGACAGGGGAAAACTACAGGAAAAAGACTTAGATAAGTTCAGATGACATTAGTGATGCAAATTCTGAGTAGTATGGAGGGATTCTATCACTAAACATCATTTTATATGATTTTCGCAGTATGCCAGAGATTATGACAATTTCTGTAATTTCCAATTTCCCGACTCAACGTTTCTGAATTCGCAAAATGTGATGCTTCTATGCATACCTTGTTGGCCAAAATCAGTCTAAATGCTTTTCATGCTGCTTAATTCTTTATTGTATTTTACTCTTTGAACTGAATACTAGGCAATATAAACTTGCTGTGATTCCCCCTCTGTTAGAAAGAATACTTACATTCAGAAAATTTTGAGGCAGAATTTTATTAAGTTTCCTGAGAAAAAAATCAGACAAGAGCGTAAAATGGGTGACTACGGATGCAGTTGGACTGACTGATTCAAGTTAAACCCAACGAAGTTGCCTCCTTAATTAATGCAGTAGGTAATTATTGCTATTATAAAAAAAGGTAAAAAGCCCAAAATAATTAAAGGAGACAATTTATCACTACTGAAAACTATTCTTGGAAAAATGATTGGACTATTAGCAAGACGGTACTACGATTTTTGGATCATCCATAAAAACACTTATGTGCATAAGGAAACTAATCGCACATATCGACGGTGAAACTACCAGACCACGTATCTCGTTTGCGGTGTTTAAAAATCTCCACTCACATTTTATTTTTTTGAAGGAGATCAAATCAATATCATTCCTTACAATTTTCAAAGATTTTTCTCCGCACAAAGAGGAAAAATCACGGAAGTTTTCACGAATTGAGGTTGAGTAGTTTTCTATTTAAAAAATAAAGTATGGCAGGAAGTTTGCGACGTTGCAAACCGAGATACGTGGTTTGGTAATTTCACCGTCGATATGCTCTTTTTAAACTGACAATAAGCCAAATACTTTAGTTCCTAAATGCAAAATGTAGTCCAGTTGTGGCTGCCTTCTCATTACATACTGGGGAACCGGAGGTGGGGGCTCCAAGCTGCTATGCCTCTCCTCTGGATGGTCTTTGTGGGCCTTGTTAATAATCAAATATGTGACAGTAATAGAAGCCTTGGGTCATGATCAGAAAATTTACAGACATTCAAGTAGCCAAATAACAATGGAAATCTTCCTAGTAGATTTCATAACATAACAATGATGGAAAAAAAACATGGAGGAGCCAGAAGGCTTAAATTAAGGATAATTTCATTATTTTATTCTCCAGCAGATCAAGTGCCCTTTTGAACTTCTTGGACAACTCTCCTTCTCACAGCAAACTGTTTCCTCAAAATAATATTAACCTAGGGACAGAACGTATGTTGTCTGACGATTGACTGCATAGTTAATTTATAAAGAATAGAACATAAATTGTAGTTGATCATGAGTATCTTTGGTTTGGAGCTACGAAACATAATCAGTTGAATGATTTTTCCTACTTCAGGGTCTTTATCCACTAGATGAGACCCATAGAATTGAAACTGTTGGACTCTTTGGCATCGTTGGCAACATTTGGGGATCTTAAGAATACTTCAAATATTACATTCAAAAATCTGTTGCTCTGTCTCCTTGCTGGTTTGTATTCATGAAAAATAGATAGCACACCAGTTTAGGGTGCTCACTGAAAGGTTAGGAGAAAGTCTGAATGCCTAAACCAGCATTCACAAATTACGTAACGTACTTTTAGGGCATTAACACCCCCCCCCCCCCCCACAAGAGTGTCACGTAATTCATTAACAGCCCCCTAAAAGCTTTGAAAACCTAGGGTAGAGTCAGAGGTGCATAAAATGCCAGATCTCCTGTTCCGCAGATATGTGAAACTAGCACTTTGCGATCAGAGTAAAATTGTATTTGCTGTTGTTCTCTCCAGTTTCCCCAGAAATTGATTTCTTTAAAATTGTGTATTTTCATGCACATAAAACTCTTGACATAGGAAATACAAGATAACTTTTGACTTGTGAAACAGTCCTATTCTCCAGTATGCATACATCGATTTTCATACTAGAGATTTAATCTCATGTAGTTGGTACCAAGGAAGAGAGACATTAAAACACGAAAAACTATGATTATCAGTAAGTAAAGTTAAAGAAAGAACAAAAATACCAACAATCCTAGGGAAACCTGAATATATCCAAGATTTACGCTAAGTAAAGAGTCCCACATGGGCAATATATGAAGCATCGTCATTCTTTATGTAGCAAGTAAGCTGCCGCGGAATTACACAACATCAGCAGTGGTTTTTAGTCTATCTTGTAGCACTGATGTAATGACTAATAGTATTCCTTCAATAACATCAACACGCAACCTGATATTATGAACGTGGATTGGGTTCGAAGTCTCTACAGAGAGCCTTAGGATCAGCGATTCTAAGACCGTGGTCCAAGAGGAGGCGACAAAAATGAATTTCAATAAAGGGAAAAATAATAATATTTAACGAATTGTGAGCATGGAAATATTGCAATTCCGAAAGAAAAAATGCTGCCTGGGTAATGTAAACCCTGAATTGAAGTTACCTACTAGTTCTCTAGGTTTGTTTCAAATCGTTCATGCTTAAAATTATTTTCAGAATCGTTTGCAAAGGTAGGCAGTGAGCAGTGTTCCAACTTCACCTCCAAGTTTTAGGAGCCGTTTGGCCCATCAAGTTCAATTTTTAGGGGCCATTGAAGATTTTTTAGGGGCCGAATTGAATTTTTGCCTATATATCACGGCGCATTTGGTGAAAAGTTATACGCAAGATATACAGTTACAGGACTTGCAAGTTGCAGCTCGCAGCCATTACTTGGGAAAGGGAAAGGCCAAAGGAATGATATTCCGATTTAAAACAAGGAGCTTTTAGTTTACTTAAAGTTTGTTCAATTAAATAATACTTTTTCTGACTTCCTATTATGAAAAGTAGTAGAACGATTCTATAGTATGTACGATAAGTAGTGCGATTCTCGATCTGCCGAGCCGCTGCCGCGACGAAGTTCCGCGCGCAACTGCTTGCTATGCGCGTTCAGTCCAGGCTGACTGAAAAAAATCTTGAAATCATCAAACCGTAATTTAAGATTGCGACAATTTTTTAGGGGCCACGTTTGGCGCAGGGTCTTCATTTTTTAGGGGCCATGGCCGATTTTTTAGGAGCATTTGGCGACATGGCGCTCGTGGGGTTGGAACACTGGCAGTGAGCTATCAGACATGGACTAAAAAGTTTGAGAACAGCTGCCCTGCATAGTTGGTTTAGCCAAAACCACTCCGAGGTCCAATCGTTTCCTTGAAAAATCATGAAGGGTTCTTCAGGTGTTGATTCATTGGAATACTTGTTCAAAACTTCAAAAGCTGGATGAGGTTTTAAAACTGGTATGTGATGAGTGAGAGTGCTTTGACAGACAGACTTATCTAACCTTGTTGGTACATGTCTGGAATAACTGAGTCCTTCGACAGATGTACTTAACCTTGTGGATTCGTACCAAAAGTAATGCTGACTAAATTAAAGAGAGCCTGAAGATAGTATCGAACTTAATGCAAAAATTATAAAGAGGGGGTAAAAGGATAAAATAAGTTGAGATATGAGCCTCTAGTACTCAGGAGTTCCGACCAAATAACTACAGTTCACTTCAGGGAAAAATCAAAATCTTCATGATGGACTGATGGGTAAATCTTGATCTAAATGATGTACCAAGACGCTTTTTGAGTAAAAGGGATTTTGCAGCTATTTTAGAATATTTAACAAGTCCTGGAAGAATACTGCCCACAATAAGGCAAGACTGATACACAGCGCTTCAGGCTGACGCCCTATGAGATATTTAAACAATCTTGAACGAACAGGACAGCAATACATGTCAAATTAGTTGAAAGGGTTGGTGAATAAAGCTTGAGGATCTTGAGATATTCGTTTCCATTACATAAACTGAAGTAACAGAATTCAACATCCTCAATCAAGTTCCGAGGAACAGAGAAGAAGTGAGGTTAGGTGTTCTCTCAAAGAAATTGAATTTCCTAGAAGGTTCAATTACTCAGGATGATTGAGGAATAGATTAAGAATTATGATGGAACGAGAATTACCAGTAAATTGATCAGGAGTTTTGAAACTCTCTTCTAGGGCAGAATTTACAAAAGTTGGGGAGTTTCATCATGGTACCATGGAGTGAGCACACGTATTACACTGCATTGATCACTGTAAGAAAAAAGTTATTATCACGAAATAATCACATGATAAAGGAGCTGAATCATTTTATTTGAGGGGAAGATACAAAGGAAGACTAAAACTTGGTGAAAATGATAATTTTTTTACTAAAGTTTGGTTCGCAAACGCTAAATTTGTTTACAGTTCACGAAGGCCTACAATTTTTCAACACACATGGAGAAACATTTTGAAGAAGGAGGAAGAACAGCCCAGGCGTTCATGGTGGGTAAGCGACCAGCGACCACAGCGTAGTGGTGGTGAAGTTGTTAACTAAAGTAGCTACCGAAAATAGCGACCTCTATCAACGAAAAATCAAAACTACATCATCAAGCACTGCTATTCTTTTTCCATGCAAAAGAATAACAATGCTGTGGTTGATTGTGATTCGCAAATCGTAACCGAGTGCTATCATATCAGGTGACAGTTTCAGCAATATTGATGAGACAATTTGGTTTTATCATGCATCTGTAATGCACATTATTGTTCGAAGACTACTACCGACACTCTACAATTTCATTTCGACCCTTTATATTTTTCACCCTTGCTTTTGATCTCCCATCATAAATCGTGTTTTCAGAGCTATGAATGACAACATCACCTGCATCGCAACTAGTTTTTGACATCCCTGGTCAAATTCTTGAAGTGGATGGTAAGATTCTAGAATTAGTCACTTCCATTTTTACACAGACGATACGCATCTTTTATTCATTTTCCATTTTAGTCTCTAAATTATGGGACACATCATTAACGGATAAAGGATCACTCATGGTACCATCACTCTTTTCGAGCAAGTCAGTTTGACTGACTTTAATTCATGAAATAGTTTGACACCAGTGTAGTTAGTATAAAAAACCCAGGCACCCTCTCGTCATATTGGATAGTTAAACTCGAAATGTTAATGAGACCCATCAAGAGCTCTGTGAGTAAGGAAATCAAATCCATTGATTGCGTTTACTTGCCCTTTTGTTGTAATCCATTTAGTGATGTTTTCATGGAGGTACTCTGCTTATTCTACCATCATTTCTTCAGCACTCAGCCCGCTCATTAGTATGCCACCTGTGTCAGACAACCCAGACGTGTCATCAGGTAAGTCGGCATTTGTTTACTATCCGCTTGTATAAGCAATTGCCATGCAATTGTCCAATAGTGACCAAGATTGTCCAATTTTCGTCCAATTGTCCAAGATTAACTGTAGCCCAACCACGAGTGAAGTCAATCCACGATTGCCATTGGACAACTGCATTGTGGTCGCTTGCAAATGGAATGTAAAAAAGTGTCAACTAAGCTGAAGACACCTCTAAAAGTCGTTTGCTTTCTGTTTGCCAGCTACTGCTGTCCTATAGTGACTGAGAGCTGCAACATCATTGCGCGCACAAGAATATCAACAATCATACATTATGATATAAGGTGAAGTAATGCTGACACATATGATGCGAAATCAGGGTAAATACGTTACTCATCAGTTGCTAGTACCTAGGTTCTTGATGCTTTGCAGTAGTGTCATTATTTCCACATTTCAGTAAGTTTCTATTAAATATCTATTTTGATTTAGGTCTGCCTTCTTTCACAACAAGCTGCAATCTGTCTTTTAGTCGACGGCTCAATTTCTTTCCAACAGTGGTAGGTATCTCCTCAGGAGGAAATCATATTTTCATCATTTGTGCGAAGCTTGCTGGTAAATATATGCATATTGAATCCAGTTTTCGATTATCATCTGCTCAATATTAATTTTTTTTTACTTTGTTAGGCAATGTTAGTAATATCATTAATAAGAATTTTCCGATTACTTTAAAAGTAGAGCAAAAATATGTTAAGTACCTAAGGATCTGAACTATTGCAAGGAAGTAGAAATAAAAAGACTGAAATTAGAAAGAGAGAGAAAAGAAGGTGTACCTTGGTAATTGAGGATCGCCAGAAGAAATAAAAAGAAAATATAATGTTGAAGGTTGCCAGCCTGGCTGCAGAATATTTTACATTGTTGTTTTCTGCTTAAGACTCTGTTATGCCGATGGCCTGTTCTATTTTATTTTATGCTTTCTTATTAAGATGTATTTTTTATACTAAAAAAGGGGGCCTCCCAATAAGCAGGTGTTTTTGGAGGATTCTCTCCTGTTTCCTGGTGTAACTATGTGAATGTTTTATTGATGAATTAAAAATAATAGTAAAAAAAAAAGTATAAGTAGATAGTATGCTACTATTTTTCAAATCTTTATACCAAACTTCTATGATTTATTGATTACTTGTATACTTTTTAGGAGCCGCAACTCTGACCTGCACATAAACGTTGTGGTAATGAATTGGCGAAACCTCCCTTTCATCCTGCTCTTATCATGCCTATTCGCCTCTTGCATAGCCGTAGATGACCATGAGCATATATCGAAACACCTGAAGGTGGACGGGAACGAAGACGAGGACGAAGGAGAGGCAAGTTCTCAGGTGAAAATTCGCTACGAAATTCAGTCAGAGCCTCCCGAGGATCTAGACGATGAGCTAGATGACGCTGAGGCAGAGCAAGAGGACTTGCTGAATTCGATCGTCAGAATACGAGCACTCCTACTTAGGCAGAATGTAAAGAGCTTGGATGAAATGTTTAAAGCTGATACACTTAGGAAGCTTATGAGGTTGTTTGATATTCATCCAGACGAGGGAACTAGCCCTGCCCGACTGTCTAATAGTAGGTGAGTTATTGCTTAAACAGAAATTCCCAATATTAATGAACTAATGTGTTAATAAAGAGCAAAAACAAAAAAGGCACTGCTTTGGAGTGACGAGAGAATTTTAAATTGAGGGATTAAAAATGCTCTGTATCCCTAACATGTCTGGTTTCAAATATTTTAAGTACGTAGAGAGAACTTAGTATACAAAGTCAAATTTTTTAGAGGAAAGTTGGGTCAAAAGATCAGAGTTTAAGTATTGGCTCTTCCTCTTATCGCAAGTAGCATTTTCCTCAGTAGTTAATTAATTTATTTTAGTTAGTTAATAGGTTTAATTAATTTTTGGACTAACAGAGGATGTAAAGTTGAGTTTTCATCCTGACAGAACAAAACTTTGGGTAACTTTACTGAAACTATGTTTTCTTGCTCAAGATTCCAATCGGTAATTTCGAACTGCGCTGATAATGAGATTGGTTTGGTTTGTTTTGATATAGATAGGCATATTGAAAGCTGTAATGTTCGTAAAATATTTCTTTGAATCAATTCTGAATTGTTTTTCATTAATCTTCCATTTCCTGAGAAAGGTTGTAATGCAGAATGCACAAGTGAGACTTGCAACATATTGACTTTAAGCTCCTCTAATTTCATGAGCATTTAGTAGTGCTCTAAGATAAAAATAAAGATTAACCTCTCTTAAGTTTAATTTTGATATTTCACAAAATTTATCAAAGTATGAAAGAATTGCTCTCACCTACAAGTTTTCCTCCTCAGGTTCCCTGACTCCAATGGTGAGAGTTCAACTAACGCGGAGGAGGAAGAAGAAAATGTCAGTGCATTCGATAGATGGATTAACAGAGCACAAAACGCTATTAATGTCGCAATTAGTGCTGTTAAAGAACACAAAGAACTCCAAGAATCATCACAAAGCGGAAGTGTTGATTTCGACGATGGAGTGGATATCGATTCAGACATTTTGGTGTTTCGGGATTATAAGCCAGATTTAGAAAATGCCTCGGAGGAAGAGAAAAAAGGTTTGTCACAAAGAATAGTTCAGTAGTTTCAGCCAAAATTTGATCATTTGAACAATTTAAAGATGCAATCATTTTTATTTTTTTTGTGCTTTCCAAAAATGAATTAAGAAAAAAGATTGCATGGTTGGAGAAAAAATTGTAACATTTTAGTTTCTCCGAACATTTTTGCAGGACAAATAAGAACTGTTTTTACAAAATGAGTCATTGAATGAACACACTATTATTCATAACACTTTAAAAAATTAAGATTTTAAAGTATGAGTATCAATTGTTAAAATTTAAAAATTAAATGTGTAAATTTCAATAATTAAAAGTGCATAATATAATCTGTTTTACTTCTCTCAGCTATTAATTTGACTAATGGCTATAATTTTACAATAATGTTTGGTTCTTATTAAATTGCTTTTTTGTTCCACAACCTTTTTCCCTTCAGGCTACGACCTATTCAATGAAGCTCATGTCCTATTAAAAAATCGCAAACCACCCATGCAAGACGTGTTCAAGATATTGGAGGATGCTGCAAATTTAGGCAACATTAATGCAAAGTTACAGATTGGGTGGTCAAAATTATTCGGTGCCCACATGAAGCAAAATGTGACCGAAGCCAGAAAAATCTTTGAGGAGGTTGCAGCTCAAAATGTTCCTTTCGCACAAATGGTACGCTTTTTTCATGTCTTCTTCTCTCGCTGTATCAAACATGTTTTAGTCTTTAAGCAGCCGGTCAATTTTGCAGCATGAGTAATCTGGAAGGTGAAATCATTATGTCTCTCGTCTCTGCCATAAAGATGCTCACTATAACTAGTTACTTTTGATCTTGCTCCGCAAAAGAGATGGCAAACTGATTATCAAAAAGTATTTGATCTTTTCACTCCTAAGACAAGCAAGAGGACTAACAAGGTTCTCAAATCCAACAGACAAGGTGTCATGACTGGCACTTATTTATTCCTCTACATTGAAACATTTTTTATTTCAATCATGTAATCAATTTGGGCGTAAGCCAATCAGATGATGTACAGAAGAATCAGGAAAAAGTCTTTGATTTTTACTCCCTCCTTTTTTAAACTTGCCTATTTTTAATTATATGTTTTAATACCTATTTTCTTCTCTCTAGAAGAAAGACTCCTGTGGTACTCAAGTTTATAACTATGGAGTCTATGGACAACAAAGTATTATGGAGCAATTTTTCAAGTAAAATTTTAAAATTATTTTAAAAATAATTCCAATTCTATTTAATTATTTTTATTTGTTTTAAATTTTTCAGACGCTCGGTTTTCTTTATGCTTCTGGTATTGGTATTCAAGCTGATCAAGCAAAGGCTTTAGTCCACTATACATTCGCTGCTCTTGGAGGGAACACATGGGCTCGTATGGCCTTGGGGTATCGCTACTGGTCTGGTGCTACAGTACATAGCAGTTGTGAGAGGGCCTTAGATTTTTATCGTCTGGTGTCTAATAAAGGTTTGTGAAGATATATTTTAGATGTTTTATCACTAGGGAGAGAGTCAAGTCTATGGTCTATTTCTACTACAAGTGGCAAATCAACTCGAAGTTCATGCAAAAAAAAACTGTCTCCACTGAATATTTTTTGAGATGTGCCTGAAATTTTTAGTGAATAATTCTCAGGCATTCAGAGCAGAAGAAACATACCTGTTTTCTTATTTTCTTTTGATTCATAACATTAATAGATAACTAACTGATTTTGTGGCTGCATCTTAGTTTTATATTACAGTTTTAATGGTTCAAATGTGAACAGACTTAACTAGAGCTGTGCGATTAAGGATTTTTTAATTCGATTACGATCAATGAAATTAACTGCGACTACGATCTTGATTACGATTAAAATTGGGTAAATGATCGAATTTTTGTCATCTTTATTTTTCTTAAGTAATGTGACCAAATATAAAGTTAAAGTAACTGCATTCTTGAAGGATTTTTCATAAGACTGCGAAAGCTCATTCTTTTCCTTAAATATTTTTTTTCTTCTTTTTCCTAAGTTTGACTCATTGTCTTTCCTTCCAAGAGATCTGTTCAGCCCACAATAATCTTGACATTTCCTACTTTTTGGTTCTGAGAGAAAAGAAAATAAACACATAGCACAAGGTAGAAAGTTAAAATTAATCTCGTAAAATTCGCAACAGGGTATGTCGGTCCACCCGCAAACATCTTATTATTATTTTTTTTTTTTAAATTTGATGTACTGCTAGCTTTTTCCATCCAAAGTAAAATGGAACACCCCCTTGTGGATTTGTCCACAGGATTGGCACTATCTTTATTGCGATTTTTTACCGCTAGAAGCTAGCAGCAGCCTGCTAGTGACTCAAATCTGAACAAAGGCTTCGGGAAATTCAAAATCTCATGAAGTAAAATTATTCGACTCAATTATGATTAATTTTTCAATTTGCTTACAATTACAATTAAAAAAATTAATCGCACAACTCTAGACTTAACCTTTTTGTATTCTTGCCAAGGTGGTAAAATGTGTCCAGATGTTCTTTGCAAGTAATATTTCTCGTGTTTGATGAGCCATTAATTGATTTATTACCTGTTAACGAAAAGTTTCGAATGCATTAAAAAAGTAACTCTGACATAATTTCGATAAGATGTTATGTTTGTGTGTTTTGGTTTGAATCATCAAACCAACCATTGGTCGCAAATCAATTATTCAATATATCTTAAATATGGCTAATCAATGCAGTGAATATCGCAAGAATAATGTAGCCACTAAATCAGTATATTTCCAAGGCACGTAATAATCAGTTTAAGATTATCATTATAATTACTAATGTTTTTTATTTCCTAAAGCTATGCAAATTCCATCCTCAAAAGTGTTTAGAACAATACAATAAAATATTCTCTTAGTTACATTGCTTTGAATAATCTTTCACACATAAATACATCATCTCCTATTTACAGTTTGTTAAATTGTTTCTCTGCAGTTTAAATGAATTCTATTTCCACCCATATTTTGCTTACAGTGGCTAGCGATGTCTCTCTTTCGGGTGGCCCCACAATTCAGCGAGTTAGATTGATTGAAGAAGCAGAGAATGTTGGCTATAATACAGGCATGATAGAAAATGATCTTGTTGAGTATTACCAGTTGCTTGCTGAAAAAGGAGATGTCAAAGCACAAGTAAGTCTGGCTCCATTTCATAATTGTTACTTTTTCTTATACTGCACCCCTGATTTGCATTTAAAAATGTTTTTGTTGATAGTTATTAGTTTCTTGAAAAGAAAATCTGTTGATTTGTCTGTCAAAACTGTGAATTGAAAAATTTTTTTGCGTCTTGGGATTTGCAAATTCTGGGAGGCTTCCACAAATACCCACATAGCCTCAAAACTTGTTTGACAATATCACGAAGTGTGGTACTCACATACGGTTTGATGTACTCAAATGAAGACAGACAGGGGACAAATTAATAATGGAAGCTCTTGCGTACCCACATCTTTCTACCTTTGCCTTGTCTCCTCTGAAATTATTTAATTTTTTTTTTCAAGGTTGTTCTCGGCCAGTTACACTATCAGGGTGGCCGTGGAGTCCCACTAGACTTACAGAAAGCTGTTCACTTTTTCTCTATGGCAGCTGAATCAGGCAATGCTATCGCCCTTGCATTTCTAGGCAAAGTAAGTTTAAAATTTTCACTTTACCATTTAGCTTTTCGTAGCCCAAAGGTATCAACTGGTCTCAAAACGATTCCTACATTTTACCATGTATTATGTCCAACAATTTTACTTAGAAATCTATCTGATTAGAGCGCGCTACCCTTCATTTCTGAAACAATCTCAAAAGTTGTAGAAATTCCAAGGCTACAAAGAGTTTTGCCTTGACTTCTAGCACTAAACAGTGAGCATTTAAGGTTTTGTATAAAATTATCTAGTATTATGTGTAAGACAACCAACATGTATGTATATGCTGTACAGCTATGTGCACCACTATTCCGTTAATCATGAAAAGATACTCTCAACCTTCAACATTCCCGTATAAACCCAAATTAACATTAGTATTTTTTTTTCTTGTGTCTTATTCCTTCTTTTATTCTTCTTACTTTTTAAATAATAGCTCAATTTTATTTAATATTCCTTATCTAATTTTACCTCCAAGATTTACATGGAAGGGAATGGCGATAACATCAAGCAAGACAACTTGACAGCTTTCATGTATTTCAAACAAGCTGCTGAGATGAATAATCCAGTTGGTCAAGCTGGCTTAGGGTTAATGTATCTCCAAGGACAAGGGGTCGAAAAAGACTACAGTAAGGCGCTTCATTTCTTCACTCAGGCTGCCGAGCAAGGCTGGGTTGATGGGCAGCTCCAATTAGGAGTCATGTATTTCAGTAAGTTTTTAGAATGTGTTTTTTTTTTTTTTTTACGAAATGATTGATTAATTGATTAATTTGATTAATTTCTCTCATCTTCTTTGATCGGGTGACCTGATCCTCGTCCCAATCAATGACAACCAATTGAAAGATCTTTATGACGAATCTCTAATTAGATCAGGAGTTATTTCTGTTAATTGACAGATCTTGAAGCTTTTTTAGCTTTTAATGTCGCAGTTAAGTGAAAAAAAAAAATGGTAACTTGTTAAAATGTGAAAGTATATTAAATTGTAGGCACACAGACACGTTTCATGTATCAGCCTATACTCAGTGCTATTGAAAGTGGATATTTAAAATTTAGCATTAAGCAAATTTTTACAGGAATACAATATATCAAAAAAATTTTCTAGCAGTCAACTTTAAAATGAAAATATATGAGCGATGTTGTTTGGAGCAATAGTATATCATGAACAGTGTGGCTCTTGCAAACTGGTAACCCTGAGTTCCATCGATTTCATTAAAAAGAAAATAACCAGTATCTACTGAAGAAGGCACTCTCCCCTGTAATCCGTAGAGACCCCCGAAATTCTTACGTGCTGTTGGTACAAATTTTTAAAAAGACCGTTTAAATCATCGGAATGTAGCTCAGAGGCATCATGTAGTTCAGCTGATTTCGAATATGTAATTGAGAATTTCGCAAATTTCGGTAATCAGCCCAAAGCAGCTTATGCAATAGTCCTCGTACAATTTCACTTGTATGTATTGCATGTTTCCTAGGTTAAGCCTTATTTCTTGTCTCCTCATCTATCTTCCTTATTAAGATAGATACACTCCATTGTTTGCCCATTCATTTGTCTTTTTTTTCACCCCTTTTCCCTTATCCCCTCAGTCCTCATATCTCTTGTTACTTCCCATTTCTATGTTAGCTATGTTGAATTTGCCTTTTCTAGATGGCCTTGGTACTCCACGTGATTATGAACTGGCAAATAAATACTTTACTCAAGCCTCTCAGTCTGGCCATGTTTTGGCATTTTATAATCTTGCTCAGATGCACGCAACAGGAACAGGGATGCTCAGATCATGTTCCACTGCCTCAGAGGTAAGGAGTCCATTGTATGTCAATGGTGGAAGTTTGGAACCAAATATTCTGATCTGAAATCTTGCTTTAGTTTATTTTTTCAAAGAGGAACAAGCCAACTTTATCTCTTGAGATACTCAAAGACCAATATTCAAGTAGATAAAAACAATCACAAAAAGTCAAAAGAAATTACGATGATTAGTTTACTAATTAAAAAGAGAAGTATGACATCAAGTCTGTAACAGTTAAGACAGTCTATTTTGCTGTAAATTTGTTTTCTATACTCCATACAAAGAAAAAGCCATAATGTTCAAAGCTTTTCAAATTATGCTAAGCATGTTCATAGTCTAGTGGTCCATTAAAATTGTTAGAGAGAAAGAGAGAGAGTTAAATCTCACAAGAAAAGACTGGAGAGTGCAAGAACTAGTCCTTTAAGAAGCTCACTTAGATCAGGGATTTGCATTAGGCATAACAGATTCTTAGCAATCTAGAAAAACACGCACAAGAGTCTGCTAGATACAAAGAAAAAAAAAATTTTTAGCTCAGAAAATTATTTGTCACCATGTTTTCTGGTTGAATTTTCTTACTAAATTATTACTTTTTCTTATAGCTTTTCAAAAATGTTGCTGAACGTGGAAGATGGGCCAAGAAGTTAATGATTTCTCATACTAAATACCGAGAGGGTCATATCAATGAAGCATTTGTTGGATATGCTTTCCTATCTGAGTTAGGTTATGAAGTTGCTCAAAGCAATGCTGCGTTTCTGCTGGATAGAAGTAAGTTTGTTTGTTTTTTAAAGCGGACTGTGTTATACTAACTGTCTCTCCACTCAACAGTCCGCTTTAACTGTCTCTCTATCTCCGTATTAAATTGTAATAACGTTTTGAAACAGTCCATTTATTCGAAATACTCTACTAAGTATTGCAAAGAATGTTGTTCAACATGTTTTAAATCAAATTTTGTGTGAGAAAGAAATCAAAAAAAAAAAAAAAAAAAAAAAAAAAAAAAAAAAAAAAAAAAAAAAGGTGTGCATCTTTTGTGTTCAGGGGCCAAATTATATCTGACTTACATGAAAATGCAACACCTGCCGAGAGTCCAAACCACACCATCGGCCAGTCAGGACTTAAGTGTAGTCGTGACTTGCCTCAATTATATTTAAGTACTATTGAAAAAACCTACTAAAAGCTCCAGAGTTTATAAACACCAAAATCAATGTAAGTCAAACTGACTACAGAAACTAAACTTTAGGTATAAAATGATACTCCTCTTTCTATAATAGAGATTATTTTATTGCCATATTTGATCTCAGTTAACGTTAATTTTTTTGACAAGCTCTGAAAGAAATTTGGAACTTAGAAATGCCAATTCCTTGCTTGTGAATTGAGTCCGGAAACTTCCAATGTCTCCCCTGTACTGTGTCTGAAATTTTGATGAGAAAAAATTATTATTGCAGTGCTTAATTTCCTCTTTTTTCCTAACTGTCCACTTTAAAACATCAAAAAGCAAAGAAACGCTCTCCTTAAAATAAAAAATTATTGAAATTGTATTGATCAGTCTGACTAATCTATAATTAATATCTTTTTCAATGATAGGATTTAAGCCTAATGTTGCGCATATTTTAAATGAATTGGTCACATGGATATACAAAAATATGAATTTGAGAATAAAACTTGTTTGGTTTGTGTCTTATTTGTAATCATCTTGTTTTATTTCTTCAGGGGAAGTATCTCTATGGCAGGAAGAACGGGAAACCTACGCTCGGGCCTTGATGTACTGGAGCAGAGCAGCTGCTCAAGGGTATTCAACAGCTCAGGTAAAACTCGGAGACTACTACTACTATGGCCTAGGAACTGGAGTTGATTATGAAACAGCAGCTCTCCATTACAAGCTGGCCTCCGACTCACAACATAATGCACAGGCCATGTTCAACTTGGGATACATGCATGAACAAGGTCTAGGAATGAATAAGGTGCGTCAATGCTACATTTTATCTTACCAAAGCACTGTAGAGAAGTAGCTTAAAGAAGTTGCTGCATGATGTTTATAGTCTCTTTAATAACCTATCATTTCTAACTAACAGGATTGACTACAAATACCTTTATAACAAAAATTTCTGTTTGTAATATATCTTATGTTGTCACCTTCCGGCCAAAGTATCACAGGCACCACTTATGCGTAGACACTATGCTCCTGAACATCACAATAATCACTATTTCAATTTTCTCTTTAAAACTTTTGCACCTATTTTCATGGAAATTTCAGGGACCAATCTCAATGATGAAAGAATGTTTGTATATGTATATTTAGTATAATAATATACAATAATATTATAATCTGTATATTATGTAAAATTTTATGGACCTCCATATATTACAGATGTATTTTTTACTTTAATAATAACCCTTTGACACCTGATTGAATCGGTCAATAAATTTTGCATTCTTTTTTTTTACTTTTACTAAATATATCTGCATCCTGAATGATATTCATCCAATTCCAGGATCTTCATCTTGCCAAAAGATGCTATGACATGGCAGCTGAAACCAGTCCTGATGCCAAAATTCCAGCCACGCTTGCACTGATGAAACTGTCTCTATTTTTCAGTTGGAAATACTTACAAGAGGTCAGTGTTTTGATGCATCCTTCATCTTGTTTCACTTTTTACTCATTCATTTCTTTCAAGCCTCTTCAAAACACTGCTGTCTCTATTTCTCTCCCTGTGGTGCTAAGTGTGTGGAGGATTAGAAATTGAACAAACAGTATCGGGAAACTTTACATGCAGTGTCTCATTCAGGTTGTCTCAAATGAAAAATGACATATCGCTATCTTTAACATAGGTTTTCTGCTGTACTGTCACTTGCAATTAATCTCGATGGCCAAAGTGCTAAACAACTTTTTTCCGTTTGCGACGCCGCAGGCATCCCGTCATATTTTATTTTTTTGTCGGACAACTAGTTATCGTTTCTCTGTTAGAGAAATATTCTTTGTAAATTTCAGGCTATTATGTTAGCTTTCCTTTCTGAAAAAATTAAACAGGAGCAGAGATTTTGAAACACCGCAAAGGAGGTACATGGTTTTGCATTTTGGTCATTAATATTATCTGTGGTATTTTTCTCCTTCCCAGACACTGCAAAAACAAATGTCTCTCTCAGGATTTACAACAGTCAGAAATTGACAGCAAAAGGCACTTGATGTCAGGAGCCCTTCATAAACCCATAATGTCATCCCTTTTAATTTTTAAACCCTGGTTTGAAATATATTTCTTAAAATTTTCAGATCAATTGGTTAAGTTGGCTCACGTTAGGGGTTTTCCAAATCAACTGGTATGAGTGGCTATCCCTTGGACTAAATGACAGTTTCTCTGATTCATCACTTTTTTTCATGATGGCTGCAACTGCTATGCTGATGTATTACCTACGAAGATTCCCTCCCGATCAGAGGTAATGTCAAAACATCCTCATTTTCCAGATTTGATTTGCATTTCGTATGGAGTAAACTGTTGCATCTTCAACGTGTACTGAGAATCATCTCCTTGTAAGTTATTTCCTTTTCTTTTCAACTTTTTCCAACAGTTAATTCATTTCAACTGTTCCATTTTTGAAATTGAACTGCAAGTTAATTAAATTTTTTTAGGATTTCAAACCTTACTAAGAGATGCTGGAATCTTAATACAACTTTTTGCTTAGGTCAGAAGCAGGGGTGCAGAAAGTGCTAATCCTGCAGGTCGCAGGCTCTTTGCAGGAGAAGTATGAAGGTAGCGCTACTTTTTGTGAAGAAAACTACTATTTTTTTGAAGAGAAAATTGCTAAGCCTTTTATTATCTACCAAGAAAACTGTGGAAAACACGCACTTTTATGCAAAAAAAATTATGAAATGGGCAGTCTTGAGTGGACAACACTGTGAAGGCAGCTTCAAAATATGTGGAGGCTGCCTCAAAAAATGTGAAGGCAAAGAAATTTCTGCACCCCTGGTCAGTAAGTCTTAGTGGATTATAGTTGTGCAGTTAACTTTTTTTATCTTTTTTTTTTTTTATACCAGATTTTGGCTTTTAATTCAACTTCTGTCACTTTTTCCTTATTATACCAGTAAGTTGTACCAATTTACCAACAGTACTATGAAGACCGAACATACTTCAGTTTTCCCAAAAATGTCTTTTAACAATTTAAGTGCTAGCCTTTTATGCTTAGCATAATCAAGGTAATGAGTTTTTTTTCCTGACTTTTTTCCATTCTACAAAACTTCCATTAGTTGCACTCAGGTTTGCTCCAGAACAGAAAAACTCCTCTGCATTGAAGGTTTATTAGCTAATTTAAGTTGCCTCAAACAGATCTAGTTTATGTGCTTTTATGCTCTGGTACAAACTTTTTTGCCTAGAAAATGGATGAAAATTCTCAGGAAATTGTTCACTTTCCAGTCTGGTTTTTTTTCTTCTTCTTCCAGCACCTAACCTGTACCACAACTTGAATTACCCTCTTTTTTCTCTGACAAAACTTATGTTAATTTTAGGTTTGATCCAAAATCTAAAGAAAGAAATTCAAAAGAAAGTCACTTAGTCAGAATACATAGCTGATTAATAAACAAAGAAACATAATGAAAGTAACTGAAAAACTCGAAGGTACATCAGTAGTCTAAACCACCGAATACCCTCACTTTCATCTTACATTACACGTTGCTGAATTTTAATTTGCATTTTGCAACAAAAGTAAAATTTTCCTTTAGTTTTTCAAATTTTCGGATGTTTCTGTTGGTCTTCAAAAACTTCCAAAAATGATATGCTCAAAGAGCTGTGTAACATTTCTCTCCTAAAAAATGAACTTCATCCACTGTATGTTTTGAAATTGTTTCTTTTTTTTCTATTCAACAATATGATTTTTGTGCGTCAAAAAGTAATGTATTCTTAGGATTAGTTTTCAATCCAAGTTGGAAACCATTATACGAAACTTTTAATTTGCAGAAAGGATTTCAACTAACACTTTTCTCATCATGGGCTTAATGCCAAAATTTCTCATTTCATTTCTCTTAGAGAAAAATCTCGAATGATTTTCCGAAAGATAATGAACAGTTATTGATTAATTAGGCATTTTCAAAGGACTGTTTTCAGATGCTAAACATTTTTGGTGTCATAGCATGTGATAATCTAATTACCTAGACCTTGAGCATTTGTGTGAGCAAAGGTCTCATCAGCTTCTGTTTTTAAGTTTCTGTTATTGCACTGTTACCGAAACTTTTTTTTAGTGTAAATGAAGTACCAAAGTAATAAATTATTGATTATCATAAATATTTTCAGCATTCAAAAGTAAAATAACTTTTTACTTTTTACTACGCCTAAGATTTAGCTATTTCCCATGTTATATTGTCTCTCTTTAAGCATAGCTATCAATTGATTTATTTTTAAATCATCTTGTACTTCAATTAGGGAAATATGTATACTGATGCATAGTAAATATACTTTGTAAATGTACCCTTTAAATACCCCGGATGAATAAAGCCGTCCACCAATTTGCGTAACTCCTAAACCACGGACAAGTATACTCATCATGTGGCTGTGCACTTTTTTTATCAAATGATGAAATTAGACTTCTGATGTACATTGCCTATCAAGGAAAGTATGAACTATAACTTCAGCATATTTTCAAAAGTGGACAGGCATATGGCTGAATTGGATGGAGACTTGAAGTGCTCTTGAGGCATCCCTCTCTTTCATAAGCTGATTTGTGGGGTGTGCGCATCAAATCTTAATTTGGTATCTTAAAGGCTAAGTAAGCACCAATTCCGAAATAATAAGGCTGTCTTCGTAATACTGTCTTTTAGTAGTTGCCGTTTGGTTTGCAAAATTTTGAAGAGCAGGAAATGTCATAAGTTCTTATTTAAACCATGTCTGACGTTCCATTTTTCCCGATTTGAGTCCGCATTTGTCACTATAATTTTGTACAAACAATGAAAGATACTTGTCCTTAAATGGTGATCTCTTATTATGTAGTTTTTAGTTTTGTGCCTCTCTTGTTCCTTGAAATTTGTTTTCTTGGAATTATCTCACAGCAGGGTAAAGAGGCATCAGTTTTGTGAGAGGCTTTCTCGGTTACGAATCATTGGAATTCAATGTAACTCTGATAGTATCAAGAGCGTGTATTGTATAGCTCTTGTACCAAAAAGAATTTAATGTTATATTTTACTAGTGAGTAAGAGATTTCTGGAATTGTGACCTTCATTTACAATTTAGTCTTGAAATTTTTTATTCTAACATTTCCTCTCAAGTTCAAAAATATGTACAGTTGAAACTTCATCATCCTTTTAAATACGACAAAAGCAGTGATAGATAACAAAAGCGTTGAATAATGTGAAGATAGCTCTTTAACTTGTCTTCAAACATACTGGATGCACGGTATTTGTATACGTTTTGTTTTTCCATTTAAGATTTGTAGTCAAAGGTCTTGTCCATGGCAGTGCTGCATTTACTGTATTGATTCCTCTGAATATAATGTTCATGTTTTTCACTTATTCTAGTATATTGATGACTAAGTGTAAAACATGCATTTATCTCAATTGAAACGTGTCAAAATCCCTAATTATGTTTTATTTTGTCTAAGAAAAATTAATGAAAATGTTTCCTTGCAATTTTATGGGGTTTTCTTTTAGATTAATGGAAGAAAACTTTCAAAAAATTCCAATAGAAACTTTTTGTTATCACAAAAACAACATAAAACAATCTGAAGCACGCATTTGACCCCATTGATCTAATACAATAAAATTGTAACTCTTCAAAAATGTAGGATAGTAATGCTGATATCATTCAATCAAGTGTCAAATAACAATTGAGTTTCAGTTGAATTTAAATTCAGATAGTGCCAAACATCTTCTGACAGCTTAGGTATGCGGCAGTGGTAGAATTATTTTTTGGAAACCTACTAATATTTTTCACTTCATGCTTTGCGTTTTCTTAAAACCGATTAAAAACAATGCCATTGGATTATTCCAAAGAAATCTTAAGAGTGAGAATAAATTTTAAAATATGGGGTATTCAATATTTTCGTTCATCTCCTGTTAAAATAATGACCCTCTTAGGTTTAGGTTTTACACTCATAGGTTTCAACCCTTATTGTGCAAATCATTCTATGTTCAACTTGCGTACTTTGTAACGTATTCATTCAGTTTTATGATACGTACCTATGACTGTGCATCAATCTAGTTTTTGTGTCTTATTAGTATTAACATATCCGCAATGCCTTTGTGTTGATGATAGTTCCAAAAATTATGTATTATCACATCGAGATCTAGTGCATTTAAGTTGTTGCTCATGAAAACCCTGGGCTCTCTATCTCTGAACATATTCAGATCTAGATATTTAGAAGTTAATACGATGAGTTGGACCCTATTGTGCGATAAGGAACTACCATTTTTGGCTCATCTGTAAGAGCTTTCATCAACCATTGGAAACTGATGGCACTCGCATTGTTTCTAAAATGAGTCAGAAACAGTTCTTCCTTATTGCAAAAGGAAGTCCATTTAGAAACTTGAAATTTCTTAAAAGTCGATTGTGTAAATATTTTTAATTGAACAATGATGTCTGTAATAACATCAAACGCCAGGTTACCAAGATAAAGTTAAAATATTTTGACTTCAATAATACAATTTTTTGAAAATAAGTATTCAACCTATTACCATTAAACCAGGCAAAATTCAACTCGTGAAAAATTATTTTAAATTTACAACAGTCAATTTTTATTCTGCAAGGATGGATAGTTTTGAATGTTCTTCTCGTCCTCTACTGAATTTTTTTAAGCTCTCAAAATTTCCTTCAACACACGCAGTTCAAGCCTTAGAGTAACTGAATCACTGAGGTACAAATTAGGTAGAAAAATTTGGAAGTATAGATGCAAAATTGTTCCAATTAACAAGATGGGTTCTGCCAGTTACAACGATTTTCGAGTTGTAATGGTCTAATTGTAAGTGTTAAGTTTGAAAAGGCTGGGAACATATTCTTTTGTGTAATAATTTTCATTAGATGTTACAACCTTAGATGTTCAATGAGACTTTACTTACATTTTCTCCTCTCCTATCATGGCGATAATTGTAATTGAGTTATTCGGTATCAAAAATTCTAATTTATGTAAATAAATGATTATTTACAGTGACCAAAATTTCTTAGCCACCAAATTACTAAAGGAAATCGTTTTTAGCCCAGCCAGAATCTAGAAGAGAAAGAGAGAGATAATTGAAAGAGAATATATATAGAAATTCGTTAGCCAGCATAAAAGAATGAAATTGCAACAAATCTTCTTTAGTGAAAAAGATTTCAAGAAATAATTTGATTAAAATTATTACATAAGAGGTTGCCGCATCATTGGTTGTTAAGATCTACATATTTTGTATTGTAGATTTACTAGGTGTTTTCATAACTTTACAATTTCTTTAATTTAAGTCATCCTCTTTCCCTACTTGATGTGTCACTTGATTTCTTCCTAGAATCAATCATTAATCAAAATATTATTCAGAGTGTTGGTGATTTAGCAAATGCTTGTCAAATTGTCTTACTAAATTGATATTCTTAATATAGAGAGAAAACACTCATCTGAGTACAAATTTACTCTCAAGCAAGTTGTACTGTTTGGTTCTACACTAGTTACAACCAGTCAGGGAGGCAACTAAAAACTTGTTTCAGGTCTATTTAGACCCATCATTAGTGCAGTGCAGCCTTTCGATTTTCTGCTTCCAAGCTCGGAAAGGTCGTGTAAGCCAGTCCGAGGTTCAGGCATGCAGTCAAAATCATGAGGCTGTACTGCACTGATGATGTGCTCAATGAGACCCAAAATGCTTTTACAGTTGCCTCTCTGACTGGTTGTAACCAGTGTTGCACCAAACAGCAGAACTCTTATGAGAGAAAATTTGTGCTTTGATGAGCTTTCTCTCTCTACAATTAGAATGTCAGTTTTACACTGAAATTCAACATGAGTCGGCAAAATCACCAACACTCTGTCTAAATGAAACGTGCATCAAAGCGGAATCAGTTTGTAGTAAAATATTAATATTTTTACATCAGTGATCGTAATACTAGAATTAAGCACCAAAGTTGATACACATCATGTACATGTATTTTGAAAATCACCAGCTCATCAGTAGTTAAACCACATTAAATTGTATCTTGATTTGGTTTATCAAATTTTTGCTCCTGTAACAATTTTCAGAGCAATCTAACCTGAATTTACTGTCTAGACTTTTGAAAATATTTAATACAGCAAAGAAAAATCACAAACTTATTCAAGAAATGGTCTTGAATAAGGTTTCATTTATTAAATGAAGTAGTTTCTCATAAGAAATTTCCACAATTACATAACATTATACGGAGTTTCCTAATTTCACTGTCGATTGGCATTAAATGCCTTGCTCTGATATCTGGCATCCAATAATTTTCTAACTGTGATATACGATATAGTCTAGCTGATTCTCAAACTCTGTTCAGTTTTGGAAGAATTCGTTTGAACTTTGTTAAAGTGTGTTGTTTCTGTAAACGAATATTATTCTTGTTTTATTTTGAAAAATAATGTTGTAATAAAGAATGTGATAAAAAAAGAGATGCACTTCATTTGTATGACATAATTCCTTTCCAAACTAAGCAATGTTCCTCCGGACTTCCAGTGAAAATTTGGTTGAGTTCAAAACATTGCTTGAACAAGTTATCGGATTTGCTTACGCAAAAAAAGTCTATCAATAATGAAAATCTGAACTTCTTTCAGGTTTATGTCGCAAATTTCAAGTTTTATTATCGTTATTTTTCTTCTTTTATTTCTGCATTCTTGTTAAGAAAAATGTCAAAATTTGTAGACTTTTGATTTTATAAGATGAACGTTCTTTTTTTCTTTTTGTAGTTAGTTCTTTTTTCTCTTCTCTTTTTCTTTTATTCTTCTTTATCTAGGTTTCTTTATTTCTTATTTTCTTTTCTTTCAAACAAAGTCTACAATTTTAATCTATTTCAAACAATATCATGAGTCATTATTCACTGAAATAAAACTTATTTTGTAAATGAATTATTCCCCCAGAACATGAAGTTTGACCGAAAAGTCAATGAGACTTCTTGGACTTATGACGGGAAAAAACCAATCTTCAATTTAACATTTTTGACATTATACAACAATTATAAAGTGATTCAGTAAAAATTCAGCTCCCAAGTCCAACTTTATAACTTGAATCACACTTCAATTTTAAGTTTTTTTCCGATGGGCTTTTTAACCTAATTAGTGAAACTGTTTGCAAGCAGAAAGGCAATGTTTTACCTTAATTTTTAGCCCATCTGGCAATAAGCACCCGATATGTAAGTAAATTAATAAGTAGTTGCATGCCTTTCATTTTTTCTCTGGAAGGGAGATGCATATTTCATGAGCTAAACCTTTTTGACATCTCTCATCTCGTTGTTATTAATAATTTGAAGTCTAGAAAAAAGGTCAAATGTCAATCAAGATACTTGTGAATCATTTAACAATCCCACAATTAAGGTTCCAGAACTCCCAGGCTGAGAGGCACCCTCGTCCAGAAAAGAAAAGAAAAGCTGCTCAGTCACATCATTTTTGCATGGAGTAAAAATAAAATACATGATAAAAGACCTCTCATTAAGGAGTCTTTGTAGAAAGCAATGTAGCTTCTTAGTAAAAAAATGGTACTTTTTCTTACGAAAAATGATCACGAATAGTTGGGGGGAAAATCCACTTTTCTCAGTGTGCTTCATGAAGTGTGACAGAAATAGAGGCAGTCCCATTCTTATATATACTGAGCCCTCAAAAATAAAACAACTCATGCGATCAAAGTTTGTTAAGTGTTTACATTGTGTTTTGTTATTATTTTTTACTTGTATGGTCTCTGAATCAGGTAAGTTGTGATTGATTTTTTAGAATCAAACCAGAAATAATTATGATGATGCTGTGTTTCTATTGTTAAGTTTGTCTATAGTTGTTATTTCAGTAAACATTCCATCTCAGAGTACATTTGATTTTCATTAAGGTCTGAAACTCTTCATTAAATATTCTAGCTATTCAAAACTGAAAAAAAAAGTCATGTTCCTTACATTTACTCAATTCTTTTGTAGCTGAATAGGCACTAAATAAACGAAAATGCTTTATAATATATTCACGGGGATTATAAGTTGTCTGCTAAAGCTTTTTGTTTAATTTAAATTAGTACTCCCCTCATGATAGTTTTATCTTAAAAATCACTCTATGCATGTTCAATTCGACAACAACTGCTTAAGATGTCACCATCGAGTACCCAGCAAAACACCTTCCATAAACTTTCTGATGAGAAGCAATCGTCCCTCTGCTTCCGGTGAAAATGTCCAAAATGGGATTGAAACTTTCAAAATGCGGTGACCAAGCTTCAAGTACATCCGTCAATGAATCTTATAATACATAACGGAGAGCTTTCTTCTATGTCAATTTGTACGTACATTTTTTTTTTGCATATTATGTAAAGAACTAATCCTATTTATTATCTCCTTAGATGGGGCTGTTGGCCGCAAACAATTCAAAACTTGGCAAGAATTAGACTACAGGCAAATTGCTTATGCCATTAAAGATTTTGCTCTGGCTCTCCCTACTCAGCACTTCACACTAATTTTGGATGTAAACGTCGGTGAGTGCTGATCAACTGTAAGATATGTATCCAATTTGGGATTCTATAAAATGTATTATTCCATCTACCTTGTAGCTTGATTCTGTTACTCGTATTACTTACCTACCATTCTGTCGAATCAGGTAGGTGGTATCATCTATTCAATAGCCTAGGCAGAGGTACCCAATAAATGCCATACTTATTTTGTGTGAATACCTACCTTGCACTTTAATGGTTGGATAAGAAAGGAATTAAAAACACAAGGCTTTGTAGTTGAGAGCTCTCCCCACCTGTCTAAGTGATCTCAATTCAAACCAAAAAAATCTTAAAATCTCATTCGATACGACCTGAATTTATAACCTGCATTACAGCAACCTCACCCTTGATTCCTGAAGCCTATAGCACCCCTCTTAGTCAGTAGTTTTGCTCTTTTTTTTTTACAGATGATGAATTCTACGAAATAATCACGGAACTGTTCAGAGAACAAGGATTTCTCCACAGCCTGTATGTAATCAAGTCCGTGAAAAGCCTCAAAATGGCAAGTACCAGGGTACTTATTTCAAGTAAGACTGTTATTGGTCTCTAATAGGATTGCATTGATCCGAGCTCGTGAATAGGATGTGAAGAAAGTCATCATTTTTAAGTAGTGTGCACAATTATGATGCTACATGAAGCTCCTACATTGCGTCTTGCTCTTTGTCAGTCAAAGCAGGCATGACAAATTTCGCGTCTGATTTCTTTTGGAGCTCTTTCTCTCATGACTGAATTTTAAGAGCAGTATTATGCAGTTTAGTTGTCGTTAAAACTTGATAAAACTTATAGTAAGACCTATGCAAAGTTGAAAGCAACTACTACGACTAGAAGTGGTGTAATGCCCAAGAAGTCCTATGAAAGGCAGTTTAAAGACTTCCAGTCTTGAACTTTAATCCAAGACTCAGCAAAAACCAGCAAAAATGACTTCGAAAGTATGAATCATCTCTATCAAATCTTTTCATTGATTACCTCTCTGACTTTTCTTTAGATTGAAAAGGATATCAAATCCTACATTGCGGTGTATCATCCATCAGTGTATTTTATATTGACCAGGCGGCATATCATGGAAGAAATCCTTGGTTTGGTGAGATAAATTAATTTTTGCTACCTCTACAGATGTCTATACATATTGTCCAATAGAAGAGCGAGTGGATTTCAACCTTACCATTATTTATAGATTTTAAGTCTCTCTTGAAAATTATCACTTTTAGCATCAGGTTTTCTCTAATTTGTCTTTTTGGATTTCTCTGTTAGTCTCCTTCCCTCTTATTTCAGTAAACTTCTAATTTTTTAAAATTTTGATGACTGGGCTTACCCATTTCCTAAATCATTTTTAAATTTGCTCCAAAGTATTTATATTCTAACTCAAGATAATTTTATTGTTACAAACAGATTAACAAAGAAGATTTAATTAGAAGAAATCTCATCTATTTTTTTTTATGGGTTAAAAAACCGATGACGACTTTCTTTTTGAGGGAGCAGATCATTGAAGCGGCTCGTGTTTGTGTCATCACAAATTCAAAGCCTGATTTGTAAGTAATCATTGACCTTTAATATGTCGCTGTATTTTATTTCATAGATTTAAGGAATGTCATTTAGAGACTTTGTTTTTTGAACAGTCTTCTCTAAATGAATATTGATCTTGTCACTTATTTCACTTCGTTTTTTCGACCCTCACTCACTAAATTACTATTACAATTTCTTTCTGGCTGTGCAGGCTTAACATATCACGTAAATAATACCTCAAAAACAGTAATGTAAATTGTAGTAGCTTCATTTTACTATTATTTGATGTTCTCAATATTTTTGCAGATACATACCGAAGCAGATGAACTCAAATTCCGAGTAGTGCTTCAATATTATCAGATTTTTTTCTAAATCGTATTCAAAATTGAATGAGTTTTATTGCACCCTGACAATAATCATAGATGTAATTTGTTCCTTAGACATTTGCTCTTGAAGTTCATAAATAATTTAAAATATTTTCTGCAATTTACTCCGTTCAATGAATTTGCAGGTACAAAGTATTTTACAATCAAGCTTCATCTGATGGACTTTCCAATTTGAAACTGGTCAACTGGTGGTCTCTTGAAAAAGGCCTCTTCCGACAGCCACTTCTTCCTGACCCAAAACAGATCTACAAAAATTTTCACAGGAGGGAATTCGAAGTCCCAGTTTTACATGTTAGTATTTTCACTCAAATTAAAAGTGACACCGAATTGATTGAATTGGACATATTCATGCTAAAGGGAACTATGTTACACGCAACCCCTATGCACATATTTCTTTTTCAGCAAAAATATGTTCAATTCATCCCTTTCCACCGGCTAAAAATCTTAACTTAGATCACTTCATGATATGTGCTGACCTAGTATTAACCACTAATCTACTCTGGATCCCCCCTTGCATGTATACTTGCAGTTTTCCCTTCAATAGCATTCTTTACAAGAGATCTATGAGTTTTTAAAAAAATCTCAGGGGTTTGGAAAAAAACATCATCGGGGAGTCCTAGGGGTATCTTGTTTTGATCCAAATAACACATTCCTGCAGTCTGGTGATTTAGCCCGAAACACCCTTTAAAATGTAAGAATATAATGTTTTTTGTTTCTATTCTAATAAGTCTTGATTATTTTCTACCATATGCTTATTGTTAATTTTGATTCACCAGAAACCTCCATGGAATTTCGTTAGCTACACAAACGACAGCATTCGAGTAATAGGTGGGCGAGACGACAAACTAATATCTTTATTAGCTAGCAAATTTAAGTTCAGGTATGTTAAACCTCTGCTTCAAGTTGCACATTTTACGGTAGCTTTTTGTTGTTTCTGTAGCATGAGGTGTTTGCTATTTAAAATCGAGGCCTAAGTAATTCTAAAGGGCCCTTCAAATCATAACTTTTTTGACACTTTCAGAAAAATAAAATGATTGAAAAACCAAATAACACATGATTATCAGAAGGGCATAATGCCTTCCAACAGCCAAAAGTTCACTAGGTGACAAGCTGAAGATACTTTATATTCCATAGAACTATTTCAAATATAATTTATGTTTGTCACTCTAATCGAAAACTTTATTATTCCTACCATAGATACACCTACATAGACCCCCCCGAGCGTATTCAAGGTGCTGGTGTGAATGGTACAATGACAGGGGTCCTTGGAATGATCTTGCGAAGGGTGAGTGTATTCTACGTTTTTTTTTTAGTGGGAAAAGCTAAGCTTTGAACTTTACTTTTAATCTAGTTGGTAAGGTTTTTAAAAAACATTTCGAAAAGAGAGATGGAGAATGAAAAGGTAAATGAAAATGTGTTGTTGAGAATTATTATTTTTGTATCATAATTAAATTCTATTAAATCGTCTAATAGCAAGCTAAAATTTTTATAAAGTCAAACTAATCCGACATGTGCAAAAACTGTTGGAGGGAGGTTGCCCAAATAAGTTTTGGATTGGATACTCGCTGGAAGAATGTGATCGGGAAATCCCAGACAGTGTTGATAGCAGGTCATTGACGAAGAGATTTTACGTCAGTTGCCCCATAAACTTCAGAAAGATAGGCACCTGTGGCATTTGAGTGTCAAAGAGCGTCAGAAAGCAAAATAGGAATGATGTATACATTACATATATAAATATATATATATTTATTTTACATTATATATATATATATTTATGTAAACTTATTCCATCACTCTATTAATTTACCTTTTAAGAGTATTAAGTCAACCAACTAACACACATTACTACTTTCCTATTTCTTTCTTCTATTTTTCTCAGGAAGTTCAGTTATTTGCAGGAGATTTAGGACTGACTTACGAAAGGAACCAAGCTGTTGAATTCACTTTTCCAACTTTAGCAGACAGTGAGGTCTTTCTGACGCATTCCCCTGGTAGACTCAATGAGGCATTGGCATTAGTGCGACCTTTCCAATGGCAAGTAAGTTATCAGCCTTGATTTTTTTTCGTTATCTGGTTGCCTACATGACTGAAAATAGATAGAGATTTACCTTCTCTCTTCTCATAAACAAATAAGCACGTAATAAGAAAACATTGTTTATAAAAGTATGAAAATTGTATTTTTGGCCGTGTCGCAAGTTGGGAACACTCAGACCCTTGCTCATCTGCAATTCACAATAGATTGTATTGAGTTTATTTCGTTACATCCAAAGCATGCAAGAAACCTGTACTTCCGTAACGTTCCTGTCTTAAAATTTAATGACTATATTAATAGTTAAGTTGTGTCTTAAAACGAATTTGTCAAATGGGGCCATCAAATTAGGGAATTTCGCCCTTAATTCATCTTAAGAGTTATCATGAAAGTTTCAGTGATTTTCACGTATATTTGTTCTAGGTATGGCTTTTAGTCGTTTTGACAGTGGTAGCATCAGGCCCTCTGCTGTTCATCATTATTGAGACCCCTACATGTTGGCAAAAAAAATCAAGGTCCATGAAGCCTAGAAATCATTGGAAAGTATTTTTAAACTGCGTTTGGGTTTCGTTTACCATCCTCCTTCAGCAAAGTAAGATTTTTGACAATAGATTTTGAGATTAGATTAAATTAAATTTTTGAAGTAAGACTGTCTTTAGTTGTTCAGCATAATGGGGACAGTGGTTTCTACCACATTGAATTTTAAAGAATGAATTTTTAAGGAAAGCAAAGAAGAAATTGTTAGCTCTAAAGTTTTAGGCCTCTAATTTCCAATTTAGAATCATGTCTAAAGTAATGAAGCGCTCTCTAATTTTCTTGCAACTGTTTTACTCTCACAAAATCAAATTTTGTGTGATAGTTTTATCGTTGACATTCGTTTTGATATGAGGAATAATGTATGAAAACCAGTAAAAATGTGTACCCACTGCAAATATTCAGTTCAAGACCACGAAAAAATAAGGCTGCATTTCGATTGTCTGAGTTGAAAGTATGGATTACCAAACAGATTGTGGCCCAATCATTCAAACCCACTATTTTTTTTTACTAATTTAAATTTGTTTTGTCTTATTTTATTTCAATTTTCTTTCTTGCAAAAGGTATTAGGCTGCCCTCTTCGAGTTGCCGTTACAGACTTGTAATGAGTATTTTCATTTTGAGTGTCGTGTATGTTATTGGAGACATGTATTCAGCAAATTTAACGTCAATACTTGCTCATCCAAGTAAAGGTAATACGATTTTCTTTTATTTGAAAAGGTATTATGTAATATAGCTCAATAAGTACTGGTCAATTTGTCTCCAATTTAATGTTGAAAGATTTTTTTGCCAACGATCTAGGAACGTGGCTTCTTACAAGAAGCAGAATCAGAATTAATTTAATGAACTTTAATATTTAAAGTTACAAAATCCTCGGTTTCTCGAAGAATGTAGTGGCAAAAAAAATATTAAGTTTTCACTCCTCTATGAACATCTTCTTCTTATTCTTCTCTTCTTCCTCTTAGAACGACAAGGGCAGGCAAAGCCCTGTTTGTCAAGCCATCTATTACCAAGCACATTAAATCATATATATCATAAAAGCAAATTATCTGAATGTATAAAGGATTTATCAAATCAATAAAAACAATAACAGCAACGAAATATTCACTCATCCTCAGGAGAACAGAGTCAGCTTTGTGCCCATTTCTATGAACTGCATTTTCAGCTGCCTAATTTCCTCTCAAATTTTATTTTCATAACAGAGAACCAAATAGCATAAAGCTTGAAATTTCCAGTGAATTTTCTTTAAATTTCAATGAATATACTGACAAAATTTCAAGTCAGAATCTGATTAAATTTCTTGTTAAAAAAATAAAATATGAAGATATTAAGCAGCAGCTGATGTGGTCAGGCTGATTCTCGTTGACTCTGGAGTCCATCCAATTCTGACTTTGATGGGGCAGATGCAGCCTTTGATATACTGCCCCAAGAAAAAGTAATTTACATTACTATAGCATTATGTTATTTCATCATTAATGTTTCCTATATCGACGGTGAAACTACCAAACCACGTATCTCGGTTTGCAACGTCGCAGACTTCCTGTCATTCTTTATTTTTTAAATGAAAAACTACTTAACATCCAGTCTTGAAAATTTCTGTGATTTTTCCTCTTTGTGCGGAAAAAATTCCGTGAAAATTTCAAGGAATGATATTGATTTGGTCTACTTCAAAAAAATAAAATGTGAGCGTAGATTTTTAAACACCGCAAACGAGATACGTGGTTTGGTAGTCACCGTACGTGGTTTCACCGTCGATATAGTACTAAGGCTGGTTTATGTGTATATGATGTCTCCCATGATATTCTTCCATACAGAGCAACCGATCAGCACCCTTGATCAATTGGCTGACGCCATGCTATTTAAAGATTATCAGCTACTTGTTGAGAAACAAAGCTCATCGCACGCTCTACTGGAGGTATTTGAAGAACATACATGTAACTTTCTGTATTTGCTGTCAAGATCGAACATTTCTGGAGTTTACTATCAAACTCTTTAGATAAGGGTCGAGGCTATAACGAAGTCTCCAACTAGCATTAGAGAGTAGAATTTTATCACTTATTGCATTAAAAAAAGTTGAGTTCGTATTGACTCATTGTTTCAAGGAAAAATTCAAATTGAAGTTTCCATCATCTGACATTGTACACATGTTTTATATACTTTAAGAATGATCAAATCGATCATTTTAAAAAAAAGGAACCATTTTTAGTATCAACGATGAGGCAGTGTCCGAATAGAGATGGAGGAGCGCTGTATGAGGTGGAGACGTAGCACGGGTGAGCACATAAGAACTAGAGGGTGGGAGAGGGGGGGGGCACAGGAGTATGTCACAGGAGTGATGGAGTGGAAGGGATAGCTGACTGCCTAAGCGTTATGTGTTACTCCTATGATTCTCTATTTTAATAGTGAAGTAAAATTGATACAATAAAACTTTTGTCACAGAATGGAACTGGTGTCTATTCGTGGATGTGGAAGAAAATGAAGAAACAGCCTTTGAATCTGATCGACAATATTGAAGAAGGTATGAAATATGTTAAAGAGAGAAGGAACTATGCTCTCCTTGGTGGAAGAGAAACTTTTACTTTTGACACAAGAAGATTTGGTGAGTAATTAGTTTTCTACTTTTCGTAAGTCTGAAAATATTTCCATTATTCAAGCCATTGTCCTAATGTGTGTAGTCCTAATGTGTTCTTATCATTATTATCACCTTTGATGCACGACTTACACTATACTTATACCGGCCAAATCTATCCTTATAATACTATTTATCATTCTTTGAGATGTACAAAAAAACTTTTGAAGGAACGAAAATTTAGGTTTTTAATCAAGGTGAATTTTTTTTTTTTTTTTTTAAAGAGTCGGCACAAGCTCACAACATAGTCAACTACACATTTTCATCATATCATATTATATTTTATTTTTTTGTACAGGAACTCAACATTTTCACATTAGCGAAAAGCTGAACACAAAATATTCTGCAATTGCTGTCCAACTAGGGTGTCCTTTTTTGGAACTTTTCAATGAGCAGTAAGAGTTTTTTACTCCATCAAGATTACTATTTCAAATTTTCAAGTACAATTTTTTTTTTTGTGTGTGTTCTTAGAAGAAATTCAAAGGACCACGCACACCTCTTAAGGGAAGCTGCACCATGAAGGATTGCCCTCTGACTTATGTCATTCGATTCTCCTCAAGATGCTGATCAAAAGTTATCATTGCACCAACTTTCTACGATGCACCGTTTTCGCAAAAAACCTATGAGAAGATTCAATTATTCAGCGACTATGAATGAAAAAGAACAAAGCATTTGAGAACAGGCCCGATGTGAATAAGGAAAAAACGTAGCGCATGTCCGTCTTCTTATCTGTACCTGCCGACTCAGGGGCTATCTCCCTCCCGCACTCGCCCGGTAGACGTTCAGACTTTCCTGTTCTTATGCTTCTCAAGAATCTGATTTGGATGGTCGAGCAAAACGGCTTGTGAATCCAAGATAAGACTGCCGCTCGGTGCGGGAGTCCCCATGATTTCCTTGTCGACACACAACCGCTTGTCAATCGGGCACTGAAATGAGGAATCTTTCTGGCTTTTTATCTCCGAATAATTGAATCTTCTCATAGGTTTTTTGAGAAAACGGTGCATCGTAGAAAGTTGGAGTAATTATAACTTTTGATCAGCATCTTGAGGAGAATCGAATGACATAAGTCAGAAGGCAATCCTTCATGGTGCAGCTTCCCACAAGAGGTGTGCGGGGTCCTTTAGTAAAACAATTTGAAAGATTCTTTCATTGACAATATCTGTCTTCTCTAATTCCTTTACGTTTTTCATAATTTTTTGTGCATTTGTCTCAATGGACACCTTTTCAACATCATCAGTAAGCTTCGCTTGTGCAACTTTTTTGTCTTAAAAAATTCCTTGTTCAAAATAATACTCTTCAACATTATCATGAAAATCTCTTCAATTTTTTCCTATTTTTGCTCTTAAGGCTGATGTTCCTGTATGAAGCAGGGATTTTGAACAAAATCACAGAAGAAGAGTACCAGAAATTGGGAGAGTTGAAAGTAGACGAAGAGGTTTCAGAAGGTGGTTCGGCAAACACTGGAACGGCCAAGCAAAAAGATGACGAGGAAAGTACTGCAATGACCATGACTTCACTCCAAGGATCATTCTATGTTCTTATTGTTGGACATTTGATAAGCAGTAAGTTGCTTCTTTTATCTAACCCTCTTTAAGCTGACCCTTTTTTTTATGACATAAAAACTTTCGACTTTTTCTTTTAAAATCTTAAAATTTCATTATGTTTTGCAATAAATTTGGCTCCTTTTGTAATGAAAAACTTAAGCGCCACTAGTTTCCCTATGGACATTAGTTTTGTAAGGGATAATCCAGAAATAGTGCATAGTTCTTTATTGCTAAATGCGCTCCACTCAGGTTCTTAGGTGATGTTTTGTTAGGTAAAAGAAACTTGAACTACTTTAATTAGGTAAAGTTTTTATTCCGTCTGAAAAATGTATAAAATACCATTTTATTGCTTGTGAACCTCGCAATCTGATGTCATATTCTGCTTAACAACTGCAAAAAAAAAAACGGCCCTAACTAGCATCAATTCGTTTTTTTCTTTTCTTCGTATTTTACTCTTGATTTTTTTTCCTTAAAAAAAATCATGGATGGTTGTAGGATGCGTATTTTTTTTTTTTTTTTTTTTTTTTTTTTTGGGGGGGGGACGGGCATTCAGACATATTTGAACTCAATGAAACTATTTCGCACACAAAACCTATGCACATACTTATTTTTCGCATAAATACATCCATTTAACTAACAGTTACTGACAAAACTGGGTTAGATTTGGACCAGCGGTCATAGAATCTCTGTCTTCTAAAAAAGTTGAATGTTGCAGTAGGAGTCTTCCTTCATTGTGAGATGAAGAGCCATCTTATTTTTATCCTTAATTTTCCATCACCTCTACTTCCTCTCTTCAACTGAACCTATTTTTTTTTTTTTGACAGCCGTGGTACTGTTAATTGAAAAGCTATACCATAGATATAACAGCATACTCATTGGCTACTCAAGAAAAATTGCAGCTCTCATTCGAAAAAAACAGCCCATCAACAAAGCAGAAATGCTGGAACGTCACTACCGATATTTAAACTAAATATCAGCAGCCTCGCTTAATTTGTTTAATATCGGTATGTAATTCTTCACTTATTCTCCTTTATGATAAAACATGGTTGCTTTAACAAGATCGTCTGTTAATGTAAGATGAAGACAAAATGTCCCAAGTACCTGGCTAAGATCTTAAAGGCACTATGTAAATTTATTCACAAATTATTTATGTACTAATTCTCTTTAACTTTTTTCACTTAACCAAGCTTTCAATTAATTAACTCTCCTCAGCTCCAAGGAATGATTACATCTGTTGAGAAAGAAACTATCAAAGTTTGTATTCTTGAGTCCCTGTAAAAGCTGCCAAGAAAATTTTCTCAGGGGAGAATGGAACATCTGGAAGCAAAAAAATTCGGTTAGGAGTTAGACAGAGTTCATTTACAGCTTCAAATGAGTGACCTCACCCTAGAATTAATGTTCACAGAAAGTCAAAATCCAACAAAGTACCCCTTTCAGGAACTTCCTGGAAGTTAAAAGCATAGTTTTATATTTTAAACCCTTAGGTTAAGACTAGAATTAAGTAAGTACATTGCTAAACTTAGTGTAATTACTAAACATTCCTCTACGGCGGTGGTCGTACAACTCTTTACAAGTTAATAACACAAAAACAAACACACAAAACTCCCACTTGTGACCTTATCCTCAGATGACATCACATCGCATTGATAAAGGAATTATTTTTGCTATCATGGGTGGATTTATTTAATAATTTCCTTTAATTTAAGGATTAACCTTGAATAATTATAATTTGATTTCTCAATTTTATATTATATTTATGGGAGTAAATTTAACGTTTTTCCCACAACATTTTCTTTGTCTCAGAGCAATGCCTCGTTTGTATTCTGATTATCCTGATTGTTATTTATTGCAATATAGTAAAATTAGTGATTAGTAGATGTGTCAGAAATCCTGTGACTTTTCCCACGAATTCCCTAACTTTTCCTAATCATCACAAATTCCCTAACTTTCCCTGAATTTCCCTGTTTGCCAGACTGCTGGCAACCCTGAAAATATAAAATTAACGTAAAATCAAAATCCTTTGACCCGCATTTGTGATAACCACAAGACATGATGATAAGTAATACATAGAAAGAATAATGGGAAGTATAATAGGAATACACTTACTTATATCTAACCAATGTTTTGGTTCGCCAGCATCACAGCGGGATGCATTAATTGCATCACGTAGAGCAAACATGACTCCACAACTCATGCACAAAGGTGGCTCACCAGTAGCTGAAAATGACATAAAATCATTTTAGCCTTGAAAAAGTAAGTTTTTTGATCACAAAAAAGTGCAGTCCTTACACATGAACACATATTCTAAAGATATCGGAAAAAATATTAAGTCTCAGGAACTTTGTTAATCTGCAAGATGAACCAGACATAAATGTGGTGTTTTCAAAATTGTACAACTATTTCTTTACCGTAAAGAAAACTAAATACATGTACAGTAATGAAACTAGAGGGATTTATTTCCTTAAAACTAACAATCTCTTGGTGGAAAAATGAAAACTGTTCAAACCTTGGGGTGTTTTCCAGAGAGAAAAATAGATGCATGATTTTGCTAACACAGTCATGGACAGTGTTCCTTTCTGCCGAATGCTGTCAAATTGTTTAGCAGAGTATTGAAATAATAAGGATTTCCGGATTCAATTTCGAAAATAGTTCATTACAACCAAGGAGATCTGATAGCTATTCAAATTGATTCGTTTTAATAAACTGCATTGAGAATTTCTTATTGAAGGGAAAAGAATAACCTATTAGTTCTTATCCCTGCTGTTATCTGTTCTTGTCATATTAATTCTGATTATTTCAACAAAAGTTTGCCTACCTTTAGAACGCAGAACACCAAGTGGATTACTTGAATTTTTTAGCAAAGTCACCCGAAAATCACATGGTATATCCTTGGCTCCGAGTGGTTTGTAGTTCTGAAAATTGAAAGAAACAGTTAGAAAAGCCATAGTTAGTCGCGCATTTTTTTTTTTTTTTTTTTTTTTTTTTTTTTTTTTTTTTTTTTAGAATAGCAAAATGTCTATAATGTAAAATTTTGCAACAATTTTCAGAGGTGTATACCTGAAAGTTTGTTTGATTAGAATGGAAGCATCAGTTTTTCCTGCAGGAACACCTGAAAGGATCGTTCAAAAAGAAAGCATAACTTGTTTTGTGGAAATCTCAATTTCAGTCGATTCTCCGACATCTGACAGTTTTTTCACTCACAAAGTAAAAATTTTGATTTAAACGGTAAATGGGTGCATCTCAGTAAAGATGTCACCACCAATATTGGGAAATGAGAGTAGGGCTACAACTGTAAATCAATAATCTTCCAAAGTTAACCTGAAGTTATTTTATCAGATAGTGAATAATGGTTAAAGCAAATGAAAGAACTCTTACCCAGGTTCTATCTGTAAGGACCCTCCCTGTATTAGAATCAAAAATTATTTCCTCTGTAAGCCAGTAGCCAAGGCCCATCACGAAAGCACCTTCAACTTGTCCAATATCCACCTCTGGACTTAGGCTAACACCGGCATCCTCGATTACGTCCGTACGCAGGATCTGTCAAAGGATATTCATTACTTTAAATATTCAAGTCTAAAGGCTGGTGGTACGAATTTAAAAATTCGTCCCCTGACACTGCAGGTAAAACCTGAAATAATGAACTGAGACCTCGCCAATGGAATGGTGAAGCTGCTAATTGCACCGATCAAATAATTTTTGGCACTAATAATGAGGTCAGAGCTCATCAATTTTACTGTTTTTGTGATTGGATTACATTTTGCAATAGTGAACCTTTTTATTTGGCTTATTCACAATAGTATTCATCCGCATAGGGAAACTAGTAGCACATAACATAAGTTGTTTCTGAAACAAGATAGGAATAGTAAGTCCCATTGCAAAACATGGTTCAATTGCTCCTCTAATATATACGAGTTAGTTTGTGAATTATAATATATTTAAGAATATTTAGGTGATTAAAATAATAGGAATTAAAGTAAAGTAGGTACTTACGAGATGATTTCCTGTCAGCAAATCTACTTCAACTTCTGTGACACAGACTCCAAAGATATCATACCTTCTAAACATATCCTTCTCCCCGAGATCTTTATTCGTGTACCTAAAAGGTAAATTTTGATAAAGAGATTAATATACTGTCATCTTTGCAATAGGAACAGATCTTCTTGTGAAATAATTGGGTTCGTTCTTTTTTTGGAAAAAGTTAGTATGGCTTGCAGAGGGATTGTATGAAAAAGAGTTACCTACTCTTAATTTAATGGTTGAGCACATTAAAATTCAAGTTAAGTGATTTGCGCGAGAGAGAGTGTTTGCTCCACTGTGGACATCAAGGGTAGGGTGTTCTCCCTAAATTACATTACCTATGTAGTTTTTTTATGACTCCCTCCCATTTCTGTAATGCTCCATCATATTGTGCTTGAATCCTCTAAAAAAATGAATGATTCTAATCCAAATTTCCTCTCTTTTTTTTGTCTTTCGTTCCAGTTTTTGAAAAATTCAGAATTGCTACATTTTTTAAATCAATTTTAAGGGAAAAAAATTTAGAAAAATTTTTTCATTGTGTCTTCAACTTTTTCTTCGATCTAAAAAACGAATACCTTTGAATTAAGATAAATATATATGATGTGGATAGGTAAAATAGAAAAACTTTGAATGGTAGTTTGATGGTCGGTAGAAAATCCCCAGCATCGATGAGAGAGAGAGCTGCATGAAATATTTCTGGCCTAATTTAATGAAATTTTAAACAACGTACATGTGGAGCGCACAGAGATCAACATTTTCAGCTGCTGCTGTTGCAATAACTTCTTGCCACTTAGCACCTGGGCTAAGTTTTGCTTTGATGGGAGAGAGCCGCTCCAAAAGTATATCGCAGCATACTATCACACCCTGAAATTAAACCAAGAAAAGATTAAACCATACGAGCACATGGCAACAAAATTTTAGTTATGTATTGTCACATCAAGAGAAGGATGGAATCAATGGACCTCTAGACAACTTGAGAAAGTATGCAGCACATCCCATGATCTCTCGTCAAAATTTCTATATAGTGTATGGTGGACAATTTTACATATCAACAATTAGAAAATTTATCTCATCAGTGAGATGTATTTGTTTTCTTAAGTGGTCACTTTAAACTTTCTGCCAGCTGAAAAACCAAAATTAACTTGATCGAAAAATTAATTCCAATGTTTTTTTGCAATTACAACACCTTTTTGAAGTGCAGAGCTTTCCTTCAAAATTTTAAATGAATAAAGTTTCCAAGAAGGAAGGGGNGCCGCTCCAAAAGTATATCGCAGCATACTATCACACCCTGAAATTAAACCAAGAAAAGATTAAACCATACGAGCACATGGCAACAAAATTTTAGTTATGTATTGTCACATCAAGAGAAGGATGGAATCAATGGACCTCTAGACAACTTGAGAAAGTATGCAGCACATCCCATGATCTCTCGTCAAAATTTCTATATAGTGTATGGTGGACAATTTTACATATCAACAGTTAGAAAATTTATCTCGTCAGTGAGATGTATTTGTTTTCTTAAGTGGTCACTTTAAACTTTCTGCCAGCTGAAAAACCAAAATCAACTTGATCGAAAAATTAATTCCAATGTTTTTTTGCAATTACAACACCTTTTTGAAGTGCAGAGCTTTCCTTCAAAATTTTAAATGAATAAAGTTTCCAAGAAGGAAGGGGAACTTAACGGAAAGATTTTCTAGTTATTTCTCAAACTTGTAAGTTTTGCTTTCAATGGCTGATTTGATCACCGTCGATTTTTTTTTTTTTTTTGCAAGTAGATAGTTTGAATTTACTGATTTTAATGTGGAATATTGACACTAATTTCTCATAATAAGATGATTTTAGACCTTTAAATCCTGTTTAGAACATTTTTTGTGAAAACTAGATGAGAAAATAAATCTTATAGTGCTTTAACGTTGGTTGAAGGTTCATTAAATTAGACTAGATGCACCACTCACCTGGCAGATAGACTCACTTGACAAACTTCCTCCTGAGGCCAAATTGTTTGGAGCAGTGAGAACACTCGTGGGCTTGATTTTCACCATTTTGATGTCTATTCCCAGTTTATAAGCACACACTTGAGCAGCTTTCGTATTGAGTCCTTGGCCCATTTCTATGCCCCCGTGCGTAATTGAGACTGTTCCATCGGACTGGTAGATGGATATCAATGCATGATAATTGCCAAATAGACGCATTCTATATCGCATTGGCGTCAGGCTAATTCCCCGTTTTCTCCATCTGTTCTTCTGCAAGCATGGAGAAATCATTAAAGTAAAGTTGTTCATTTTAGTCGGTAATGTCACCCAGTTACTGGTGTCAAAATCTTTTGGGGAAGCTCTTGTTAGAGAACTTGGTTGGAACAAATCGGTTCAATTGATAAAATGACAAAGGAAAACTTTTTCTTGTACTTTTTCCTGGCCCGAACGAGGAGGGTGGAAAGTTCCAAAACTTTCACCTCTGATATTGAAAAAAAAAAAAAAAATAATTGAAAATGAGAACTCCTACTAATCAAAATATTGATTGAAAAAAAGTACAAAACTGATCAATTGAGTAGTTCTCCCCATTGGATGCATTTATGCAAAAAAGAACTATGGGCAAATAAGCCAAATCAAAAGGAACTTTATACTAGTTTATACATTGAATTTGTGAGCTTCAAATAGACGTAGATTCTTATGGACTCATTTCATCAGTAATTTACAATTACCTCATTGAATTGTTGGATTTTCGGCTTCCTGATGTCATAGTCAGAGCTCTGCTTGAGTTGACCGATCATTGCTTCTAACTGTTCCTTACAGTCATCGGCAAAATTTTTCACGCGGACCTCTTCAGGATCTTTGTTAAGCTCCGTTGCGATGTGTTCAAAAATATGTTCAACAGTTGCAATTGCTTCGGCAGCTCCTGTGAAACGATTCAATCCAACTATGTGTCAAAGCAACTTGAGTCAAAAGTCGAAGCTGTTAATAGATTATTCTTATTAGTAATTGAACAAGCACACAAGATTCTTGATTTTTGGCAAGCCTGCACACCTATTTCAAAGGGAACCTTGCTTACAGTTTAAGGTGTAAAACATTTCTGAACATGGATTCTGTAAGAAAAATCAAGTGAAAATTTATATTGGAAAATTTCTTGAGCCTCATGTCAAATATAATTTTTTTTTTTTTTACTTTTCTTCATCAAAGAAAGTAATATTAAAAATCGATAGGACAGAAGCTAAACGGCCCACAAAACTTTTGAAAATGTACACTAACTGTAGGAGCTCACTTAAACGTAAAATTTCCAATGATCCAGACCCACTGGGGATCGTCAGTTTATTTTCAGTGGTGCATCTCAATTTGCCAGCCAAACAATTTTCTGGAGTCGCACTACTAAAGATGGACCAACCATTCGAAATGGGTCTAGGTTGTAAATTTTTTTTGTACAAGTAACTTTTAATAGCTTTTCATGATTTTACTATCAAGAATATTTCCTACAGTGCTTCGGAAATTTTACCAATTGCTTATACCAAAAATAAATCAGCTCGAGTCATATATTTTTTTCTTCACTTTCTACAGTTTTTTTCCCCCTTAAAGTTTTAAGGAGTCGTGCTTCTATGGCTTAGTTAAATTTTTTAGAGGTTACAAAGCATTGAATCGAAAATAAATTTACCTGGAGCTCTACATGGGGTATTGCTGCTCTTGTCGGTCTGGACAGCAAAAGCGTTGACTTTCCATGTCCTAGAATCATAGGCGCTCCCTAGAAAGTCCAATGTACTGGCAACTATGTTATCATTGAAGGACACACCCATATCTTGATAAATGTTCAAATCTAAGTACTGAACTCTACCCTCATCATCTACTGACACCTGAAATGATTTTTTTTTAAAAAAAATTATATTTTTACAATGTGTAAAATTTTATGCCAAACCAAAAAAAAAAGATGTGGAAAATTTAAGCAGCTTCTAGAAAAAATTATGTTTCATTTTGCTAGACCCGTCTGAAATCTCTCAAAATGAGGTTTTATAAGATTATCAAATTTTAATCTCTCCCTCACATTATGACGTAGGTAGTTAGCTTGTATCAAAGGTAGGTATTTAATTTAATTTTACCTCATATGTGGACAAACAAGGAGCACGTTTGCCAATTGCTTGCATATTAGTCTCAATAGGAAGCATCATTCTAACAGGTTTCCTCAAGATAAAAGCTGCCAATGCACAGGCCACCGCAATTTGGGCACACCTAGACAGCTTGGAGCCATAAGCTCCTCCTACCCGCCTATTCTGCACATTGATACTGAAAAGAAAAGAAAAGTGTGGATTCGTCAAAAGAACGAAGGAAAGCAGGAGAAGTGATATAATGATTGTAAAAAAAGAGCCAAAATACCCACTGTCATCTACAATTAAACATTTTTCCCATTGAATTTGGTGGTTTTAAATGAATGGGGTCCATTAAAATAAATATTACGAAAAATTTATGTAGAGTCCTTGCCAACTTGGTCTACGTTTTTTGAGACCATGACAGAAGATTTCTGACACCACTTTTGCATGGGGAATAAATGCAAAAATCAAGATGGCGGATCTCCCGTCATAGTCTAAAAACGCATAAACTTATATTTGGTGTGGACTCTAACAGATTTTAAAGAAAGATAAAATTTCTCAGAGGTTCATAGAGATCATCCGTCACTTCCAAATATGTAAATGAAAATCTTTAAAACTCGAAAAATGTATAGTTGCAACGAGGGGAAGCCTCTTTAATAATTAAAGAATATTGGTCACTTGAGTTAAAAAATCAACTTTAATTACCACTAATAGTTAAAAGTGAGACAGACTAAAAAATTTGTATGTGCTAAAGAATGCAGCATTAGTATTTTATTACTGATAAGACAATTGGATTGCATTTTGCAAAAAGGAACCACTAGCATTGCAATGTTGCTAAGATTGTGCAGCTTCTTTTGTCTTGGAGGAAAAACCCGATTATCCCTTAATAGTTTCTATTTCACTCGCTAAAAACTGTAAATTTAAGACAAAAATTACCATCTAAATTTCATAGTTTTTCACAATTTCCACAATTTTATTGCAAAGGATGAAGTTGCACAATCTTAGCATCATTGCAATGCTAATGGTTCCTTTTTGCAAAATGCACTTCAATTAATCCACATTTGTTGCAAATAGAAATACAAAATCAATTTTAAATTTCTTAAAATGAAAAGCCAGGAAAAAGAGGGAAAATAAGTCACCACATTCAACAGTAAAGTCACCAATTTCATTGAGCTTACAAACATATGGTTTATTAAGTTAAAACCTCCAGGTACTCACCAATTTTCTGGGAGTTTCAGAGCCCTGGATATTGCTCTCTGAACCAATGAAATGAACTGTGAGGATGGGTGAACATCGATGCCCTCGTCTGTGGGGATTGCAAGACAGACTTGTGTCTCCATTGTGAAGTGATACTGTTCCTTGCATTCGAATGATCCTTTGATCACATACTTTCCGCTACCTGCAAACAAACCTGGGTGTTGAAAATTGCTGTATGGTGTACAATTACGACAGAGTTAGGTCTATAAATACTGAATCAAAAACACTTCTTCAAATAATATTCATCCTTTATAGAGAGAGGTAAGACTTGTTCTTTGTCCGAAACTGCTAGTGTTCTCGGTTCCAAAACTAAATCTGTACGTCTGGAGGCGATACATTTTTATAAGTCAGTTGAACAAGAAGTAAATAAGTACTCTTTTGAATACCCAGTTCTATTTTAAATTTTCAAATACATACCTTTTTTCACCTTTCTTTCTATGGTGTCAACAAATTTAACTCGCAACTGGTCTCCTGAGTCCAATACTTCCTGCGTTGTCAGCAATGGTTTTTTTACATTGGAAACATTCACTTTCACCTTTTTGGCTGCTTTATTTGCTAGGTGTTGGCTTGTAGCGACTATAATGCCCACTGGTTGGCCTGCAAACAATATATCCTTGTCAGCAAACAGCTGAAAGAAAAAGGATCAGGGAAGTTTACTATCACTGAAGTTGTTATTCTGTGATTCTATGTGTTGTTCTCATGTCTTGAATTTGCGTAAGTATTACTGCGCAAAATTCTATGACTATACCTCCATATACGATAGGATTTTTTTCTTCTGTGAGACGGTAGCTCTAGTAAGAAAATAAAATCTTCCGCTCTTCAAAATAATTAATAATAAATAACAAGCTGGTAAATGACGGAATTCTTTTTTCCCTCTTTTGCCGCAAGTGATTTTTAGATTATGCTCCTTTTATTTTACAAAAAATTATTTTTCACTTCAGACTTCAGTTCAAAAATAATTAAAAATTAGAAAAAAACGTTCCAATTCTCCCCTAATGCAATTCAAATTCTCATCACATTTTTAATTAGCTAAGCAAGTATTTCCTCATTCAGGCCAATCATAGCTAACTTGAGGGGAAGTGTTGAGAAATGAGTTTAAATAGCTTACCGGTTCATCCTCAATGGAAAATATTTCTCCTGGGGGTATGAATGTGTTAATACCCGGAATGTTCTTAGCAGAATAGAAAGCTTTTACACCATTGAGTTTCTGTAATACATAATTAAAAACTTGGTTTTTAGTTGTTACATTGTTAAAAATAATGCAATCACATAATATTGATCTTGAAAAATGATTACCCCATACCAGTTGTATGATTCTAAAGAGAACAGTGTTTGTTTGCATAAAAAAAAAGGCTGTGTCCAAGACTGCAAGAACAGATTATTCGCAGTTAAAAAGAACAAAAAATTGGCGTACAAAGAAGTCTATTGGAGAATTACACCCTTTTAAGCCGCAAAAAATTTCTGTCCACAATTTGAAACCAATTTGTTTATTGCACCTTCATATATATCAGAGAGAACTAACATATGTATGTATCATCTGCTATTTCAGTTAATCGTCTTTACGTACCTAATTTGGCGCTGTAGTTACAGTTCCAATTTTACAATCAGCTCTGGACATTATGATTTTTAAACCGCATACTAATTCTGGAAAATGGAGAGGCTCTTGGCCTGGCAACTGCTCTGATTACTTTACCAAAAAGTACTCCCATTGTGGACCTGTTAAAATTACTTCATGTTTCATTGAGATAATACAGAGGGAGAGAACAAACCATGGCAATGCTTGTGTCAATGGATTCGAGAGTCCCTGGTCCAACTGGTGCTAGTACAAATGCACCAAATAGTTCACCTGGTGGTGCGAGAACGTCATTTGTATATTCAGCTTCTCCTGTTAAACAATTAACCAAAAATTGAACATTTTTTCATGGAAACAGTTTCCCGAAAGAAAAATACTTTTTGATCTTTTATTTCAATGGATCACTGGACAAGGTACATACAAAATGAATCACTACAGTATATGTTTCCTCATCAAAATTTTACGTAGAATTCGGTGAATACATTAGACATTTCTAAATACTCATTAGTAGTAAAAGAGTAAAATTTTTTTTGAGGGTCGATTCAGATGTTTTGGTAATGTAAAACTGAAATCTACTCAAATCAAATCAGGCACTGAACTGCTGGTTTTTGTACGTTTTACGATGGAAGAATTTTTTCTGTGTCAGGAATTCTTTTTTTGACACTTTAGAGGTACCTTGCATTCGGAGAGGATACTTTTTTTTTAAATCAAACAAGATTTTTGTCTGCTACATGAGTTTGTTTTAAACTGCTGATATAATGCAGATCAATTTTGGTTTTTACGCAAGCAGGAAGTTTGAACTGATCGATTTTAATGCAAATTACCAAAATAAATTTCTATGCCATGTGTTGATTGTGGAAGTTTTTGATATTTAATAGGTGTCTTGCGTGAAATTTTTAGAATAAAACTAGTTTCAAGGATAATAAAGTCTTACCATAACATTTACAAAATAATGACAATCAGTGAAACAAATTTTCTCGTCAAACACCTTCATATGCAAGTCATAAATTTGAAGAGAAGATGTTGATGTACATAACACTGTTTGGAGTAGCTTTATTCTTGTTGGCTGTTTTTCCAACAGACTTGCAATGTTGGGTTTGGACAGACAAAATTATAAGTTTAGCACTTTGTTTAAAATGGACTAGGATGCATAGCATGCAGATCAAAGTACACAAAACTCCCACTATTAAAATTCTAAAAAAAAAAATAATTAAAAAAAGAGTGTTCACATAAAACATGGCATGTGTCGACACTAGATTTTTGTCATATCAATACCTGAGCATTGTGAATAGGCTTCCAATTTGGGCATAGCCTTGTTTACTGGCCAAAGCTTTTGGTCAGAGTCGAAAGTCTGCTTCCCAGAAGAGAGAGGCCGCTTCAGTATTTCGCCTCCGCTGCGGTATTTCTCTTGGACGGATGATGGTTTTAAACTCAAAACAAACTGAAAATAGTTGGGCAACCATAGTTCAATACTCAAGAGAAAATTGATTAATTAATTATGAATGGCACAGAAAATGCCCAATCTGTCAAAAAACCACTGTGACGGATTGTAATACATCAGGTCAGAATGTAAATAGTTTGCAAGAATCAAAAACTCGCGGAAAGAACAAGCTGAGAGTAACTAACCTTCGTGAATCAAATTTAAGAACACTTCATGATTCGCCCAGCCAAATAAATGGGGCAACTTCTTGGGAGGTTCAGCCCTAATTTTGTACTCAAAATTAGCCCAAGACGACAAAGAAGTTGAGTTTATTGCCGCGAAAGACTCATATCTTCACATATTGCTGTTCTATACAGCTTTGTCCAACCCACTATTTATATTTGAATACATTTTAGATTGAGAATGTACAACTTTTGGTGGATATAACAAAAATAAGCTTACTTATATGTAAAAAGGTTCACTGGCATTGAAAAAGAAAATGGCAAAGAAAAATCAAACAACATGATTTACCTTGTAGAAAAGAGACTGAGCCAATCTTTTGCGATACACAGGGGAAGCATCAGGTGGAGAGACATTTGGGTTCAACTCGAAAGCTAATTTATAAAGAGCCTCTTGCAATACCATTGAGTCCAACAGGCTTTTTCCGACCAAATAGTCTTGTGTCTGCTGTGCATGCACCTGCAAAATATAATTGAAAAATAAACAAGGAGAATATTTTGTCTCATTGTGCAGTCGTTTGTTTTGTTTTGTTTTTTTCTGGTGTATTTTCTTCTTACTTTCTCTGAGGATGAGCATTGAAGAATGTGTCTTAATAAGAAAATCTACATTGTCATCGTGTTTTGATTGTCATCAATATTTGTTTACCAAGAGCAGTATGATGCATTCCGACATGGAGATGGTGATTTTCCCAATGTGTGCCAAAATTCAGTATGAAACTAACTTCTAAAGGCAGATGGGAAAAGCTCATTCAAACAAAATTTCAATGAATAAGCTAAATTTCGAAAGTCAGTTCATCTAGAGGGTTCTTGGATAATTCGACAGAATTGATGAGAAGGAATCAATTTAGAAAGCTTCTGCAATCGGATGTCAAATACCAATTAATAAGTATCAAACATGTCAAAAACTCAAAAACTTGACTGTCAAACATTTGCCAAACACAATAAAGAACAAAATGATACTACTGCAGCAAACAAGAATGCAAACTCACAAAATTTGGTGTGATACCGCCAAAAATAATCGTAACTTCACTAACAGTCAGAGTATCCTTGTTACTAAGCTTGATTTTGAAACCAGCATTGACAATCGCATGTGCATTTTGAGCACGTGGCATGATCTGAAAAATAAAATTAACAGAAAAACCAGAGTTAAAATATAATAAAAAGACAAGGTGTGTTTCAATGATCACCCGATGTGTCAAACAAGATATGAAGGCATTTCAATTTTATGCCAAATAGAGTAGCAAAGGCAAGCGGAAATACTTTAATGAACTTGGCACTTACAGGAGGAGTTAGTTTCTGGATACACTCACGAAGGAGTGTATTACTTAGAAAGCATAGGCATAAGGGGTAAATTTCAATAAGTCATTTTGATTGTATACGCTCAAGAACTCATAAACTCTACACCTCTGAACCTAAAGTGGTGGAGGTCTCAATTTTCCCAACATCAGCAAGATACTACAGTGTGAAAAAACACAATAGGGCAATTCAATTACAATGAGATAACTCTGCTACATTGATAAAAAGAGGAAAGAAAATCAAAAATGGAAACTGACTTTGTAAGTTTTCACGAGGTATGAATCGTCTAAAGCAGGCAGGATGAAAGATGCAATCAGCTTTTTCCGCAAATCAGTTGCAAATAGCTCCTCGACAAATTTCGTATCAGAGGTTCCGAGAGGTGTCTCTGTAAAATGCACAAGGTCCATCAATACTCAAGACTTAATAAATAATGAATAGCAAAATGAATGAAGAAATATTCTGCTAAGTGCTTGAAATCTCGAGGACTTTAAAATACAAATATTATACGTTGACGGTAAAACTTCCTAACCACAAATAACCTTTGCAATGCTTTAAAATCTCCTCTTTCATTTTATTTTTTTAAAGAACAAGTACAGATATCTTCTTCAAATTTTCAAGGAATTTTCTTCGCGCAGTAAAATTAAATCACAGAAGTTTTTAAGCATTAACGTTAAGTGGTTTCCCGTTTGGAAAATAAAGTATGACAGGAACACTACAAAGTCGCAAACCGAGATACGTGGTTTTGGAAGTTCTACCATTGATATAGAGGGTTATTCAAAAGTCACGCACCACTGGCCATAACTTTAGTTCAAATTAAGATACCTACTTGCGGTTTGTGACGTTTTTCCTCATATCAAGGGAAAAACTTGTTAAGGTACTTTACAGTTTTAGACCCTTTTAGGGAAAGGGGGGGTGGGGGGCAACTAAAAATTTCAAATGGCCACCTCCCTCATGGCCAGTGGTGCGTGACTTTTAAATAACCCTGTATGTATTAGTATGGATATATACTGTTCTTTTGTCCTTTTTGCTTTTGTATGTATACATGTATCTTCTATATTTTCGTGTAATTCGGGTTCTTACCGTCAAAATTTCTGATAAATAATAACTATTAATTTCATATATTTCCTTCCATTTATTCAATGAACAAAGCTCTTTATTTTAAGGAAAAATGTTAACATTTGAGGACTGATCATTCTCCATCAATGACTCTAACAGAAGATAAAATCACGAATAGGATTTAGTGGTCAAAAGTAACACTCTTTTTATGGCCTCTTTTTGACGGTTATTGCAATAATCTTACCCTCAACATACATTGCGCAAACTGTCACAAACATCAAAAAGATATCAGAAGGAAATTCTGGATGTTGGTTCTTGATGCTCAGGTTGCCAGCCAAAGTTCCAACCTAAAGGGAGGAAAAAAGTAATTTAAGACTTTAATAATTTCAAAAAGGTCATTAGAAATATAGGTAGTGTCATACTGAAAATAATGTCACTTTGAAATTGAACAATCATTGAACATTTGATTAACTGATGCTGAATCTAACAACCAAACTTAACAAGTCATGTTCTTTTTGATTTTTTAAACTTAAATTTTAATTTTGTCTGAAGTTTAATGAATTCTTAAATATTAATTTAGATGCACCCGTAAATAGCTTGTTTCTTTGGTCAGAAAGCATGTCAAATCTGGAAATTTTAAAGATAAAGACTTCAAATCATAATATATCCAAGTATCTAAGTGCCTAACAAGTAACTTACATTTCTGACAGGTACATTTGCTATCAAATCAATGTGGTTGGCGAAGACTCTCAGGTAACTGAATTTAGGATATTTTTGTGAAACACTTTCAAAAATGCTCATTGCTTTTGTCAATGTGATGTTGGCGCCAAGAATGAGAGCATTGTCCTGAAGGATCCAATCAGCCAGTTCGGCAACACTATTGATGTCGATGTAGTAATCAAAATCACCTGTGCGGTAAGCTCCTAAATAAAAAAGTCAGATCAAATAATGTACAAATTTGAGAGGCTTTTTTAAAAAAAAAAATGAAGGCTCAAAAAGGGGGTGTTTAAAAGATTGAAAGGCTTCAATATTATGATTTATGAGGAGATTTTACAACACAAAGTGTTTTCATTGTAATTGAAAATTTATGAAAAAGATTAAAAAAATTGTAATAAGGGTGCTTGATTTGATGAGTGTTCTCTTGTGAAAATAAAACAACAATTTTCAAAAACAAATTGAGCACTCACCGTGTGCAGTATTGCCTGCGACCAATTGGTATGATTGATAATCATCGATCATGTCAAAAATCTCAAAGATCTGTTTTTTATCGTCCACTTTGTACCATTTGATGTCCTCCAGAAGTGTAAGAGACAAGTTATCTAGATACAATAGGTCAAAATCATCTTCAAATGACACTTCTGGATGGCAACGATTTTTGCTATTACAAATTTTTGTGCAAACTTCATCAGTTTTTGGGCAAAGCTTTGGAAAATCCTGTAAATGAAAGATGAAGTGATGATAAGGTGAGGAAGCAAAATAAAACAACAATACAGTATTTAGATATGGCTGATATGATAGCTCCAATTTATTTGTCGAAGGTGTTGTCAACCCACATTTGTCAGGTCTATCATCTACTTACTCTTCCAATATTTTACTTTTTTGAAATTGAAAACTAAATTTGTATATTTTTTTGCTGCCATGAGCTGCAACCCATGTGCCTTTTCCCAAAATCCATCCATGATGTGATGTAAAATAAGAATTACCTCAATGTCGCCACATACTTCCGGACGGTAAACTTTGGGTGCATCAGTGCACAGTGACTTGAAAGCATCAAGAATAGGACGGTAGCCAGTGCAGCGACAAATGTTGCCACCGAAAGAGTTTTCCACATTTTTCATCAGCACATCTTCTTTTCCTTTTACTAGACTGAATAAAAAATGAAAAATTGTAATTCAAGACTTTAGCTCAATCAGCTCAGCAAAATTGAACAGAAGTTTCAATCATATAGATCAGGCAAGAGGTGACATCATATCTCTGTATTATACTGAGACTCTTACTACAGAGGGAAAAAAACTCATTCAAGCATTATCCTTCTTCTTGGAGTTATGCTGTTTGGGTGTAACAATTGCTAGGTCCAATCAGAAAGCATTATCAGTACAGGAAACCTTTTTTATTTTTCTGTTTTTACTCTCAACTCATCCTTTTGAGAAACATTAGGATCAAAAGGAATTTTTTGGTTTGTAGACAGCCTCTCTGCAAAATGCGGAGAAATGTCTTCACCTTGACTGCTCTAAATGATTTTAAACTGCGTCTATTGACTGTTGCATCTCGCAAACTCTATTGTATCCTAGAAGCAGCTCTCACCTTCTATCAAGACAAAGAATGCTCGTAAAACAAGTTAATCCAGCCTACAAATGCCTGATGAATATTCATATTGAAGATAAGAGTGCGAACATTATTAACTTCGCACATTTCATAAGGCAAGAAAATTTTGTTAGCTTTTTCTTCATATCTTATTGTGTTTTGTAACTCAATCTTAGGCTTGTATGAGCTCCTGCTAGGCACTATAATTACATAATTAGAGGGAAAAACAGCATGAACTAAGATAAAGATAAGAAAAAATACCTGACAGCATACCATATTTTCTGACTTCAGATTATACCTATATATCTGAGGAAACATATTTTCAGAAGGACATCTTCCTGTTCGAGAATTCCAGTATCTTTGTTTTGTTTTTCTTTTAAAAGAGACACATTGAATGTCCTTAATTAATCTTTGCAATTTCAAAATTGTACATCTCTTCTATGAGACCACTTTTATACTGGGAGTTAAAGACCCCTCAGCAGATTATTCTTATCCTGTGTGTTCTTGAAACACTCAACAGTTGCTTTTACATTGATAGGAAAATAATCTATTTCATTGAAATGCATGCATTACTGCGGTGCTGTCATCACTCTTACAGTGATAATTTTAAAAAAGGTAACAAAACTGCGAATTATATTAGGGTGCGATTATAATATCCAGAAAATATACCTGTACATGTTCATAACCATTCCAGGGGAGCAGTATCCACACTGTGTTCCATTAAAACTGGCCAAACGAGACTGAATTTCATGATATCCAGTAGTTTTACTACCAATTCCTTCAACAGTTGTGACAGACCATCCATGACAAGCAAAAATTGGTGTTAGGCACTGGAAAAAAATATCAGCACTTGTTTTTTGTATTTTCATATAGTTAGAATCTATGATTTAATGAATGAAACAAGAGCTAGTAGTAGCTGGATCAGATTTTGAGCTTTTTTATTTATAATACGAACATTTTTTCCTATTTTCTTTTCTCCAATCAATTCTTTTAGTACAGGCCCACTGAGCCGCCAGTTAGCGGCTTGGCGTTTGGTGGGCCTCTAAAGTAGCGGTACGGAGTTGTAATTTTAAAAAAGTGAATTTTTTGGAAGAATCAGTAATTTCTGAACTCAGCGACCCTCAAGAATCCCTAAAAACTTATTTTGCACGGTTTGAACATTCAATCTGATTTAATAACACCCAAATCCGGCTTTTTGGCGCGCGTAAATTGGTCGGGGCGCGTTGGGCGGAAACTTCAATCACTCATAACTCCGGAACCGTTAGGTTCGCCAGATTAATGGACCACTCGTTGAATGCGGAAAAAGACGAACAATTTAAAAAACTGGTTTTGGTTCAAATGAAAAATTGAGATCTTTGTGTTACCTCTGTTTAAAAGAAATTTTCCAAACTCAAAAACTGAAAAAAAAGCACATTAACTTTAAAATGTGATTTCGGGATTTTGACCTTTAGGATCTTAGAGTATGCAATTTTAGACGATTTTTCGTCCAAACCGGACCTTGATGTCTTTCTCAGTTCGAGAGATATCGAGGTTCACAGGTTTTGGCTTCCAGTAAATTTAAGTAAGTACTGACTTTTTAGTCTGTCTTTTTTTTTTAAACTTCTTAAGTCACGCTTTTGTTAATTTAGGAAAACATTTTGAGAAATTTGTTGTTCTTTCTCCTCCACTTCTCTTTCCCCAGATTTATGAAGAAGTGGATCATTTCCCTGCAAAACTAAAAATACATTTAAAAATCTTACAGAGTTCACAGCAAAAATCCAGTCTTTCCCAGTAGCAGCATCTTTTCTTTTTGCTGTCACGATACACGCACCGCAGCCTCCCTCCAAACACATGAATTTTGTCCCTTTCAGATGTGCTACTGTGCGGAGGAATTCATTTAATGAAGTGTCCGCTGGAAGAGAGGGGGGAACTGTTGGAAACAATCGTAAAATGAAAATTAGATGGAACAGTGAAAAATGAACACAGAAATAAAACAGAGTAATTTATTCTTTAAAAGAAGAAAAAAAAACTAATCAAGAGCGATTTTATTATAACATAAAATTCTATATCGCTGGTGGTTATGAGTGATTGGAGGCTAAAAACCTGGAAACTGGTTTGATACATAATTCAGGAGAAATAATATCCCTGAATTTATCAATGCCAAAAAAACATGAAAAAGGATCATTATCTTTAAAATTATGAACCTTCGAAGACTGAACATTTCCGGTAGGTTACTGGTCACCAACTCTGGTTTCAGCATTTTCTTGAGGTTTCAGATATTTGTGAATAAGTTCCATCAAATTAATTATTTTAGAGAAAAATTGTACTTAGCTTGAAGCTCTCGTTTCAAGAATGTGGGTGGGTGGGTACATAGTATATCAGCTGGAAAATGAACAAAATGTAGCACCTCTATCTCAGTCTCCCCCCCCCCCCCCATCTAAATTAATTACAGTTCCAACTGTTTGAATGAAAAACTGGCATTTAAAAATGCCATCGATCACAAATTGAGAGGTAAGGACACTTATCATACCTTTGTAGGAAGTTCCATTGATTGTAAGAGCGACTTCTGATTGCATATCACCGCCGTTGAAATCAGATCAAATTTCGTGCATCCAAAGAGATTGAAGACAACCGAGAAAAGGTCGTTGCACTGGCGAGGAATATCCGAAGGCCACACCCACACAGAGAGACTTAAAACATATGAGTTAGAGATCACACCAACGCAAAGATCGGAATTCCCTTGAACTTTGAGGCCAGTCACTGGACAACCCCCCCCCCCTCCAACGGCCAGCCCACGGAAAAATTATGCGGAGAAAGATGCGCGAAATTATCCGATTTTATTCTGAAGGAGTCGCTGGAGAAGAGAAAGGTATCTTAACAGACTACGGCTGCGCGCGAACACCACTGTCCGTCAGTAGCGTATTTTCCCTGTTGATGAGACAAAATTCCAACCGAGTATGTGTGCGAAATTAGAATTGAAATGTTCGAGGGCAAAACTAGAATGATTAACGCCGTTAGTGGTGCAGAGCGTACAGCGCGTTACTTTCGGACAAAACAACTTAGCGCCTTGACCGTCTGGCGTCTACGTGTTAACGTTGAGACACGTGTTGTTTAGAACTGCCTACCTATTTTGGAAAGGGAGTGCGTCGCAAGGCCAGCACCTAAGTGCCTGCGTGCATCCGAAGTTTGCGCAAGGTCCTAAAGCATAGTGACGGCGAAACTGCCAAAACACGAATCTCGATTGCAGTCTTCGAAAATTTCCGCTCGTATTTAATTTTCCGAAAGGAAAAAGGCACCACTTTGACGTTGACCTAGTCGTCGTCACTCCCGTCGCTCGTCGTCGAGCCCACGTCCTCATCGCTGACGTCACTGGTGCTTTTGAATTCCTATTTATTCTTAAGGCCCGAGCACTAACGAGCACACCCCATCTCTCCACTTGCACATAGTTCCATTTAGCATAAATACGTCTAATTGAATAAGACAGGAAATTTGCAACGTCGCGAACCAAAAGTGCAGGGCTGGATTCACGATTTTGTCGCTGTTGAATTTCGGAAGTGATGAGCTTTTATGACTTAAAAAGCAGTAAAAAACATTCATAACTTACTTTTACATCTGCTGCTCTGTCATGCTCCGGTAGTTTGCAGCCCCCAAAAATTTGCCCGTGTGCTTCCTCCCCCTCCCCCCTTAAATTCAACTCTATGCGTTTTGGTAGGTTTACTGCCTATATGTCTGCTAAGAATATACCGTTCTTCCCGCGTCCGGAATAACGTGAAATCGAAGATTTTTGAGAATAAAAAATCCGTCACAATTCTATAGACAAAATTTCATGTACGTAGGGCGATACCGTGACCGTGCGTGATGGGCGTAACGAAAATCTGATCGCGCGAGGCTGCAGATATAAGTAAAAATGCGTCCTCACACAAAGATTGTCATAATGGCAATGGGAGAACTGAACAATAGAAAATGAGTAAATCAATCTCGATGATTCTCACGTAACACTATTCCGTTTATTAGGAATTTCCTCAAGTAGCGGGAATCTACAGCGCGAACGACCGAGCGTCATTTCGAATGCCGCGCGCTTAACTCTAATTGGTCGGTGCACTTGACGGGCGGCACTCGGCGGGAAATCTGCGCGGGCAATGAAAATTAACGTAGATTTTATCCGCACAGTTAGATGCGAGTTGTGTGACATCTCCTAAAATAAATCGTTCAGTTTGCATACACGCAGCTTCGTGTCTCGAGAACCTAGTGAAAATTCGTGAAATTAATTATAAAATTTCAGTTTGTCCTGCCTTCCGGTCAACGAGAGCACCGCGCTCAGCGCTGATTGGCCGTTGCATTTAACGGCCGGCACGCGGCGGGAAATCTGCGCGGGCAATGAAAATTGATGCACCTAGAATTTTTCCGCACTGCTAGATACGAGTTGCGTGACTTCACGTACTCAACAGACCTGAACTTAAGGGTTAGATGAATTAAAAGGGAAAAAATAACGACAATCAAACACTATAGAGAGTGTATTTTTTTAAAGGGTACCTGAATGACACCAAACATGATTGACTCAATGAAATTATAAAATATTTGAGAGAATAGGTACAAATTACGCGCTGATCGAACATTCAAAGAACAACGATGACTTTTTGGTGGTCAAAAGATATCAAAGAGACTGTTCTTGTTCCACTGATGAGTCCAAGATATGAAGACAGAATAAAATTCCAACTTCTAATGAGTTTATTTTAAATTAGCAATTTGGTGTCTTTCGACATAATTTTTATGCTTATAAGTATTAATAAATTTAGTATGTTTTTTGTTACATATTAAAGGTTGTTTAATTTCATTTTCAAAAGCCTGAGCTTCAACATGTTCACAATGAAGGAAATTCCCTCACTTCACACAGGAATTTACGCACTTCAAGTGTAATCTGAACCACCAATATTATTGACAAAAGGGAAAGAGCATTTATGGGGCAGCATTAGAACAAAATAATGCGGTTGAACATCATGAATTTTTAGCCCGTAAAATTTTTAAATACAAAAGGTGACTCTTTTAGAGGAGTGAATTTATATCTTGCGGGAGGTTTTAAGTAAAATGGTTATTAGATTAATTCAAGTTTGATTCCACTGCCCCCAAGTGGTAGTTGGTAGTGCTAACCTCTGCTGGACAAGAGACTATCCCAGTTTGTACTCCTGGGTTCCTGTAAAAGCTGCCAGGAAAACTTTTTCGGGCGAAAATGGAACACCTGGAAGTAAACGAAACTCAGTTGGATGGGGTTTTCACAGAATTTCGAAAAAGAAACCTTGCCCTGGACAAGTGCCCACAATTCAACATCCAACAAGATGCTAATATCACAGGCCTGTCAAATGAAAAATTGTAGTATGCATTCATTGTATAAGGCCTTGTAAGTCGGGTCCAAAAAATTGGTAAATAGATCCCCCCCTCCCTGGCACCCCTGATTACTGACCAAGCAAAAGTACCTTGAAGAACATCCATCATCAAGAGTCACACTGATCTCTTTCTCAAACACCAAAAAAACGGTTACTATCAATCACTTGGCAGACAACGTCTTACAAAATGAATTTCAAATGCAATCTGAGAATAACACTTTAGTTTTTCATTGGAATCAAAAATTAATATGGACACATCCTACAATCCAAATAAAATTTTCACAGACCATTCAAAATTTTAGTACTTGGCAACTTCAAGACTGATGACACAACCAAAATCATCTTGACATCAACATGCTAAAATAAGAAAATTATTGAAGAGGAAACGACACAAGGTCAAAAAAGTTGTAAAGTAACACACTTACTTATATCACACCAATCGTCTGGTTTACCAGCATCGCAGCGAGACGCATTAATTGCTTGACGAAGAGCAAACATTACTCCACAGCTCATGCACAGAGGTGGCTCACCAGTAGCTAAAATGGAATAAAATAATTGTAAGAATCTTAGAAGAAAATTGCTTTTAATTTTCTTGACATTAATTATCACAAAGCCTTGGTGAATATAAAAATATTTGAAGTACACATTAAAAGAACTCCTGAGCAATAGAAGTTTTGTCCATTTTATTTACTGCATGGTCTTGAATTCAATATGCACCAAATCCTCAGAATGAAAGGGTAAAATTCAACTCACAGACATTTTCAGTGAGATCAAGAAGGTCAAGTAGCAACCTGGATTCGTTGACTTTGATAATTTGTGTTAAAAGAAAAGAAAGAAAGAGAACAAAAGAAATTTGTGTGGAAAGAAAAGAGATTCAGATGGGTGTTAGCACTCAGAAGCGCCGTAAATAATAATTTGTTAAATGTGGCAACTACAAAAATAATCTGGAAATTCAAAAATCTAGACTCACAAAACAAATTGAACTAATAAGAAAATACATACTAATACTTATGATTGAATTTTGTGAGTTTCAGTTTTTTATTTTCCGATTCAATTTACTTTCTCATTCATCCAGCTCACAGACCACTGTCGGCATGCACCTCCTTTTATTTTTCTAATCAAACAATTTCCCTACACAAAAAATTACCCACCTTTAGAGCGAAGAAAAAATGGGGAACCATTGGGGTCACTGTAATTTTTTAATATGGTCACGCGGAAGTCACAGGGAATGTCCTTGAATCCAGGGGGTTTGTAGTTCTAAAAAATAAAGTTAATGCAGTTAAAAAAAATATGAAATTATAGCAGAAGCTTTATTTTAATTCATTACAGAGCACAACACTTGGCAAAATGTTTTAGAGACTCGAACAAAATCTGAACATGATATATGAAAAGAAAAAAAGAAACGTAGCTCTTACCCAGGTTCTGTCAGTGAGGACCTTTCCTGTATTACAATCAAAAATGATATCCTCTGTAAGCCAGTAGCCAAGACCTAACACAAAAGCACCCTCTACTTGTCCAACATCTAACTCTGGATTCAGACTGACACCCGCATCCTCGATAATATCTGTGCGCAGAATCTGTAGAACAACATTGATCAACATTTTTTCAGTTTACAGTCAGCTTAAGCAATTATAGTATACATTCTGTTACAGTCTCTGAAAATTCAAATTCACTCAGACTTACACTGATAGAGAAGCATACCCACTAAATTGTGAGGTTGTGAGCAGTGGCATGGCGTGCTTTGCGATATTTCGATTGTTATGCCATTGAAACCTATGGAAAAGGATCGATAAACAGGGTTTTCGCAGCGAACACCTTAGTTATCAATTCTTTGCCATAGGTTTAAATGGCGTAACAATTGATACATTGCAATTCACGCCAAGCCACTGGTTGTGAGCCTTTAGGAAGAAAAATTATTACAAACAAGGCCTTCTAACATGGGCAATAAGAGATATAGACTTTAAATGGATATTAGTAAAAAAATGCAGGTGCCAAAGCAGGTAGGTGTTTTTATGGATAAGTTAGATGTAGTACTTTCCAATCGCAAATTTTAGTCTAATTATTCCCTTTCAGTGTTGAAATATGAAAAATTTAAAAAAAGTAAATGGTGAAAAATCCTACACAGACTGCTGAAAAAGGAAATCAGGGGAGAAAAGGAAAGGAAGACATACAAGAAAATACTGTCATTTTAATTCCTGTAATAACCATTTATGTGATATTTTGTATTTTTGTTATTGTTCATTAAGATGAACAGAGTGCTTAGTTGATTTTTAAAAGAAAAAAACCATGGCACTTACGAGGTATTTCCCAGTCAGGATGTCTACCTCAACTTCTGTGACACAGGCTCCAAAAATGTTATACGTCTTAGTATTATACCTCATATCGTTCTTTTCACCAATATCTTTAATTGTGTACCTGAAAGCACATTTTATGAGAAAGAACATGAATATATGTTATTAACTTTCCTATAAGAACAGATCTTCATGCACAGGGTGATTCCCAAGTCAAGCACCACCCCTGTGAGTTTTGATGAATTGAGCCAGTGACTTGACATTTTTAAAAAGCTCCAAGGTAGAAATAAAGTACTTTTGGGTCTTTTTGGATTTTCTGGGATGCTCAGCTGGGCGCATTGACGAGTGTGATCTACTGATGAAGTTTAAAAAGACCGAAATCGATTTGGGTCACTTGTCATGATCCACCCTTACTTAATAATCCACAGCATCTGCTTGAGCTGAACTCTCTCCCTCCTCAGTCTTGCGTAGGCACTCCTAGGAGTTCTAATTTTTTAATCTACAGAATGAAAATTTTTGGAATTTTTTCGTCTTGGTTTCCAGCAAAATGGTGTGGATCCAGTAATATTCTACCATCCTGGATAAAGGGCAACTTCAAAACCTACTCAACCAAAAAAATTTTAATTTTAAGCAACGTACATATGGATTGCACAGAGATCAATATTTTCAACTGCAGCTGCTGCAATAACTTCTTGCCACTTAGCATCTGGGCTAAGTTTTGCTTTGATGGGAGATAGCCTCTCCAACAGAATATCACAGCATATTATCACACCCTGAAATAAACCAGGAGGCAAATTCAACATGTTTGAAAAAGTAAAGAGGTAATACTACCCTTTTGAACACCTTTTTTCTCCCTGCAACTACACAAAAAGGAAACGAAACTGAACTGAACTTCAGCTTCTCACCATCGAGGTATGGCACTCCCAAAAATTGTTGACCATCCTCAAAAAGATAATGCAGGTTTTACACAGGGATTTAGAACCATGCACATTTTGTTGGTTTTTGATACGATACGATAGGTACTGAGAATGATAAGCTGAAAAATTAGAAATTTTTTTAGCCATGGTGGATTTTTTCAACCCGAGAATGTACAGGTCAATTTGAAAGCACTTCCTTTTCATGCCTTAAATATAACTTCAACTGAAAACATTTGCTGCAATGTTTATTGCTTCACCTACAAATTCTGCTGAAACTGCCAAATGGAACTGAAATTGGTGTATTCAGAAATATCGGTCCTTTACTTTTATTAATGTTCGCTACAGGTGTTTAAATTGAGTTCAGATTATGAAATATGCTAAAATTGCAGGATCATTTCAAACGGAATTTTCGTTTGCCCTGCAAGGATTCTTTCGTTCATTTAATCATCCACAAGCATAGACCATCAGAAGGACTTCACCTCTCCTCCATGCTTTCAGCTGCCTCTGTTCTGCCTTCTGTTCCCAGTTGAGAAGAACGTACAAAATTACACGGTTAAATGTAGTTAGTTCTCACCTGACATACGGAATCACTAGTCATGCTATTGACGGAGCCAAAATCGTTTGGAGCAGTAAGGACATTTGACGGCTTGATTTTCACCATTTCAACGTCTATTTCAAATTTATAAGCACACACTTGAGCAGCTTTCGTGTTGATACCTTGACCCATTTCAATACCTCCATGCGTAATTGAGACCGACCCATCAGACTGGTAAATTGACACCAGAACGTGAAAGTTGCCGAATAGACCCAACGCAAATCGCATTGGTGTGATGCTAATCCCCTGTTTCCTCCACCTGTTCTCCTGCAAAAGTAGGTCAGTATTACGAGCAGTTGGCATAAGAAACACGAGTAAATATGACAGAAATATACTGATTTTGCAGATGAGCATGGAATTCAGTGTAAATGTTATAAAAATGAAATTTTCATCACATAGGGAAAAAGCTCTTTTAAGTAAAGTTTTTAGAACAGTTTATGTTTGTGATTAATGGAGGACATTAAGCCGCTTTGAAAACCAACTATTTCATTAATAAAATATCTATGCAGAACTGCACCTGAAAAAGTTCAAAACGACGTAGATTAGTACTCAATTGCACGTACACTGTCAATATTTACAATTTATGCTCATAATGAGTATTAATTTACGTCGTTCTGTAGCTACTTCATGCCCCATACATGGTAGATTAGAATAGTTTACACAGCTTCTTTCCGAAAAGTACGTTTTATAAACTGCTGATTCCAAACTGTCATCATTGTGGTTTGGTTTGAGATTTTTGGGAATCAGCCTCAAAAAAATGTTTTTAGAACACTTCTTTGAGCTTCAGTATCACTATAACTCAATTTTGATCTTTTGCCAACTATGTCCCTTTTCCTGTGGACAGGCATACACCGACGGTGCAACTGCAAAAATGCATGTCTTTGCTACAGTGTTTCGAAATCTCCGCACCTATTTTATTTTCTAAAAGGAGACCAAACCGACATCATGACTTGAAGTTTTCACAGAAAATTTTTTAAAAGGAGAGGAAAAATCATTGAAATTTTTAATAAATGGCGTCCAGAAGTTTTCCATGGCGAAACTAAAGTATGACAGGAAGCCTGCAATGCCGCAAACCGAGACATGCATTTCTACAGTTTCACCATTAATATGTATTCATTATCAATTTCAGTTACCCCATTGAATTTCTGGATTTTTTTCTTCCTGTTATCAAAGTCAGAGCTCTCTTTGAGCTGATCAATTATTGTTCCTAGATGTTCCTTACTGTCATCAGCAAAATTTGTTGCACGGACTACCAAAGGATCTTTCTTAAGCTCCGTTGCAATATGTTCAAAGACGTGTTCAATTGTTGCGATGCCTTCACAAGCTCCTATCGTATAATCAAAACAAAAAACATTAGAACCAGAGTTTTGAGGTAAGATTAAATAAATTTGATATCCAAGAGAAATAAAGGTGCCTCACGTGTTGGTAAGACTGTAAATTTTTCTCATGGAAAAAATTATCTAAAATTTTGAAGATAAACATTTTTCAAACAAAGACCAAGTTCTAGAAATAACTAAAAAGAATTTACTTAAAAAATTGCTGAATTTTGTGTTGGATTTTCAGTTTTTTTGCTTTCTTTGGGTAAAAATAAAATTTTACAATATTTCCCACTGTTGGAAAAAGGACCTTAGTCGTAAAAAACCGATAATGTGTCATTGGCACCACTGATTAGATTAAAAGCATTGTAAACTTGCATGAGAAATGCTCAAAAATCGGAGTTAGGGTATTTTTTTAGGGATTTGAAAATTTTTCTTGGTTCCAAACTGAAACCGTTTTACTCAATTTAACGAAAATTGCATTCATGGATAGTTGGCCTTCATCTATTGAGACCCTCTTCCTGTGGATGGTAAGCAATTATGTTATGTTTATGCAAAAATACATACATTTTACGAGTTTAAAAGTTTAAGGAGCCAGATCTCCTGAAGCTTTGACAAATTTTTTGGCCTTTTGAACTTTAAAATGAAAATTAATGCACCTGGAGCCCTGCAGTAGGTGTTACTGCTCTTGTCTGTCCGTACAGCATAAGCATCAACTTTCCATGTACTGGAATCGTAGCAATTCACCACATTTTGCAATGTCAGCGGGATGGTGTTATCATTGAAGGACGAGCCTAAATCTTGATGGATGTTCATATCCAAGTATTGAACCTTACCCTCATCATCTACTGATACCTGAATTTAAAACAACAAAGAAATAATAATTATAATAATGGTTGGCCAGCCAACTATAGAAAAAACTGTGTTCCAAGCTTTCTATTTCTGACATGACTTGTGAGATCAGAGCAAATTTTAGATTACATTGAGTGAGGGACCTGACAGCGACTGTCGCTAAATCCTCAAGATTGCTGCTTATGGGAAGAAGTGTGGTATCCGTGGTCGAAATTGAGAGATGTCGTGTGCAACATAATGTTGAGGGCACTTAAAACGTTTATCAAGGTGATGTCAGAGTATGCATAATGTTTCTTTGTTCCTCAGCGTGTCCTCTCAAGTTTTTCGTCCTAACTTTAACTGTGCTGCATTGTGTTTCATAACATTTTAGTGCACGGATTTATTTTTTAACCCAAAACATTTTCACAAAATTAATTTTTTCTTATTCTTTTTTTTTTGTTTTTTTTTTATTCAATGACGATTGACAATGATTTTTTTTGTTCATTCACCAGGACGCTCAAATTTTTTTGCGACACATTTGAGTATTATGCGACATTTACTTATGGTTCCAAATTGTTCTGATTAGAACCCTAAATTTTTAATCATTAGAATTGCTCCATTTGTCGTCCATGGGCTTCAAAATGGATATGATATGGATGGTATATGCAGGTCTATTGGACAATGGACCTTAGAATATTTTATTAAACTTGCAACGATTGTATCAGGCACCACTAAGCTTGCCCTCTGTTGCCTTAATATTCATAACAAAAAGCTTAGATGTTTGAGAGATTGCTCCACAATAATGCTCATAATTTGACAGAGCACCTTGTGTTGGAGTCATTTAATTTTACCTCATAAGTGGACAAACAACAAGTGCGTTTGCCGATAGCTTGCATGTTACTCTCAATAGATAGCACAATTCGGACAGGTTTCCTTAAAATAAAAGCACCCAATGCGCAAGGGATTGCAATCTGGGGCATCCTTGACAGTTTGCCGCCGTAACCTCCTCCCACTCGCCTATTTTGAACGTTGATGCTGAAAAGTAATAAAAAAAGAAATACAACTGGAGAAAGAATAAAAGGGGGAGAGGGGTTGAAAAACCAACAACAAGGGTGAGACATAGCGATCACAAAAGTTTCATAACCTACTATTTTTTATTTCCTCTTCAAATTGACAAATTTTAAAGAGATGAACTTACATTAATTTGAAAGTTTGCAGATTAAAGTAAACACTATTGAATTTTAAAGTCAGATAAAATTCTTCGGAGATTTATCAAGATCATCTGTAATGATATGCTAAGAAAATGGTACAAAAACTCCATGTTAAACGGTTGAAACCATCTGCAAAACTTCTCTTTACTGGTGTTAACAGCTGCTTCAAAAACAAACCCCTTGAAATAAACTGGAGATTTTTAAACTTGAAACATCTGTGACGAAGATGGTTTTAACATTGAGGTAAAGCTGCTTTAAAAATTTGACGATCATGGCTTCTTACATTTAAAAAAATAATACATCATAGTCTTGGCTGATAATTGATTTGATATGGGATATCACTGTGGTGATAATTAGTAATACATTATGCAGCTCCACATTTTACTACTTGTCCTGAAATTTTGTTCAGTTTCATATCGGAGAAGAATTATAAAAATTTGATTCAATTAAAAAAAAAAAAAAAGGTGAGCAAGAAAAGGAAAAGGAAAACTAGGTTTTCGACACAATTAGCACAAATTAGCGAAAGGGAAAAGGCCAAAAATACCTGGATGGTATCGTTTGCACCCTACTATTACTCATATATGTCTGCAACCATCCTCTTGGTTAAAAGAAATTTTTGAGATGGTGATAAGGCCGTCCACGGTTTTAATATTTCACCATTGCGATTTTTAAGGGTTCCTGTGGGCCTCCAGCCTAACTTCCATCAACAGAGGCAGCAATCTCATTTGGTGCAAAAGCAGTAGTTTGTAAAATCTAGGAGTATACTCACCAATTTTCTGGAAGTTTCAGGGCCAAGGATATGGCTCTTTGTGTCGTTGAGAGATACTGTGAGGATGGATAAAGATCAATGCCCTCGTCTGTCGGGACTGCGAGGCAGGTTTGCGTCTCCATATGGAAGTGGTACTGTTCTCTGCATTCAAATGATCCCTTAATTATATGCTTTCCACTTCCTATAAACATACACGGAAGTAAAGAATTGAGAAAAATTATGAAAGCGCAGTAAAATCGAAGAAACTAAGTGCCCTGCTATTAAAACAGAAATGATGAATCGATAAAATAAAGATTACATCTTACGGGGATGCATAAAGTTAAAAGCCTTCTCTTAAATTCAATTAAACTTCCCCCATTTTAACACAAATTCATGGTCGCTACCTCTGAAGACAAAAAAGAAAACCTCTTATCCAGAAAATCGTAGGTACTTAATGATCCAATTATGATGACTTTATATTCAAACATTGATTATTGCTGTTTAAATTTTTGCTTCTGAGGTTTTTTGAGTAAAATGCACTCCTACTCTCTTTTTGCTGCAGTGGCGTTTTTTTTCCACTGAAGGTAACAAATGGCAATTTTTTGCCTGGTCAAACAGACACTGGACAAAATTAAGAATTTTGACTTCGTACCTTTCTTAGCTTTCCTTTCTATAGATTGAGTGAATCTGACTCGGGATTGATCTCCAGAGTCTAAAACTTCTTCAGGTGTCAACAATGGTTTTTTCAAGTTAGTAACATTTACTCTCACCATTCCGGCTGCCTTATTTGCCAAGAGTTGGGTTTCGGCAACCATTATGCCCACTGGCTGGCCCGAAAATGTTACATACTTGTCAGCAAACACCTGGGTGAAAAAGGCGTCAGGAAAGATTGGTGAGAGCATAAATAATAATGAAAAGAATAAAATACAAACAGGTAGACGGATATTTGAGGGGAAAATAAAAATTTGCACATTAGACAAAAGAGATTTTCGATTTCTGAGATCCACTATTTTTGCTCCAATGACCACCAATGCGTTGCAAAATAAAGAAAAATGCACAAATCTATGCATAATATTACTTTATCTTTATGTTGTTATGCGAAAAAAATTTCCCTGCTGTCAAACAGTCGCATGGACATTTCTTTGATAGATTTCCTAGTATCAATTCAAAGAGTGGACGAGCAAAACAACTTATGTCAAAAGGTTTGAAGGGTGTGTCACCCTTGTAATACCAGAGAAAAGTGATTTAGTCTGAGAAAAATGGCACTTTACAAAATAGGCAGCCCCCTTACCTCCACCTACTCCTTCCAAATTAAAGAAACCATTAAGTGCATCCACAAAAAATGTGGTCTGTTGGCGGAGAAATCAAAGAAATAGTCAGAGGTTATATACTACAACAATGATTTAGTTGTGTCCAATGCAGACCATTGCGCAATTTATACCATTGTTCCATTCTTAATTTATTGAGGGAGCTTCAGCTCATTCAGGCCAGTTTTTTTTTTATTGCGAGGAAAAATGCTAAAATAAAAAATAAGTTTTCATGTCTTACTGGTTCCGTATCAGGAGAAAATATTTCCCCAGGAGGCGTGAAAATGTTGATACCTGGAATGTTCTTGGCAGAAAAGAAAGATTTCACTCCATTGAGTCTCTGTAATAATTAAAAAATTAGTTTTCTTACAATCATAATCAAGCAATTGGGCAATATGAATCACCAATAATAATTTATTATTGTTTCCTCCCACCAGTTTTACAATCCTAAAGGCAACTGAAAAAGGAAAGGCAAAATTAAGTCTTGTCGGTTGCAAAAACTTTCTTTCTGTGATTCTTAATTTTATACAATCATTACACTGTATTCTATCTCATAGATTATTTGAATGTCCTCATACTCTGATAATTAAAATTTGCCTGTGAAGTTTTAGTTCCAGACATCCAAACGTCTCCAGTAATTGATTTTATTATTTACATTTATACTTCTGAAGTTCTTGTTCATTGTATCAGCTCAACTTGGCCCTATCACTATTATTGGCCTTTTCTCTCACCCCATTCCAGATTATAAAAAAGCGCACTATGGAAAAGTTTGCTTAGAATGATTCAATGATTCATTCTTGGAGAGAAAGTATACTAACCATCGCAACACTTGTGTCAATGGAATCTAGCGTCCCTGGTCCAGCTGGTGCTAAAACTAGTGCACCGAACAGTTCACCTGGTAATGAGGGAATGTCATTTGTGTACTCAGCTTCACCTGTCCAACAGTTAACCACAAACTGACTTTTTTTTTGAGGGAATTTAAAAAAAGTAATCTCCAATCCGTCCCTTCAATTCAAAAGCTTTCCCTTTGTATTCACATCACAATGCATTTAAAAAAGAAAATTTATCTCTCACAGATAAAATTTAACCCTACACTGGGTGTGCTGTGGCGGTATTAAATGTTTTTGTTACTCTGTAAAAGCCAACGCACTTACGTATCATCTGTTTGCAAGGCCTTTAACTAATCACTTTTTGAGCCGGGAGATCACTTTGAAGTCACAAGACAGAGAGAGATTTGAATCACACAAGCTAGGAATTTAAACTGCTGGGTTTGAAAACATCTAAAAACCAAAATCTTGGGTGTCAGGATCTGTGGTGTAATGGACCACAAAAACGGAACAAGGTAAAAAAAATAAATGCTTCATTATGTGCATACGAAATACCGTGAGCAAGTTGAATATCTTCAAATTCCAAGAAAATACATAGCAATGTCTACTTGAGTCAAATCAGTTGTAAAGCTCATTTCAGTACGTTTTATGACTGAAGAATTTTTTAAGTGACCTACATTTTTATCAGACAAATTTATACGTAAGTTCTGCATATTTTCAAAAGGGAGTAAAATCTTGACAAGATAAACAGTTATTAGCAAATTCTCATTAGAACACTGAATACCTGAACATTGTGAATATGCTTCCAACTTGGGGATAGCTTTGTTTACTGGCCAAAGCTTACGGTCAGAAGTAAAACTCTGCTTTCCAGAGGAGCGAGGCCGTTGTAACGTTTCACCACCACTACGATATTTTTCTTGGATAGATCCTGGTTTTAGACTCAAAATGAACTGGAAAAAAAGAAAGCAACTTAAATACTCCATGGGAAATTGATAAAATAATTTTGAAATTCATAAAGAAACCAAATTTTTCAGACAATTTGCTTTTGTAGATCCTGACACATTAGGAAAAACTGCTTCCAAAACTTGCATAGAGATCTGAACGAATGACAAGTGACCTCTGCAAATTATGTCTGTTCGAAGTTTGTCTTGATAAATAAGTGCGGGACTTTTTGGTTCGGATACAAGATTCAAAACGCACATCACAACAAAAATTTTGATCAAACACCAGTACCGATCTCCTTCGTTACATAACGCTATTTGTTACAGCCTTACAACCTCTTCTTCTCACAGCATTGAGTCCCCATTCATTTTCTCATTTGACTTCCATTTCATTGAGTCATTACCTTACTAGGTTTGACTACGTATATTAAAATTTCTCTCTCCTCTATGACTGTGCGGCTATTATAGTCAGCAAAATAAAAAATGTATCATGGCCTCATTCAACCCTCCTAATGCCCCATCCTCACTCTAGTATAACCTCCTTTTAATTTCATATTCATAAAATAATGAATTTTATTTTTTTACAATGACTCTTGCCTTAGAGAATATATGACCATTGGTCAGAGTGACAAATTTAGGGGTATGGACAGAAGAAAGGCTCACTGGCACTGAAAAAGAAAATTGTAAAAAAAAATCGAACAACATGATCTACCTTGTAGAATAGAGACTGAGCCAATCTTTTGCGATAAATGGGGGAAGCATCAGGTGGAGAAAAATTTGGGTGTAATTCATAATCTAGTTTATCAAGAGCTCCTTGCACTGCCTGAGAGTCTGACAAGCTTTTTCCAACCAAATAGTTCTGCGTCTGCTCTGCATGTACCTGGAAGTAATAGTTGAGAAATGAGTGTGTGTAGATTTTTACAGCTTTGGTGTTATTCATTTCAAATAATAACATATATGACGAATAATAATAATACATTTTCGAAGATTTGCTTCAATCAGCAACGATACATTTCATTACAGCTCATTTAAATTGTAATGCCTCTCTCCCCCAGTAAAACTGAAACTTTGGGGATCAGATAGTAAATCCACAGGTAAGTAATGCGAAATGATTCTTCTGTGGTGTTAAGATACTATCAATGTCCTGAAATCAAACATTGCCATACTGTGCAATTGATGTATAACGTATTTTGATTAAAACTGTGCAATTACTTTGGCATCAAAATTGCAATTCACTGAAATAAAAGCAATAAGACTTGGTTTTATTGTCGTTTAGTTGCAATAAAATCTCGGATAATTATTCATATTTTAGTAATCATGAAAATTTCATTACCAATAAAACCTTAATTTTATTTCAGTGAGTCCCGATTTTTCTTTTGACAAAAGCTACTTGTGTAGAGGAATCCTAAAACAAATTGAAAAGTTTAAAACTGGACTGCTCAACATTTATTGGACGCAGTGAACATACAGCAGTGAATTGATAAGTTTCGAACAAAAAAGAATGAAAACTCACATAATTTGGCGTGATGCCGCCAAATACAATTGTGGCTTCACTAACAGTCAGAGCATCCTTGTTACTTAGCTTGATTTTGAAACCGGCGTTAACAATTGCTTTTGCGTTCTGGGCACAAGGCATAATCTGGAAAGTGTTCAACAGCACAAGTAGAGTTGAAATAAGTACAGGATGGGAGAGCATTAATGATTACTAATTTATTTTGAAAAAAAATTTCAGCATTTGGATTTTTAACCAGTGCACGGTAAAAGAACACCAAGAGGGTCAGAGACAATTTTACAAGCTTTGCAATACCAGATGCGAATCATTGCCTGTAAAATAACAAAGAACAGCTAGGCCGTACGGTAGGAAAATTTTAATACATCAATTGAGTTGTGCGAGCATAAAAAACCATAAACTAAGAAGCCACATTCTTTGTGAGGCAGTGGGGCAACGCCTACTTCTACCAATATTAGTAAAGTACTGCCTGTTCACACACAAAGAAAAAACTACTCTGATTCAAACACAGCCTCGATCATCTTACTTCTACAAAATGGTGAAGATATTAGTTTTCTGAAATTTAGAGGGGATGAAAATTCTTGAAAACTCAAATTAGATGATGTATTGTTTCCTTGACTTTAAAAACAGGCCAACAGAAGAACAATAAGGTGAAAACTCTGTACTTTCAATGATTTAAAAGGAGGACAAAACTAATATTAAACTGACCTTGTAAGTTTTTATGATATATGAATCATCTAAAGCAGGTAAAATGAAGCATGTAATCAGCTTCTTCCGTAAACTTGTTGCGATGAGCTCCTCAACAAATTTTGTATCAGAGGTTCCCATGGAAGTTTCTGTGAAATACATAAAACCGTCTATCAATACTCGGAACGTAATAGATACAAACAGTAAAATGGAAGGGAAAACACTCAGTTCTTCAAGGAGTTAAAGGCCTGAGAATTTTTACACTCTCATTTTATCCCTTACTTTTTCAACCTCTTCATCAAACAAGGGTATTTCTCTCAGGAGAAACAACAAAAAAAGAAAATTATTTGGAGGAGACCAATTTTACCTAAAAGGGAAAGACAGTGCAAACATTTCTCTTCAATTATTTAATGAAGAGTAAAACCACTAGTAAGATTTAGAGACCAAATCACATTAAAATTAGGTTTCTAAAAAGCTGCTGAAAGAAGAAACGCGCACTTCTGTGAATGCTGAGTAACGCAGAGAATCAGTCAAAGTAGGCAGCTAATGGACAAAAGCTGCTCATACCGCATGTCTACTTGGATCTAACAGGCTCAAACCTTCTCTTTCCCCCACAGAATCGGTGTCTCACACATTATACTTTTTCTGAGAAGTAACATGGCTCTTAATTCATTAGGGTTTAATTGCCTCCGTCTAGAGGAGGGAACCTAACAGATGAACAGATCATTTAGTTGAGAGGCCATTTGTAAAAATTTTGATCAGAGTCGGCGCCGCTGAGAAAGGAAAAAGTTTTTTTTATAGCAGATGAAAAGATGTGCAATATTTCTTACCCTCAACATAAAGAGCCCTAACCAAGACAAACAGTAGATAAATGTCGGATGGAAATTCAGGATGTTGGTTCTTGAGGCTCAGGTTACCAGCTAAAGTTCCTACCTGGAGGAGGAAAAAAAAATGTCTTCTTTCATTGAACCCCTAAAAGGAAGTTATAGCTGTGTCATCCTGCTCGCCACTCCTTTCTCTGTCATTCCTCATTGTAGGATAAAAATACAAATAGCTGCTTAATAAAATAACAACAAATTTTGCCGGCAAATGCTGGATTTATTGACCTCAACGTAAAAAAAGAGAGAACTCAGATTGGTAGTTGGAGGGAAAATGAGAACTTGAACCACATATTAGTGAAGTAAAGTAAAGCAACATTTTATAATCTTAAATGATCTCTGCACGAAAAATATTCTATAGGTGATAGGGACCAAAATAAAAGTAGGTACTGTATACTGGACTTGCTCCCTGTGTTTTTTTAAAGTCACTAAACTAAATTGTTCATTTTTTCTGTAACTTGTAGATTAATAATAAAGCTACTTTAAAACACACATAATATTTTTACGGACAGTCAAGTACCTACTATCTGGAATTCTTCAAGTTTACTCTTTCCAATCATGGAGAAAAAATTGGGCATAAAAATGTAGGTCAAAGTACTTACATTTCTGATAGGAACATTTGCTACCAAATCGATGTGGTCAGCAAACACTTTTAAGTAGCTGAATCTAGGATATTTCTGAGAAATTCTCTCAAAAATGTTCATTGTTTTCGTCAAAGTAATATTAGAACCAAGAATGAGGGCATTGTCCTGGAGGATCCAGTCAGACAGCTCGGCCACACTGTTGATGTCAATGTAGTAATCAAAATCCCCAGTGCGATAAGCTCCTAAATAAAAAAGTCATAAAGGACATTACAAAATTCAAAAAAAATTTTCCACAAACATATTGTTTTTAATCAAAGATAATAATTTCCAAAAGTCCATCTTGATTTTGGACCTTAAGTCTGATACATACAACAAAAAGGGGCTAATTCATTTTATTGTAATAACATAGCTTTTTTACAAAACAAATGATTTTCCGTGTATCAGATAGATAGGCAATCGGCAATTCAAGGAAAAATTGCAACTTATTTCGATTCTCTTGCAACTTTTTATAATATGGGCCCCTTCAATTAGTCAATGGGCAACGCATACAACACCCTGGTATGGTTGTGATATTTTTACCATGTAGGTAATTGCAATTACTAAGCTGTGCCACTTAGAGATAAGGTATTTCTCACCCCGAGCTGTGTTGCCTGCGACCAATTGGTATGACTGGAAATCATCGATCATGTCAAATATCTCAAAGATCTGCTTCTTGTCATCCACTTTGTACCATTTGACATCGTTTGAAAGCATGAGTGACAAGTTTTCTACATACAAGAGGTCAAAATCATCTTCAATGGACTCCTCTGGGAGGCAACGGTTTTTGTTGCTACAGGCCTGTGAGCAAATTTCTTCAGTTTTCAGGCAAAGTCTTGGAAAATCCTGTAAATGAGAGGTAAAACGATTGTATGATAAGGGGCAAGATGAAGTAAAGAAGATACAGAAATGATAAAGATATTGCTGGTTGAATGAATGATATTAATTAGTAATGATCTCCTTCAGATCAAGGAAAATTTTGGCATTTTTCTCATTCCAGTGTGACTCACCAAGCTTTTACCGTACTGACAATACCTAAAGAAAAATAATCAGGAAATTCCTGGCAATTTCCTTGGTGGAACTATCTGAAGAATTTTATTGTCTTGCAGTGAAATTGTCATTTCTTGGACGAAATAATGTAACTATGATTAAAAAGTGCAGAATTTCCACTCAAAATTTTTATTTTTACTCTCAGACTAATGAACATTTTCCGTTGAAAATTTTTACTGATGTTTTTGTAAATCATTATCACACAACAGCAAAATTTTAGGCAAAAATTTAGCTAGCATTTTCGTGTGAAAAATGAAAGTATTCAAATAGATTTTGCAACACTGCAGTGGAGACATTACAGGAGACATATGTTCCTTCGAGCAGAAGACAACGAAATGTTTTGTTAAAATTATGTGTTATAGAATTAGAATTACCTCAATGTCACTGCATAAATCTGGATGGTAGACTTTGGGTGCATCAGTGCAGAGCGACTTGAACGCATCTAGTATGGGACGGTAGCCAGTGCAGCGACAAATGTTGCCGCCAAAAGAGTTTTCTACAGTTTTCATAAAAACATCTTCATTTCCTTTAACTAGACTAAATACATCAGAAAAAAACATCATTTTAATTCATAAAATATTACTGATCAGCCAAAAACATTAAAAAAGACAAATCCACCAAACACTATTCAATACTGTCAATCAACATAATTGGAAAATTATTGGCGAGTACTTACTAGAAAGACTGAAGTATCATAAATCATTTCTAGATGACCAATGCAAATTTTTCTGCTTTCAATAAGCAGCTTGACTTACTTAACCTTTATTTTCTTTTAAATAGTCATTATATTGAACAAAAAACCCTTGGAGGAAAATTTGTATGTTGAAGTATTCTGGTCTTTAATTATGTAAGAATGTTCAGTTATTTCCTCAATTAGCCACTGATGCTATTTGCCAGCACTAAGGATTACTCTTTCTTGACACCTCTATCAAGAAAGAAAAAAGTTATAAGTACAAATTTTAAAAATCAATGAATAAATAAAAATAATAACTTTCAGTTCAACCCCTGAAAGATTCGGATTTCTCAGATGTTCCAAATATTTAAAAAAAAGTTACCTGTACATATTCATGACCATTCCAGGAGAGCAGAAACCACATTGGGATCCATTAAAACTAGCCAAACGGGATTGAATTTCATTGTAGCCGGTTGCTTTACTACCAATTCCCTCAATTGTTGTAACAGACCACCCATGACAAGCAAAAATTGGTGTCAAACACTGGAAGAAGAGTAGAAAACAAAGTTTCATTCATGAACCTTACAAACTAAATAATTCAACAAAAGCTACCAAATTAGTATATCAAATTTTGGGCTTCCTCATTTTTTAAAAATATTGAGGCGGATAACTAACTTCAGAACCACGGTTTATATTCGCAATGCTTCAAAATTATCAAATTTTTATTTATTTTCAGAGCAAATCAACATAATGAAATCAAATTTTTTCAGATTTTTTCTTTAATGTTTCATCATAATCCTGTAAAAACTTTAAGCCATAAATAAAATTTTTCTAAACAATGTAAAATGAGCACAAATTTTGAAACGATGTAATGAGATGTGCACATGGTTCCCAAACTGAACAATGATGCAATTTCTTACATTATTTCCTGATAAAATGAGTATTTTACAATATTAGCAACTCTATTGATTTCAACAAAAAAATATTGACACATCAACAAATACCTACTGAAAAAAGCTACGGAATTTGGTGGACTTTAATAGGTAGTTTTAAAATTTCATGATGAATGAAATTTGATCCTCATTATTAAATAGAAAATTCAGGTTAGTTTTTAATTTTTAATTGAAATATAAAAATAGTCAAGGCTTATGGTTGAGGAGAGGTCAAAATTGAATCCAAACAAAAAAAGTAAATGCAATTGTCAAGGGAAAAAGCAGGGACCTAAATCCACAAAAACTCAAAATTGAAGAAAAAAATAAAAAATTTAAAGATATGAATTGAGAATTAAATCAAGGATGAATAAATTAAGGAGCATAGAGAAATTTTGCCTCTGAGCCACGAGACAGTAAATTCCCTTCACTAAGGACAGTTGCAAATTTTTAAAAAATAGAAAAGAGTAAGAACAGAAAAAGAGAGGGACTATTATTAAACAATATCTATATATCCAAGAAAAATGAAGCTAATTTTGAGCTGAGGGGAATTTGTAAATTTTTACAGATTAATGCAAAAATTGTTCATTCTTAAAGTGAAAAATATAAAATAAAAGAAGCTCACAGAATTCACAGCGAAAATGTATTCTTTCCCAGTTGTAGCATCTTTCCTTTTTGCAGTTACAATACAAGCACCACAACCTCCCTCCAAACACATGAACTTTGTACCTTTCAGATGTGCTATTGTGCGAATAAATTCATTTAAGGAAGTGTCCACTGAAAGAGAGGAGGAAACTGTCGAAAGAAACATACATGTGAAATTCGGAATTAAAGAACAATAAGTTTAAAACTGAAGAAAAAATTTGCTTTTAGAGTTTTGAAAGATCGCAGGTATTGCATCTATGAATCTATTCAGTTGAGTGATAAATGGGAATAAATATTTTTTAAAACCTGCATCTACTTTGGGTCAATCATTCAACTGAATAATTTTAGAGAGTTGTTTAAAATTGATAGATATGAAAGAAAAGAAGCGCAGTGCTTGGATAATATTCATTAAATTAAAAAATGTTTAAAATTGTACATTTAACTGAAAATATTTTGTGACGTATTTCTTTCCTTTTTAAATTCAGTGCCTACAAGTTCCCACATTACACTATACAGATATTTCCAATGGTGGAAATGAGCAGTTACATACTTGCTAAAATAAGGAGAAAGTGCGGCAGTGGAGCTTCCTCATTTATTTTTATGTGTAGGTGGACACTTTAGTAAATAGCTGATAACAAAATGTGAACATAAAATGAACAATGCTCTGAAATAATTTTAAGAACTTCATCATCACAAACTAATATATTATTTTGTAAAATTATTTGTGAATAATCCTCAATGTAAAGTACCTAAATAACTTCCTTCAAAAAATTGTTTGACCAACGGGCTCTGAATCAAAAATATAGATGGTATAAATATCTTAGTTCAATTCTTCCCCTACCCTTGTTCTCAATAAATGCATACTCAGAGGCGTAATCAGGGAGGTTCAGGGGTTCTAAAGCTCCCTCCGTTTACTGGAAAATGTTCCTGAAAAACGTCATTTTTCACCCCCTCCACCCTCCTACGTCAAAAATTGTTGGCTACACTGCTGCAACAAGTGCCATGTTCAACAACTGTCCGTCAAAAACTTCATTTATTGCAAAAAAAAAATTTAAAAAAAAGTGAACCTCATACCTTTGTAGGAAGTTCCATTGATTGTAAGAGCTACTTCCGATTGCATGGTGGGGACGTTCAAATCTGATCGAATTACGTTCATGTGGAGATGAAACTGCGAAACGTCATTGCACCCAGCATTCCAATGTCACTCTGTGCAACGGTAATCCATACCTCCCATACTAAAAGGGATGAATCAGATCGGTAGAAAGTTATTTACATGTGACAAGTGCATCCAGCTTTAGAAAAAGCTCGGGATTTTGGAAATCCGTTAAAGAGTGCATAGGGCTACTAATAAAATATCAATTATTGGAAACCGATTTCCCTCGGACATGTCACCTGGCAATACTGTACAAATACTGCCACATTAAGGAAGAACGTCATAAAGAGCCTCCAGACGTTGCCAAACTTCCTTTGAAAAATCACGAATTTTTGGAGGAATTTGGAAGTATTTTTCTTCCGAATTTTCGAGGAATTTTGTTCGTAATTTGACATAAAGTATCTGAAAATTTAAATGAAAAATATTCATTACTGTCCTCAAAGATTGGTATTTCTAAGATTAAATTCGGCAACATTTGAATGCTCTTACAGCGTTTTTCCTTGGCACGGGAGAATATCTTTCAAATATATCCTTTCTCAAAAATAAGGAATATCGTATCCATATCGTATGATAAATGCTGACAGCCCGTTCAGGAGCGGTCTGGCCAAGAGTGCTAGATTTCATCAGCACCCAAGAAATTCTGACGGGTGGCGCAGGGGGCCCCGACAGGGTTTCTGCTGGGGCCCCGACAGGATTATAAGGAGGACTTTAGGTCAGGTAAGGGGGGGGGGGCTCACCCGAGAGGAGAGGCCCCGAAAACGTATCAGCACCCCGAGAATTTTCGAGCCAGACCGACACTGGCCCGCGGAAGTTAGAGAGATATAACGTGGCGGACCTTACCTTCTTTCTGGATAGAGCATGAGCGACAGATGAAACCTACGTCAAAATCGGCATTCCCCGAAAGTTTTAGGTCAGCTTGCAGACTGCTTTTTGCTTCAGCGGTCCGCCCACAGAAAAGTCACCAGGAAAAAATTAAAGGAAAAAAAAACTAACAAAACAGAACACGTTAAAAAAGTAGAAAATGCTAAAAAAAAAATGGAAAACGTATGCGAATGCGGAAAGAGATGCGCAAAACAGTTCGGTTTCGATTTCGGTCGAACGAGCATCCACAAGCAACAGTGCCGAAATACCTGGGGCTACCTAGTGCCGAAATACCTGGGCGCGGCTGAAAGCTTCGCACCTCCCCTTGCGTTTTCCTCATTCCTTAATAGAAAACTCAGTTCTCCGCGAACATGCGGACAGACGCTCGAAAACAAAATAAGGAAAATTGCGATGTAAGGAAAGTGGAGCGGACGACGCATCGTTTTGGACACTAAACTGCCGTCCTAAGGAAAAACGCCGCAAGAGCCTTCAGACGTTGTCTAATTTCTTTAAATAAAATGTGAAACTTCCGGGAAATCTATGAATGTTTTTCCTCCAATTTTTCAGAGAATTTCATTCACAATCAGATCTAACTTTCCTGGATATTTAAAGAGAAAATCTTCATAACTCTCCTTAAAAAATGACGTTTTATCAGAGGAAATTTGACAACTCTCGAAGGTTCATGCGGCGTTTTTCCTAAGCACGGCAGGAAACAGGTAACCTTACTGGCCACTTGCTATCATGCTGCAAGGACAATGGGTAAGCATAAGCGGTAAAACTTGAGGTATCTATTTGAGGAAGGAAAAATAGCTGAATGTGAATGGTTGATGAATGGTTGTAGGTATGGACTGAATTTTTGCGTGCACGCGCTATTTTTTCGAGGTCAATGCTTGTGCCTTGAAAAATTATCGAGTTTTTTTCATGTCTACATTCCCAATTTCAATATAATACATGGGGCTTGTACAAAGATATGTCACGCACGGGCATGCAAGGCAATTTGTAAAATTTCACCGAACTTCGGACCTAGAAAGTGCGGTGCAAGCTTAAAGAAAGTGCACATGCTAAAAGTTATTTATTTATTTTTCTTTCATTAAAATTACAAAATATAAGTTTATTTTACGAGTCAAAACCGGGGGAAAATACTTGTGCTCATATTCACGGTCAAAAGCCCCCCCCCCTCCCGCCTCCTCCCCCAGGTTGAAATCAAAAACCGAAAAAAAAAGCTCATGAATTTGTATGGGCTGATTGAAACTTAGTACTTATGCCCATTTGCATAACCACGTAGCTGTTGAAAGAAAGCAATGGCTAATTTTATAAGCAGCTGTCGCACACCAGGTAATTGAAGAGCCTGGGAGGAGGTATTTATCAATTGCTTAGTAGGTATAGACTTCTTCGGACAGCAATTCTAGCTAATTTTACGCATGCGTCGATTGTAAGAGAACTCTCAGGCCTGCTTTACTACAACGTTACGCGCGAATCAATGTGCTGAGCACTCGTTCCCGTAGCGGGAATCTATAGCGCGAAAAAAAAAAACGCTCGTGCAATGACGGAGCGTCATTTTGAATTCCGCGCGCTAACAGAAACGGGATTTCCCGCCCAGGCTGCGCACCGGACATGCGCGATGGGCGTGGCGCGAGAATGGATGCTCCGAGGGCAACGACCTCGCATTTCGCCGTATCCAGCGAGGATGAAGCTCCAAGATTTGAAGCGTTTCGAGAACTCACACTCTCCAAATTAGGAAATACGGCAAAAAGAATCATTCACGGCACGATGACATAGAGAAGTCCTGTTCTCTCACCTCTCAAGCCATGTGCGGAATGAGGATCTTTTGGTAGGGGATGGGCAGGAAAGGCACCCTGTTAAAGGGAGTCGACAGGGTACCTACAGAAAGACACCCCACCGAAAGGGATCTACAGGACTCCACCAGCTCTAGAAGGGGGCTTGAATAGACTTTCTCAGCACCAAAGGGGGTAGAGGGGGCAACTCCAGGAAAATTTGGAAATAAGGAGTTGTTTCAAAGGCAATTTTGAGCTGTTCTATCAGAAAAGTTGAATAAAAAATAATTTAAAAAATTAAAGATATATCTTGCACTTAATTTGCAAAATCCCACACATTTTCTAGCTGGGGTCAGGTAGGTTTTGGGGGGGCATAAAAAGCTTGGAGGACATTGATACTTTTTCCAAAATTTGCTCTTATAAAGATGAAGTGGTTCTTTCAAAACTGTTAGGATTATGCAATTTGTTTCGACAATTTGGTTCATTTTGGGGCTGTCAAACAAGTTAAAAGAGTTTTTTTTGAAATGAAAGAGTTAAAAGTTTACTTGTATACATAGAAAGAGTTGGCACGTATCAGCGAGTTTTTGTACAGAAGCATCGACAGACCAAAAGAAATATAAATGCAAAAGAGTACCTATGGTTTTCAGTTTAGAATCCCATTAACTGCAGATCATATCTCTGATACACATGTAGTTAAGTGCCCAGCTTGTTGCAAAATTTAATTAATTCATCATCATATGAAGATTCTCAGATGAAAGTTATTGAGATCTAGCTGACATAAGTTTGAAATGTAGCTTTCTCATTTATTCATTTTATTTATTCTTAATCTTCTTTTTCAGAAATTTTACGCCAATATTTCAGGCTGTTTGTTAAAATAGGTCAAACTGTGGCAGGAAGAAATTCGTATCCTTGCAAATCAAAATACTTACATTTAGTTCCACCATCAAGTTGAAAAATACAAGGGGGATAGATTAACTTAACGGAATTTTGGTTGATTACATTATTTGAAAATAAAAATGTTTGGAAAAGAAAAACATTTTGAAGAAAATTCTTTGTAAAGAGAATACTTTATTCATCAGAAGGTTTTACAATTTATAAAAAGCAAAAAGCAAATTTCAGGTAACTTTTATCTTCTATATTAAATGGATAATATTGTTACAAGTATTGTGAATACACTATAGAAGAATTTATTTCTTCATTTTAAATACAAATTAAAAAATATGAGCCAAACTTAACAATAACAGAAATTGGAAATTAACATTAAAATACTGGGATCTAGACACAACAAGGAAGATTGGATACCATCATTACCAACTCACGAATCAACAAACTTGACAACTGCAAGACAAACTTTAAAAAATAGATTTTTGAAAAGTTACAATAAAATTTTTTGGACGGGAGAGATTTTTTGTTTTTGTTTTGTTGGCTGTCTATAAAAACAAGACTCCAACCAAGATGGAGTGAGTGGATTTTTATGAGCATAAAATTAGGATACATGCGTTCAAAAACTTAGTAAGTTTCCTTGGACGAACAAAGTTTGAGGCAGAAGATCCATGCTGAGCATAAACCTTTGATTGAATGAATTATGGAATGAAAATAATGGCAGGGTGAAACCTCTTCAGAGTGGCTAAAAGTTTAGAATCTTGAAATTCCCTGACTTATCCCTGAATCTTCATGCGAAATGCCATGACTTTTTGACTTGAGAGAAGTTGCCATACCCATGCACACTTGCTCAAAAGATAAGACAGCAGAAAAACATAAGCTTGGAAATTAAAAGCTCTTACTTTCCACAGACTTAGTTGTACTAAACTTACACTTCCCATCTCTACATGAAATAATTTAAATGTAAGTCTACCAGGAAGGTGCAGCCACCCTGCTCACGGACTCTCTTACAGTTTGTATTCTTGTGTACCAGCAGACGCAGCCAGGAATACTTTCTCCGGTGTGAATGGAACCTCTGAAAATGAGCAAAAATAACGACTTTCAACCAATACTTTTCCAGAGAACACATAAAAAGGAAATTATTGAAGATATTTTTTTTCACAATTACTGATCAGATATAAAAAGAGGAATATAACAGGGTTACCACAGAATTTAGAAAATAGAATTCCCTGACATTTCCCTGATTTTCCCAACACATTTTAATAAAATTCCCTGACAATTATAGACATGCCAGATGATTAAAAAGAAGAAATTTTAAATGGTTTTCACTCAAAATCTGTTGTAGGGGACATCAACCCCATTCTAGAAAGCAAACAAAGGTCAGTATTCTCTGACCGTGGCAAACTTTCTATGATATTTTTGGAAGAAAAAATGATTCACCTGAAACAACTTATATTTTAGGGAGAATAACAACTGGACTTGGAAGATTGCTGTTTAGAGATAGAGAGTTTCAAAAAGAGAGATACTTACTGATATCAATCCACTGCTTCTGTTTTCCAGCATCAGCGAGCGATGAGTTAATGGCATCTCGAAGAGCGAACATAACTCCGCAGCTCATGCATAACGGTGGTTCGCCTGTCGCTATAATTTCAAAATTTTAAATTCAACAATTTTAAAAACCATTAATTTGAGCAAACAAAAGCGATGAGCTCTGTATATTGATTTTTGAACTTATGATGCCGAAAAAACTGAGGGGGTGCCGTCAATAAGGGCTGAAACAGTCTCCCCCCCATTCATTTTTTTAATTGTCATCATTCATTTTCCAGACCGAGAAAGGCACATGATAAGGGAAAAAAAGTCAAATCCAAAAGCGTATCCATAATGATAAAAAAATCGTTTTGGCACAATAAAAATCTATTAATTAAAAATTATAGAGATGAATGACTGTTATTCATTTATTCAAGTTTCAGTTAAAGCGTCAGATTTTAGTGTATTGATAATTTTAAAACTTATTTTTTTAAAAAGCGGTGCCATCATTGTTCAGATCAGTGTCACTGTCCAAATTTAGCCTTAAAAATAAGTACTTGAAGAAACTATTTCTTCTTTTTTTTTTTCTCTCAAAATCGACTCTTTTTGGTTTGCTTTAAGATGCCTCAAATATGAACACACTATTTATGAAGAGTGCTGACTTATTTTGTTGCAAATTTCACATACCTAATGATTATTACCCCCATTATTGAACTTGACAAAAATTTACCTTTGGATCGAAGAACTCCGACTGGATTGCTCCCATTCTTCAGCAAAGTCACATGCAAGTCGACGGGAATATCTTTTGCTCCTGGAGGTTTGTAATTCTGCAAAACAAAACAAAATTGCACTGATTAAAATAAAGCGCTACTTCAAATGTTGAGCTCGGCAGAGAAGGCTAGGATAAAAATAAGCTAGTAATTCTGTTAATCAGATTTTGCAATACTTATTTGTGAAATGCTTTAATTATTTTTCCACGAAAGGATTTACTCATCCCCACTTGTATTCAATGAATGATTCATTCATCACATTTCCATATTGTATTTTTTCTCTCCTGCACAGTAATTGGATTTAATTTATACTATTTCTTTACCTAATAAAATTGTGCCGTGATTTTGTATTTTAGGATGATTTCAACATATGTTCAGAAGCAAACAGAGGCTTTTAAACTGTTGTTTTGCTACTCTCTAACAAGTGTATTTTGTAAGTAAAATATCTCAAAATCCAGCAACTTTAAATGACTCTTGGGACTAGTCAACTTTAAATGACTCTTAGGACTAGTCAAAGAGTTTCAAAGACTTTTAGAGAAGCTTTGTAGAGTTAGCCAAGTAAGTAACTCATTAAGTGTTGACTTCACTTAGAGACTACTATACCTCTCTCTGTAGAGCCTCTATTCTCTTAGCTCTACTTAGAGACTCATCCAATGTGCCTGATTTTAGCTAAATTAAATAGTAAACTAGGCACAGAGGGCAAAAAAATATAAAAATATAAATGCTGTAAGGCGCTAGGTGACAGAGAAATTAGGTTCGTCGACACAGAGTAAGGTTGATCATAAAAATACACCTTACCCAGGTTCTATCTGTGAGCACACTGCCAGTGTTTGGGTCAAAAATGATCTCTTCAGTTAACCAATAACCAAGACCCATCACAAAAGCGCCCTCAACTTGCCCAATGTCAACTTCAGGACTTAAACTCACACCAGCATCTTCAATGATATCACATCTTTGGATCTGTCAAGAAAAATAAAGGATTTAAGAATAACATCGCAACAGTTGTCTACAGGATTGGACCCGGTAAAATCTTTCTCAGGGACAACTCAAGATAAGAAACAATCCAATCATATCTTTGAATGAGTCATGTCTCGGCGTCTGTCAAATGTCACAAAATAAGTTTATCTGTTTCGCTACCAGACTAATGCGTGCACCTGCCTCACAATAGTTCTGTTCTGGAAAAAGGATTAAGTTGTAGTTCAGATCCTCCTTGTTAAATAGAGCTACCAATACAAATATGTCTAAATGGAGGCTGTTCAGTAATGGCAACACCGGGCAATAATGACAATAGTGGCGGGAATGCTGCAGGAAGGACACAGCTTTGCTGAGTACAGATGCTGCATTCATGGTAATGAAAACGTTATAACGGCGAGGATAGTTGTGTAAACAGTGACTATGTAGTTCAACACCTTGAGTCTTTTTTCAACACCATGAGGCAATAAGCTTTACAATTAAAAGTTAAAACTTACCAGATAGTTTCCAGTAAGAACATCTACTTCAACTTCTAGAGCAGCAACTCCGAAGATATCGTATGATGACACCTTTTCCCCGAAGTCTTTATTTGTATACCTGTAATGGGTTAATGAAACATTTGTTAAAGTTAACAAAAAAAAAAAAATCAATGATGCTGAAAACTTCCTGATAAGATCTACATTTTTCACCGACAAAAATTGAAATAATAGACGGAGGAACTAACCTGTTAAAAACTCACCGGCTTACTTCTGCCTTGTAGGTGTAGGTGAACTTGTTAAAAGGTCTATTTCATCATTTTAATTATCTGTGCTGATCATGATTGAGTGTCCTATTTCTTACAAATTGACCGCAGTCTGGTTGTTTATTAGGTAAAACAATTTTTTCTTTTTTTGGACCAGGTATAAAACATTCATTGTTTGACTTAGACTTGATTCATTGATTGATTGATACACTTTGTAAACTTTGGAGGACTTACATATAATTTGCACAGAGATCAACATTTTCAGCTGCAGCAGTTCCGATTATCTTCTGCCAATCTGCATCTGGACCCAGTTTGGCCTTGATGGGCGCAAGACGAGCCAAAAGTACATCACAGCATTTTATCACTCCCTGCGATGAAAGAAGGCAGATAATCTAATTAAGGACGATTTAATAGAGTTTCAGTGAAATTTTTGAAGGAACCTAAAGAAAGGGGCAAATCATTTTCCTTTTAAAGAATGATAATTTTCCGCTAGATGAGTATTTAAATTAGGTTTCGAATCATTTTCCCTTTTCAAAATGTTGTCTACAACAAAAGTTTAGAAAAATGCAGTTGTCAGTATAAGAATGTGTCTTCTAATTTTTGTTTGAAGGGAGTATGGTAGAAACCCGGTTATTTGCAGTCGGATCATTCCCAGTTCTAATCGTCCACAGTTGTCTGGAGCACTAATATTTTGTTTTCTCTGATGAAAACAGAGTGAAAGAGGTGATTAAGCAAAAAGCGATACTTCAGACAATCAACTTCGACATAGCATGCTCACAGTTTATGGTGTGCAGATGTACGTAGCAGAGTGAATTTTACCTCTTCGACCCTCCTGTTTAGTTTCAACATGTTTTTAAGTTTTCAGAGCATGATTTTAAACTAGGCATACTTACTTCTGTACTGCTTGAAATAAAAAACAACTTATATGTACTGTGCTTTTTTAAAGATTTGAATCATCCTCAGTTTTTTATGATCCTTAATACCTCCAGTGCAAATTACCGGTGATAACCATAGTTCAACTGAACAACCCTCAGATTTTACTCTCATTGATGTTTATAATATTTTCTCGAGGCATAATTTTTTTGGTCCCATCAAGTGAAAATCAGTTAAAAGAAATAATACTTCAAATTTTTTGTAGATAACTCACCAAAGAAACAGCTTCACTAGCCATACTGCCCCCTGAGACAGCATTATTTGGAGCTGTGAGGACGTTTGTTGGCTTAATTTTCACCATACTGACATCGATTCCAAATTTATACGCACACACTTGGGCAGCCTTTGTGTTTATTCCTTGACCCATTTCAATCCCTCCATGAGCAATTGAAACTGTTCCGTCAGATTGATAGATGGATATCAATGCGTGGTAGTTGCCCCATAACCCCATTGGGTACCTCATTGGCACAAGGCTAATTCCCTTTTTCCGCCATCTATTTTTCTATAAACAAATTATAAAAAAATATTGAGGTCATATTCACAAGTTACAATTATTAAAATAATAATTAATAATGAGAAATAACTGAGACTTAGCATACAAAAAAATAAAAATGCAAAAAGTATTGAAGAGTTACATTAATTAAAAATGTATCAATTTTCTTTCCTCCTTTCTTTTTCTTTCTCAATCCAAGAGAAGAGGGGAGGTAATGATACTGATGTTTTGTACATATTCATGAACAAATTCTCAGATTTTCTTGGCAAGTATAAAAAAGGTTTTACATGGTCCAACAAGTTCCGAGTTCTGTGACTTTCACCAGATACCTTAAACTCTCCAAATCAATCAAAATAAAATATGTATTCCTTTTATTGTTGATTGAACTTGAAGCTACGGCTCGGAAAATTCTAAGTAAGCAAGAGTATGCTTTGATTTTTGCTGACATGTATTTAAAACAGAATGAAAATACAACAGATTCACTCTCAAAGTTACCTCATTAAACTCCTTGATCTGTTGTTTTCGGTTATCAAAATCAGAAGTTTCTTTCAGTTGAGTGATCATTGCGACCAACTGTTCCTTGTAGTCATCACTGAAGTTAGCCGTGCGGACGTCTACTGGATCTTTATTCAAAACAGTTGCGATGTGATCTAAAATATGCTCAATAGTTGCTATAGCCTCTGCAGAACCTGAGACCAAATCAAGAACAAAAAAAAAAAAAATACCAATCAACAGATACATAATAATGCATTAACACATTCTAAATCTCAGGCTGTTTCTGACAACAGATTATCTATTCATTATGACATTTTATTTCAGTACGGAAATTGAACTGAATCACTTGCAATTCAACAAATTTTTACTCTTATTAAACTCCTAACTCATGCAGGGCTGCTACGTGGAGAAATTCAGCAAAACTTCAAGACACTTCATAGTGGGAGTCCTTACTTTCAACAGCAAGTTGAGATTTTAAGCGGAATCAATTCTGACTCCTAAGGAGACTATTTCTTAAAGCTTTAAAATACAAGCCAGATAGGATGATATGTAAACTTTTAGTGAACCCTCATCCCATAACAATGACCCAAAAATGTCACATAATCAGATACCTGGAGCTCTGCACCATGTGTTGCTACTCTTGTCTGTTCTAACGGCAAAACCATTGATATTCCAAGTTCTCGAATCATAGCCACTCGCTAAAAATGCTAATGTCCCTGAAACAGCATTTTCATTCCAGGAAGAACCAAGGTCTTGGTGAATATCCAAGTTCAAATACTGAATTTTTCCTGCATCATCTACAGACACCTAAAATTAGATGGATGGAAAAATTAGAGTATGTTGATTAATTATGGTTGAAGAATATAAATCCCAGAGGAAATTAGGCACTGTCTGGTGTAGTTAAGCTAATTCTTGTTAAATCTGTCTTATTAACATGTTGCTCCTCATCCGATTTTGATCCCCTCCGGTTATATGAAAGGCAAATAAAGAGAGATGGTCCTTACAATCCCAATGTCAATAGTAATTTTAATATGCTGTAATGGAATATGTACTGGGATGGGCAAAAGGAACACTCGATCCGCCAAAACTTTTTCAATTCTTTAGTTTAACTTTAAATGCTCCCACTTACCCAGGATTTTCTTGGGGAAAACTATATTCTTCTCCAGAGTTTTAGATATGAATATAGATTTTATTCGTCTTTCAGCCGATTCTTTGATGCCCATTCAAATTTTCAATTCCAAAAACGTTCCTGATGTTTATATTATCCAATCAATGAAAATTTCTCCATTATTCTGATAACTTGAAGATCCAAATTAGGGCTGTGCGAGCCTGGTTTTTTGGATTCGAGCCGAGTTCGAGTATTTTTTCACTAAGTCGAGCCGAGTTCGAGCTTTGAAAATGACCCTCGAGCCGAGTCGAGCTCTAGTCGAGTTCGAGTAATTTCGAGTTTTGAAACGTGATTTAATCTATTTTCTACAACAAATAATTTCAAACAAGACTCATAATATGATATTAATAATTATTGACAATGACACACTAGGAAGGATTTACACTAAAATTACAAAATGTTCGGCAGTAACGCGTTAAAATAACTTCCCGCGGTTTAATTTGAAAAGAGGACAAAACTGGGCAAGAAGCGGCGTGGCGCGGCGTACATCAAAGGAACTTAGGCGGCACAAGTAAAGGCTTTAGAGCCCATTTATGCACGCAATTCGTGTCGCCGGCGGCAGTTGTCGCCGCGACGTTTTTTGGAATCGCGCGATTCCTATTTTTGTAGCCGCAGCACCTTTTTTCTGCCGCCGCGACACCGTTTTTCTGGAGCGCAAAAGGTCCAAAACACGTGCTCACTTTCAGTTTTCCAAGCGGCGGTCGCCGCCGCATGTTGAAATTTGTCGCGCGCATAAATGCGCTCATATGACTCCGTGTAGTTACAAACCGCGCGCGCGGCAGGAAATCGCCGGGCGGTAGCGTGTTGGCGCTGCGGATGGTAGAAATTTGCCGACGAGACTCGCCTGATGTTATTCAATCTTAAAATGATGGCAAAACTAAAAATAGTTAAAGTATGATTGAAATGTTTCGAAGTTGGACTCTTTCGGCGTTTCCGGCTCAAAAAAACTCGAAATACTCGAAAAAAACTCGTGTTGTTGACACTCGAGCCGAGTTCGAGTACTCGCTCGAACCTAACCTAACTTTCGAGCCGAGTCGAGTACTCGATACTTGGCTCGACTCGACTCGAAATTCGAGTACTCGCACAGCCCTAAATCCAAATACGTCATTCCAACTGTAGAGGAAAAGATTTCAGAATTCTGGAACTGATTCTCTGATTTTTCTTTGGTTTTCTCTGAAATTTTTCGTTCCCTGATGAATCCCGGTTTTTCTTGGTTATTCCCTGTCCTGGACACCATGATAAAACCCATTCTTTTTGATATTTCCATTATTTTTATTACTTGGGATTCGTACATGAACTTACCTCATAGGTGGACAAACAAGGTATGCGTTTGCCAACTGATTGCATGTTCGTCTCAATGGTAAGCATGACTCGCACCGGCTTACGCAAGATATAAGCAGCCAATGCACAAGCAGTGGCTACCTGAGAATTTCGAGAAATTTTGGAGCCATATCCTCCGCCTACGCGCCTATTCTGCACATTGATGCTGAAATAAGGAAAAAAAGTGCGACTATTACAGATGTTGAAACTGAGACCATGAAAAATAATCATTTGGAGCTTTGATGATAGCAGAAAAAAGCGGCTGATTCGACCTATGTTAAATTCAGTTTTTTCTTACACTGGACACTCAAATTCATAGACTTAAATGAGAGGTACATGCGCTAGTTTTACACTTACAACAGTGTCTCCACAAAATTTAGAAAAATGGATTCCCTGACACATATTGATACAATACCCTGACAGTTGAAAGCATGCCAGGTGGTTAAAAACACATAATTTGAGATAGCGTCATTCAAAATTTGTTGTTCAAAACGTCAAACCCATGTTCGAAAGCAAGTAAAGGTGTGGTAACATTTTTTTATGACGCTTTCATCATTTTCCCTGACCTTTCCAGGTTTTTCCTTATTTTTTTAAAATTCTCTGAAAATTCCCTATTTTCGCTATTTCCTTGACTGTGGTAATCCTGGCTTTTGGAAATTTCCGATATTTCCAATGTGTACTGTGTGAAATTTTTATGAGGTGCCATGTCTTTAGGTCTTTAACTCTTCACCTATCTGGTGGAAAATAATATTTACCAGTTTTCAGGGAGTTTGAGGCACTGAGAGATGCTCCTCTGAATCATGGAGAGGAATTGGGAAGATGGGTAAACATCCAAGCCCTCCTCAGTTGGAACTGCCAAGCAAACTTGCGTTTCCATAGTGAAGTGGTACTGCTCTTTGATTTCGAACACTCCTTTGATAATATTCTTCCCACTTGCAGCTGCATAGGCATATAATAACGAAATAAATTAATTATTCCCTGCAAATTGCAACAAAAACTCAAGGAAAAATGGATAATTATGGAAATTGATTGCATCAACGGGCGCAAAAAATTTGACACCAACTTAATTCTGACATTCTTGATTCAGTGCTCCTGGGAGAATTAGGTTCAGTTTGTGGTTAGACTTGTTTCAAAAGTTTTGGCCTGTTAACAAAATTATGGAAGAATTTTTACGAGGACTTCAAGCTGAACTTTTTTAAAATTTTAAGCTGAGACTGCCGCAAAATTGATTTTAACATGGGACCAAGCTGATGCCATATATTTTTTTCAGTTATCGGGACTATGCTCTCTACTAAATAATATCTTAATACATTTACAGCAATATGACAGCCCTGGAAACTCTGTACAATGCAACACAAAAATTAATTAGCCTCCTCAAAACTTTTAACCCGAATGGTTACCCCAAAACAGCATTTTACAATTAGCAAAAGAAGCCAGCTTATATTTACAAGGCTCCAATTTACTCAAACTGAGACTGGTTTGTAAGCAACAATCATGCGCCTAAAAATCCTCACCAGCTTTTGTCTTGAAAGACTCATCGCTTTCTTTACGGGAGCAGAAGAACTGGAACCACTGATGTTTTTTCAAAAGTAAACTTTGGCTCCAATTATTCTCTGAAAATATTTACCACCTGAATGACTTATAAGGTTATTTGTTCAAATAGTAAGTTTTTATATTTAAATCATTTATCGGACAAATTATCCTTCTGAATTTCTTTTCATTTCTACAAATTTGTTTCCTCTAGATATATCATCAAATTATATCGTAAAAAATCATTAATACGAAAGTCCCAGAGAGAGCAAGTTTCCCATTCCGTCCTTTTAAGGACGATGATAGAAGAAAAACTTTAAATATAATATCAAGTACATAACTGGGACTTTCAGTTTTGTAATGGTATAATCATTGTCATTGCATAAGCCATGATAGAAAGCAAGTAAAACAGGTTCTAACCACCTTTTTTTGTAACAAATGTTTTCTGGATTTGTCACTTTCATTCAATGAGTAATTCTGTGTCTTTCCACAAAATTTTGGTCTTTCCTCCGAGTCAACTTCCAAAAGAGCCTAATTTTGATTTTGGTGAAAAACTGATAATTTGTACATAGCTCAAAAAAATTTACTTCAGATTGCAGGTCCCTGTAAAAAGTAGATTATCATTTTTGTGTACTTCAATTCTGCTGATATTTATATTCTCACCATTTTCGAGCTTCCTCTCGACTGTTTTAATGGGTTTGATTCGCGACTTGTCTCCAGAGCTCAAAACTTCTTGCGTTGATGTCAAAGGTTTCTTAACATCCTTCACATGCACTTTAACCCTCTTAGCTGCTTTGTTTGCTAAGTGTTGACTCGTGGCAATTAGAAGTCCCACAGGCTGTCCTGCAAACAGCACCTCTTTCTCGGCAAAGAGCTGATGATCCAAAAAAAGAAAGCAAATATAAGTGAAAAACTTCCTACTTGCATAGAAAAATAAGTTAAAAAATAATTAAGTCCAAAAATATTTACGATAACATCACCTGGATTTATAAGTTTCATTAACTCTCTCCATTCCTTGCACAAGACTAGATGCTGATTAAAATGATTCAACATATCAACAGTGTAAGTCCGCAATCACACATCTCGTTTGTGGTGTCTGAAAATCTCCACCTTATGTTAGTTTTTAAAAGAGAACAAAGTTTAAAAAATAAAGTACGACAGGAAGTCTGCAACGTCGCAAACTGAGTCATGTAATTGCCGACTTACACCGTCGATATGCCTTCCTTAAAAATTTTCAACCAAGTAACTAATGCAAATAGAATCATTGAAGGAAAACGACAATTTTCAAGTTCGAAACATTTTTTGCAGACTTTGAATTTTCACAATGAATGAGAATTTTAGATAGGACAAGAAACTACTTGAATTCGAAACTACTTTTAGGTTAATTTTTTCCAAAATAAGACTTCCCAAGTAGCATTTCTCAACGGAAAAATCGCTAAATATTGCGATTTTATCGGCAATAAAATCGCCAAGATCGTCAACATCTAAGTGATTATCCTTGATTTTATCCCGATAAAATCGCAATATATAGCGATTTTTCTGTTGAGAAATGCTACTTGGGAAGTCTTATTTTGGAAAAAATTAAAATAAAAGCAGTTTTGAATTCAACTAGTTTCGTCTTATTGTATTTACGCATATATTTTTGTATACTTATCCAACTTGTTCATAATAATCCATGTAGTTAATAATATGAGTGCTGAAGATGGGACACGATGTCCTGAAAATCTCTTACTATGTAAGTAAATAAATAATAAAATAGATACCTAACGCAATGCCTTGGCTTTACTATTTCTACAAAATAATACTTGGTATTGCTATTAATGCAAACACGTTTAACTTTTTAAATTAGACAAAGTTCAAAAGTTTTACAACTAATGAATAAATTTGGGATGGTGAAAATAAACATTGAAATCTTACCAGCTCATTTTCCTGGGCTCCAGTTGCTGCATCCACTGGTGTAAAAGAATTGAGACCTGGAATGTTCTTGGCAGAAAAGAAGGATTTTACTCCATTCATTGCCTGTAAAATGCAATGTGTTATGTAATTAACAAACTTTTAACGGGTACATTTAGCAAAGAACTCTGCTGAAAACTGTACACCCCAATTTACATACAGGAGAAAATACTGTATCACAAACAGCTAATTCCTTGCGTAAAGTAAGACGAATTTATTAAAGTATACTTAACTGCAGAATTGTATAATCAACTGCTTGTCACACATCTTGTTTACTTAGTTAAAATTTTTAAAAAGTTATGGTTGAACATAAACCAGAGGCTGCTTTTTCAGGGACAACTGGATATAGGGCATACTTTCCCAAATCAAGCATCCTGAACAGAGAACTTCAATTTTAAAATAATAATAAAATATAGTCACTTTTAAATCCTCACTTACCGTTCAGGTTTGAAGAGTTTCATGAATGGATCAAATGGTCTATAAATATTTGATAGTGCTTGACAAAAGGAGTGTAAATTATTGTTGACCTCTTCAAGCGCTCAAAGTACAGTCTTCAAAAAGTAATACTTCTTTAGAATTTTAAAGAAATGAGATCCTTCACGGGACAAAAAACCTTTGTCCACACACGTTGTGCTCTACGAATATTTTAGGACAAAAAACGACTTAAAAGTCAAACCAAACTCAAGATAAGGTAGTTCGAAATTCGCAGTTCTACGAGCGCAGTTTCAAGGAAACGCTGTTTAAACTGCTAATCCACTATGCTCAGAGAACATAAAAGCCAGACGATGAGCACCAGTACACTTTTTATTGACACCCAACCACTTGCAATCTATTCTTTTGCATACTACTTCTGTCGAAATCTCAAAATCCAATCGTTCGACCCACTTGACAAAAATTTTTCAGCTGAAAATTTTGCCTAATAGCCTGAGGTCTCATCCCCAGTGGAAGGTCACAAATTAATCTTTTGATACTTTTTGCAAAGAAATTAGAGAAAGATGTATGCTAACCATAGAAGCACTAGTGTCGATGGAATCAAGTATGCCTGGTCCAACGGGTGCTAAGACGAAGGCGCCATACAGTTCACCTGGTGGTGCAAGAACATCGTTCGAGAACTCCGCTTCTCCTATTTAGTAAACCAAAGTGTAGTTAAAGGTTACTTTCCAGATCTTTAATACTTGTTCCAATCAAATCCTAAAAAGAACCGGCTACTTTCCTATATCCCAGTTTCACGAATTTCAGAACAGGGAAAATGAAGTATTATACAATCTGATGGTAATTACTAATTTTGGCATCCTGGTAAAAATATGACCTTTTAAATGGACCGTACGTTTGCCATGATACATAGATTGACAAGGAGTAGAATATATTCTTATTCTCACTTTTCTCCGATTTTTGAAAAAGGCGCTTATGTTGATTGAAGAATAAGACATTTTAATGACTGACTGGTTTGAAGGGTCAATGAATGTAAAGGTTACTGACATGGTGCTAATTTGTGTTTTTAAAAAGTGAAAAACAGATGTATGCTAAGTTTGTCAGCCTGTGAGTGCTTGTCTGTTTGAGATGCTCATAAATAAGCTAAACACTTTAACACTAAAGGGATATTAAATTTAGTGAATTACTTCTTCATGTCATTATTTTTGAAAACGGATGTATTTGTAAGGGAAAAAAAAGGCTTCTTTTGAGTTAGTACCTGAACATTGTGAGTATGCTTCCAATTTTGGCATTGCTTTGTTCACAGGCCACATCTTTTCATCAGAGTCAAAACTCTGTTTTCCGGATGAGAGAGGACGAACTAGTTTTTCACCTCCACTGCGGTATTTAGGACTGATAGAGGTCGGTTTAAGACTTAAGACAAACTGAAAGAAAAAAATCATAAATTTTAGTTTCTTTGGAATTGCTGCAAAAATAACGCTATCAAGTATGGACACAGCTGTATCATGAGAAAATTTATGGGTAAACATAAAGGGTACTTTACCAGAGACTTATCAATTCATAGTTTTCTCTTCAAAATTCAAGACACTTAGACAAATTAAAACTGAGCTGTTTGATGCAAATACTATTTCCTGGGTTAAAATGTTGGATGTAAATTGCTAAAAAGCTGTAAATTAAATGGAAAGAGTACCTTGTAAAATAAGGATTGAGCTAGGCCCTTGCGATAAGCAGGAGAGGCATCCGTCAAAACAACGTCAGGATCTACTTCAGAGGCGAGTTTATCGAGAGCTCCTTGCACTACATGAGAATCCAACAAACTCTTCCCAACCAAGAAGTTCTCTGTTTGAGAAGCATGCACCTGGAATAAACACATAAGCAAAACGATTACCCACGATTACGTCATTGATGAATACATTCAATTACTTAAAAAATGTTACTACACATTGTGGTAAAACTTCAGTGGGCTCTATTGACACATCTGTAACACAACTGAAGCCAGAATAAGTATGTATTGCACTTTTCAGTGCTCAAATGTTTTAGTAGATATCATTACTGAAAGCTGGAATGAGTTTTGGTGATGTTCTTCCAAAATGTTGCAGACAAAAAGACGTCTTGAAAACCTGCTAAAATGGTATTATCAGGAAAAGACTGGAGTCAAATCGCATAGAAGTTTAAGGTCTGAAGATTCCAGAGAATTTTAAGCATCCGCCTCTCGATTGTCTGACCTTTGCATCATCCAACAACTTTTTTAGTCACGTTGATTGACATTTTTACTTAATTTTTGGAAATCTTTGCCAAATTGTTAGCCACTTTCATAATTACCTATTTGCCAAAATTGCTGAATCATAGTGGAAGATTTTTCATTTACTTATGCACTTACAATTTCTGTGGTTATTTTCTTCAAATTTGGTGAGAAACAAGGATTTTGTCTACTCAGAAGTAAACATCTATGCAACTAGGGGAAATAACTGTCAAAACAACTTATTGGACCAAGTTGTTAATGCTAAAATTGCTTGATGGTATCAAGCAGTAAAATCGGAACAATTTTCAAGAAACATGTCCTCTCAGGAAAGCAGCAATGGTAGCATTCCTTATATGCCACTATGCGAGTACTACGAGTTATGATGCATCCTGGGATTTGCTGAACGAAACCAATAACAGTGTCGGCTGATGCCAAGTGTAGTTAAAATTAATGCGTTTGTTTAATTAAAATCATCCACGATTAGTAATTTCATGAAATCTAGAAGGAAACTCACAAAGTTACGCCTGATGCCACCATATACGATACTGGCTTCACTGACAGTCATAGTGTCCTTGTTACCTAGCTTAATTTTAAAGCCTGCGTTAACATACGCATGCGCATTTTGAGCGCGGGGCATGATCTGAAAACGAAGAAAAGACCTATATTACACTTGAGAATAGAATGGGGTAAGGGGAGGGGATTTTTGAATGGTTGTAGAAAAGTTATTTTGACATAAAATTTTGCCAAAAAAACCAAAAAGTTTATTAAAAAGTTAAACAAATCTCTTCTAAGGAGAGAAAGACCTATTTAAAATCCAACCAATCAAAAGCCGACAGTCAAGGCTCATTTAAATAACATAATTTTTATGGCTAGGGAAAACATTTGATTTAATAGAAATACTGCGAATACAGTTCTAAGGATCTTCAACAGGATATAAAAGTGCCTTAAATAACAGCGATTTCTTCCAGAAATGAAGAGACTGACTTGAGGCTTTTTTTTAATTTACACAGTATGCAGCAATCTTTAACTCCTGGATATTTATACTAGAGGGATTTAATGCTTATACATATACGACAATGGAATGGAATGGAAAGGAATTTTACCGTCAAGCACAGAAAGGAAACTAAAGCAAAATTTACCTTGTAAGTTTTTACGATGTAAGAATCATCCAATGAAGGAAGGACAAAAGATGTAATCAATTTCTTTCTCATATCAGTTTCAATGAGTTCTTCAACCTCTCTTATATCAGAGGATCCCATGGGTGTCTCTGTGAAATTTACAAAATTGATTAACGTGAGAATCACTAACTGGGTTATTCATTTGAAACATATTTTTTCCCTTTTTCTTTTCATTACTCTTATTTTTACTTCTCCACTTTCAAACATTGATTTAATATCTAATAATCATTTTTTTCTGCAAGAACTAAAGAGTAAATCAATTTTATAATTTGAATCCTGATGGTTGGAATGCAGATGCTCTATGTGCGTTTTGTGCGAAGAAGAAGAAGAATAAGAAGAAGAATAATAATAATAAGAAAAAAAGGAGGGAAAGTTTACGGCACATAATTCAGAATGATACAATGAGGCTTATTGTACAACTTATAATCAAGCCTGCTTCATAAAAAACACAAAAAAGAAAAAGGATGTGCAATAAAGAAAATCTTTACTTGTGTTTTATGTTTGGCAGAAGGTAAATTTTAGAGAGTAGATTCTAAATAGACATGGGCGTTGATCGAACCGTCTGCAATCTAGGATGGAAAATTTCATGAAAAATTGCTGCACTGAGATTTCAAACATGAAGTTTCACTGATGTTTCATGTAAATGCTTGAAAGAAATCCACATCTCATTTAATATTTTATGGTGGAATCTCAATGACACAGTCTGCCTATCTCAACCTGTATACCAACATCCAAGACGGTTATAATTCAGTTTACAGTATAATTTGCGTCACATGCTAATGTCATCTATCTAGAATGAGATCAATATTCTTAAGAAAATCTCACCATAGGTATACATGGCACCGACTGTAACGAACATCAGATAGATGTCTGATGGAAATTCAGTGTGTTGATTCTTGATGCTCAAGTTGCCAGCCAGAGTTCCAACCTGAAAACAAGGCAAAGTTGTCTTATAAATGCCCATTCATAGATTAGGTCTAGTGTGATATTGAAGCATAAAATTACTTCAAAGTACCGACTATGATATAAGATACAAATACTGCAAACAAAAAAGGTTAAGCTTCCACAATTAAGATTTTACCAATTTTCAAACACATACATGTCAGGATTTTATTGATGAAACCATGGAACCATGAGCGAGAAAGGTCGGATCAAAAAATTTTCCGTGCTTTGGAACTTTATGGATTCCTGTAAGCAATTATAATTATTAAAGAATTATGACACATTAGTTATACTTACATTTCTGACAGGCACATTAGCTATCAAATCAATGTGATCAGCAAATGCTTTCAGATAACTAAATTTGGGATACTTCTTCGACACACTCTCAAAAATGCTCATTGCTTTTGTTAAAGTAATATTGGCACCAAGATTCAGGGCGTTATCCTGAAGATTCCAGTCTGATAGTTCAGCTACACTGTTGATATCGATGTAGAAATCAAAATCACTGTTGCGATAGACACCTAGAAAAATAACAGGAATGACGCTGAAATATTATGGAGGAAGAGAAAGAAAACAAAGTGAACTTTATTTATAGTAAGGCAGGATAGGAAACTTCTCTCTAAACTAATCTGAAGGATAAGGTTTGAGTGCAGGGTGTATTTATAGGAGGTTACGATCAAAACTCAAATTTGAATTATTGACACTACTGCTTCAGGGAGAGTTTCACACTCATTTTGACGCAAAAACACTCAAAATATCAACTTTCATTGGGATAATATCAGTTTGCAGGTTTGCAGTAAGAGAGTCTCAATTTCAATAGAAACTAGTTGAGGTTTAAATAAGTCATGCTTATGGAACACTACCAGAATAAAAAACAATTTATGCAAATATAAAAGAAAGAAAGAAAGAGGAAAAACCATTTCTTATTGCCTACCAAGATCTACATGGAATCAGCGAGAAATGACGGAGAGCTATTTAACACAATTTTCAGTCTTTATTTGAATCGATCTAAATAATGGATAGCATTTAGAGAAAATATGCAACATTTACAATAAGGCATTTGTCTCCTGTCTCAAATTGGACCAAACTGAACCGAGCAACACAGAAAAGTATCAGGTCGCATTTTGGAAAATAATAAAAATGGGAGCAATGTAGAATTCGACTGGTTATACATTTTTTCCTGTCAAAAATTCAAAGTTGCAGAAAAAAAATGTTGAACTTACAACAGTCTTTCAACTTTGTCCTCAACATTGAGTCCTATGGAGGAATAAAACTTCAAACCTCATTTTTCAGTTCAAACTTGATGCAACTCCGTGCATTCTTGATAAACTCAAGTTTATCATTATCAAGGCTCATGATTAAAAATACCTTCACTCTCCCATTTAACAGAGTTACAAAAAATGCTGCTGCTTTTCTCTACAGAATCACAAGATTATACAAATTTTCCGAAAAGATTATGCTCCTCACAGCATTAAAAGTTGATCATACCTCAGCAACAAGGGCAACATTTATGGAGTGAAAATTCCGCAGTTAAATTCTTACCATGTGCAGTGTTCCCTGCGACCAGCTGATAAGATTGAGGATCATCAATCATGTCAAAAATCTCAAAGATTTCTTTCTTGCCATCAACTTTGTACCATTTAGTATTGTTTGCTAACGAGAGGGCTAAGTTATCAACATAAAGGAAGTCATATTCCTCGTTGAAGTGCTCATCTGTATGGCAACGGTTCTTGTCGTTGCAAATTTTCGTGCAAATTTCTGCTGTTTTGGGACAAACTTTTGGAAAATCCTGAAAAAAATGCAAGGAAATTTTGAGAAAGAGATTTTTTTGTCATTTAAAATAGCAGGGTGTCTACCAAAAATTCATTATGGATTTTCCTGATCATATAAATGAAATTTCCTAATTGTTTGCGCCCAATAATTTGAATTTAAAAACCCTACTCGGAACTCGGAATTTTTTTATCCATGATCAATTTTCCTGATTTTTCCTGATGACGTCAACGTTTCTGATATTTTCCTGAAGGTAGACACCCTGAATAACTTTTACATACTTCAATTAGATGCATCATGGCCCAAAAAAGAGAATAGTCTCTATTGTTTGACTTTTTATTCAGGAGCAATCATAAATAACACTATCTCATGAATTCAATCAACATGAGAGCATTTACCTATTCACTCTTTCAAGAGGTGAAAATAGGTACTACATCATTTCAAGTGCGATAAAATGTTACATTAGAGCATCACTATTATTACTGAAAGTGTCCCACTACTCATATCTTGCAATTTGTAAACATAATATTTGGTCTTATCTTAATTGGGTCTCTCTTACTTAAACAAAGATAATGCAAGTTTTTACAACTCAGAGGACTACGCACAATCTAAAATAGCTCTATTACCTCAATGTCAGCACATTTATCTGGATAGAAGTCTTTCGGCGAGTCGGTACAAAGTGACTTGAAAGCATCGAGAATGGGTCGGTAACCAGTGCAGCGACAGATATTGCCACCAAAAGAATTTTCGACTGCTTTCATTGTAACTTGCTCATTTCCTTTCATCAGACTGTAATAAAGAAAGTAAAATGATGAAACTTCTATTTCATGACAGACAAAAATAACAGAATTTTTTAAGTGACTTATAACTTCATATTCTGAAATGAAAAATGGTTCTTCACTGAAAATGGAAATCCAATCGATTTGTGACTTATTCAATTGAGCATCAGGGCATCATAAATACATACTTACATTGAGCATTTTGCTTTGTGACCTGCAACAAAATGAACCTATAAGCTAATTGCAATGCAAAAGAAAGTTTAACTTATTTTATTTTCATTGCGATCAATTTCAATGAGAGGAGCCCCTCCATTTAGTGAATGGACAACATATACAATTATACAACACCGTAATACAATGGAAATAATTTTAGTCTAATGGAATTTTCATGCAGCCTGTGCTACGCGGGGAGAGGAATTTTTTTCGACACTTCGTGACAGTTTTTTTTTTTCTTTTTTTTTTTAAAAAAAAAAAAAAAAATACAGCAGCAGTTACTTACATTAGAAGCATTAAATTTAGTTTCTACTTCTTATGTCAACTCTCTTGATTGGTTGAGAAAAATTAGAACTTACTTGTTCTGTTTGTTACGGTGATGATACATTTCAATGCTGTCTCTACCTAAATGTTACTTACTATCAATATCTGATTGTTTACATTTGCCATGTCTTGGACTCATCATTTCTTTCCCTTCTGTTTCATTCTTTTTCTTTAACTTTAGTTAAATTTTACCATCAAAGCAAAGCATCAGAAATATGTTTGGAAATGACTGTGCAGGTAAAAAATGAGTAAGAAATGATGAGAGGTATACCTATACTTACGTACCTGTACATGTTCATAACCATTCCAGGCGAACAATAACCGCATTGTGTTCCGCTGAAACTGGCCAAACGAGATTGAACTTTATTGTAGCCAGTTGCTTTACTGCCAATTCCCTCAACAGTTGTAATGGCCCACCCATGACAAGCAAAAATGGGCGTTAGGCACTGCAAGAAACAAATAAGTAATTATCAGGTAAATTCAGGTGTTATTAATTTGATTATTTTCCTTCTTGTGTGCAGACACATGAAAAACTTCCACTCAACTTGTTCGTCAAAAAGCAAGAAGCTAGAGAATGAAAAGTTTTTGGGTGAAAAAATGGTAATTAATTTTCTCTCTTCAATGGTCTAGTAATTCTCTGTTTAGAGTTACCTAACAGTCTTCAATAAAAAGATCTGTACTAAGGGAGGAAATATAAATAAAAGAAAATTACTCATAGTAAGAAATGCATTTGATACTTACAAAAACTATTGAGAGGGCAGAAAAGGGGATCGCACTCTGGAGGAAATGGCATTGAAGGAATAATTTAACCATAACTGAGGGGGGGGGGAGGGNGAGTACCTTTTTTTTTTTTTTAATGTTGAGTACATATTGTTGTTATTATTGGAGTTAGAAACATGGATTTGTTTGAAACTGAAAGAAAACATTTTTTTACCGAATTGACTGCAAAAATCAAGTCTTTTCCAGTGGCAGGATCTTTCCTCTTGGCTGTGACAATGCAGGCACCACAGCCCCCTTCCAAGCACATGAATTTTGTGCCTTTGAGGTGGGCTGCTGTCCGAATGAATTCATTGAGCGTAGTGTCCGCCGGTAGGGATTCTGGAACTGTTGGATGAAAAATATTTCAAGAATGATCAAAAAGATGTGAATAAAATAGATACAAAATCGAGGGACAAAGCCCTCTTGTTTGATTCTTGTCCTCGGTTTGGATAGAGAGGTTACTTGGGAATTTTTAAACTTTGAGAAAATCAATTGCATTATATTACTCAATTAAGAATACAATCGCGAGGATACGTAGGTATGTCTGAAGTTTCCGTGAAGTCAATAACAAAAACAAACTTGGGAGTTTTCAATATCATTATATCACTAAGATTTTGTGCTGAAATTTGGTGGCCTTAAAAACTTCACAATAAGTAATTTTGTGATAGAAAATGTTGCAAAAACAGCCTTTTCTTTCTCAAGGAAGGATAAGGAAAAATTGACATCATTCGATGGTTTGTGTATTATTCCAGCTTTTGAGTAGGTAATTTTTAAGTACTTTGGAGGGTACTTTGAAAAAAAAGGCAAAAAAAAAAAAATTAAAAATCGCACTAATAGACTCATTAAGATATCTACTCTCTTTCATCCTCTTTCTTTCTATGAAGACTAGGTAAATACTTTAAGGAATGGTTACATTTTGTATCAAATTTTTTAAATTTTTAGTTTTTACTTAGATTAAATTCTTAGTAATTTTTGTCCAAGGATAAGTCGTCATCCATAAGTTTTAAGTCCGGTAGTAAATAACTACCGAGCTAGAGCTCAAAAATTATTCATGGTCGATTTAAATCCCCCTACCCTTCTACAAATATCAAATTTTCACTCAAATGCCAGGAAAAACGCAACTACACTGTTGTGCAATAAGTACCTACTTATTGCATATTCAATACGTTCTCAGAATTAACAGTGCGGAGTGGAAAAGACCCCCCGCGCCTCCTCTCCTTTCCCCCTGCCCCCTCCCTTAAAAAAAAAAAAAAAAAAAAAAAAAAAAAAAAAAAAAAAATTCCAATAACTTAGATGGTTCAACGCAATAAACGCATGCTTCCCCTTCCCTTCCTATTTAGCACACCACCACGAATAATGCTCATACTGCAAAACGATGCATTATTTCGTAAAAAGCAAGATTAACAGGGCTGGTCAAATTGCAACACTGATTGCCTACCCAAAAACAGAAGGCGTTGACCTTATGTTCCGCTGTTTTATTTGATCCCGCTGAGACGCCCCATACATTTGCTTAGGGGCAATTCTAATAAGTTTCACACGGCTTCAAACATTTAAAAACAAATCAGAACAATGCTATTAGGGAAAATAAAAGAATGATCCGTGGAAAAAGTCATCATTTGGCAGAACCACGTTCTCACAGAGCATGTACATAGTTTGCAGCTGGTTGGCAAAATTTTTCAGTTTTAGAGCAATTTTACAGAGCCAATTGGATTAAATTTTGCGATCAAGGGGCTTAGAGGATAAGACGCATAAGTGAAATTTTTGCTACTTCGAGAAATACGAGTTTGAAGTTTCGACATTACATGGATTCTTATGGCAGAGAAAAAGTTCAAACTGACCTTATGATACTTAAAAATTGGAATTTGGGAGCGAACTTTTCACAGATTACGCATTAGGACCAGTTTTCCTTGAAGTAAAATTAATACCTCAATTTTTCGAAAAACCCTCCAAGCCCCAGCCTAGTTCAGAAAGAACGTGTGTGATATTAGTTTCCCTATGCACACGAGTGTTTTTACGGATGAGCTAATAATCTTAGTTCCGAATTGAAAAATTTGGAGAGTTTAAATTTTTTAAAGCGTCAGTTTAGGTAAAACAATATTATGGGCACCTTTGTACAGCACTCCGTTGATAGTTAGAGCGACCTCGGATCCTTTCATCTCCGGATATGGTGGGATCACTTCATCCAAAAAGAGCAAAAAAAAACGGCGAGTTGTGTATGGTATCCAAACTTCCACTGTAAATGAGCACTGGGGACGATCACTCACGAGGTGCCTCACGATGTGGGTTAGATCGCCGGACGGAGACTGAGTTGATGGACACCGGATCACTGGATGCAGAACAGTTGGAGACTAAAATCAGCGGCGACGCAGTGACGTAACAGCGTGGATCGGGATCCAATCGAGAGAGGCGATCGGCTTTTATGACGGCTCACAGTGGATCGAGTCAATAGGAGAGCTTGGACAAAAGTTGAAAACTTAAACGCTGATACATTGTGTCTAGTATTTTTTAATTTTGAAAAATCTTGATATTTTCCTGATTTTTCCTGATATTTTATAAAAAATTCCTGATAATTTCCTGATTTTTCTCGTAAAAAATATATATATTGCATAAATGCATGCGGAAACTAAATTTTTTGACAAAGTGAGAAAAATTCCTGATGAAACGTCCGATTTTTCCGATTTTCCTGATTTTTTCCTGATTGGCAAAAATTCCTGATTTTTTCCAGTTTTTCCGGTTTTTCCTGATGATAGACATTTTGTTATAACTCCGTTTATACAGAACTTTGAGGTTCTAAACGGTTCAATTGGTTCCCTCGAGAAATTTTCTTCTACAAGCACCCCTTGCAATTTAAAATGTGACGAAATAAACATTAAAATTCGCAGTTTTAGTCAAAAATTCCAAGTCCGATCTTTCTGATTGACTCGATCCACTGTGCGGCTGCGCGTCCCACGAGTTGCCCTCGGGCCGATTCCGATGCGATAGACATAAAACTGACTCGAGAGTTAACCTATCAATAATCATTGTGAGACGATCGTGGTGGAATGGTAATGGCGGTGGCGGACCGCGGAATTTTTTTTATGCCGTCGTGCGGCCAACTGGACTACATTTTGCGATTGGTACTGGGCTACAATTTCTGACTCATCTGGAAGAGGACTTGTGAGCATTCAGGAACAGATGGTAGGTACATACGTTGTTCCTAAACCGAGCCAGAAATTGTAGCTCCTAATTTATTGCAGAATTCAGTCCGACTGTGAGACATTCGTCGCGTCGCTCAGTTAACAATAACATGAAACTAGCGGGATAAAAGAGGCAGGGCTGTAGTTGAACGAGAGGGGAGGGGGAGTTGGCGCCCCCAAGGAGATATTCCTCCCTCCTTCCCATAGTGGAATTACAATACACTTAATTTTCTCATTCTTTGTGATTCATAATGATTGGACTGCATTTAACGATAAGGAGCTACGAAAATTTCTGACTCAAATATAAAAACACCTATCTGCGTAAGGGAACCAGTGGCGTTTATGTTGTTTCTAAAATAGGCCAAAACTGTAGTTCCTAATTGCAAAAAGTAGTTCAATTGGACCACATCGCAATTAGAAAAAACTAGAATTATTTCTGGCTCATTTTAGAAACCACATATGTGCCTTTAGTTTCCTTATGCAGAGAGGTAATTTTATATGTGAGTCAGAAATTGTAGTTTCGCATTAAAAATGTGGTCCAATTATGAGTTGCTGATAATATGGAGCAAAGGAAATAAAAGAGGCAGAGCTGACGCTGGGAGGAGGGAGTGCTGCCCCCCCCCCC